GGTACAGGTGTGCACCCCGACACAGTGCCGAGGGGGAGACCACACTCCTGACACCTGGTACAGGTGTGCACCCCGACACGGTGCCGAGAGGGAGACGCAGACACACGGAGTCATGTCCTGTGATCCATTTCTAGAAAATGTCTAGAGTGGACGGAATGACAGCAAGCACACTGAGGGGGTCAGGGCAGGTGCTGTGTGGACACAGGTGGTGTAGGTGCCTTTAGAGTGAGAAAAGGCGCTGGATGTCAGTGGTCAGACCTGTATGACCCACACTGGCAATGAGACATACACTTTAAGATGGCTAAAAAGGGCGATTTTATCTAAAAAAATAATGCTCCTTCACAGCTCATAGGCTGTCTGAAGCCGCCATCCAGGTTCTGGCCCATTCTTCACTAGGGGTGGGGAATGGAGGGCCTGCTGCCCTCAGCCCCCACAGGGAAAATGTCGTCCATTTCCAGCTAGCCAGCAGTGGTCACCTGTCACCCTGAGCTCTGCAGTTCTTGAGGAAGTCACTGAAGCACTTGTCCCACGGGGTCCACAATCATCCCAGTCCAATGGTTATATGGAGAGCAGGGCCCACAGCTGACGTGGCCATCTCAGTGTCTGGGTGCTGTGGACCTCACCCCTGGTCGCCCTGCACTTCCTGTCAGGGCAGCGTGGAGGCGGCGGCCAGCTCAGGGCCCAGGAAGCGTGGCCCTGCAATGCTGTCCCGAGGAAGGGAGCAGGCCTGGAATCTGAGATCTGTGTGGCCAGGAAGGCGATGGGGTCCCTGCTCTGGCTTCATCCACGGCAGACGTAACATGGTCTTGCAGACCCCACATCTCACTGTCCAGGGCCTCTCAAACTGTGGCCCGTTGGTGGGACTGAGAGACCAGACTGCCCACCTGCTGCAGTGGGACCTCGGAGTCCTCATGGAGTCTGGCTCTCCTTGGCCCCCAGCCTGTGCCCCGCTGTCCCTGCAGGCCTAGGCTGGGGGATCCGTATCCTCTGCAGGTCCTAGGCTGTGACCCGGGGGGGATGGACCCTCAGCTGTGGGCTTTCCTGAGTTTCCGTGGGGGTGCACCTCTGGTACGTGCACCTCCTTGACCCTGTAGGTAAGATAAGAAAGGGGGAGCTCAGCGCCAGTTTGAAGTTCTCACGCTCTGTGGTTCCATGGTACTCATCAGCGACGCGATTAATAACAGGGTGCAGGTCAGAAGGCTGGGGAGACCTGGGGGTGGCGGGCCAGGTGGACCGGAAGGTCGGGGGTAGGTGGACAGGGTGGACCTGGGGGGAGGCCAGGTGAATCTGAAGGTTGAGGGGAGGTGACTCTGTGGACTTGGAGATTGAGAGCCAGTTGTACCTGAAGGGGAGGGGCTAGGTGGGCCTGGAAGTGGGGTGGGATGTTAGGAGGACCTAGAGGTGGGGACTAGGTGGACTGGAAATGGGGGGGGCAGGTGGGCCTGGGGGTTGAGGGGACGTGACTATGTGGACTTGGAGGCTGGGAGCCAGGTGAACCTTGAAAGTGGGGGCTAGATGGACCTGGCGGTCAGAGGGAGGTGACTACGCGGACTTGGAGGTTGAGAGCTAGGTGAACCTTGGAGGTGGGGGTAAGTGGACCTAGAGGTGGGGGACTAGATGGACCTGGAAGTAGGGGGCCCAGGAGGACCTGGAGGTAGGGGATCAGGTGGACCTGGAGGTGGGGGACTAGATGGACCTGGAGGTGGGGGACTAGATGGACCTGGAGGTGGGGGGTCAGGTGGACTTGGGGAGGGAAGGGAGCTGGGTGGGCCTGGAGGTGGAGGGAGGGCTGAGCCTGCAGGTACGGGGCCAGGTGATCGGGAGGTCAGGAGGCGGTGTGCACTTATGCTCCCAGCTCTCAGCTCTGAGGGTGCCCTGGGGACCTGGCTACCCTACAAAGGAGGGCTCCGCAGCCATGACACTTGTCCCACTGCTGGCCAGGAGGGAGGGCTCCATGCCTCAGTTTCCTGATCTGTGAGGCGGGAGTGGGTCCCATCCTACAGCAAGGCTGTTCATTCCCAACTGTGCCGTGTGTGTGAACCCGTCATGTCGCTGTGCCGGGGACTGAGGGCTCGGTACGTCCACAGTGCAAATGAGGAAACTGAGGCAGGAGAGCCAGTGATGTGTCTGTGGGAACAAGGCCAGCAGCCCTCCCACTGGGCACTCACACGGGCTGGAGCAGTCAGCTCTCCTGCCCACTCTCCTGGGCCCACCTACTCGCTTACCTCTCCTGGCCCAGTTTGAGGGGTTCAGGAAGCCCCAAAGTCCTACGAATGTACTCTCGGGAGCGGATGTCAGCCTGGAGAAGGGGTACAGTGAGAAAGGTGGGCAGGGCTGGGGTCCCCTCTCCAAACCCCACCTGCGGGACCTGCTTCTGTCCCCATGCACATCCCTCGGTGCACTCCCACCCCTACTGGCAGGGCAGGCCTCACTGTCCCCCTCAAGGCCCTGAGCCTGTGGAGGAGGGGGTGCTCTGAACTTGTACTCCCCACTGAAGCCTTTCAGAGTGTCTCCTCAGCCCAGCTTCCTGCCCACCTCATGTGAGCCACAAGACCTCTCCCCAGAAGTGTTTCAAAAAGCCGCTCAGATTCTGGCAGGGACTGAACGTGTAGAACATCAGTGAATGAGACCCACACAGGTCTTCCCTTGGATTGGCTCCCCAGGCTCCCCCACCCCCAGCCTGGCCTCAGGGGCCCCAGCGTAAGCTCTGAGGGGCTTAGCTAACCCGTGACTAACAGCACACTGATCCCCAGGCTGCGTCTTGAACTAAGTGCAATCAGAATGCTGCTTGGAGGCAAGGATGAAGCCCTGTCTCACACACTTTGGGCATGTGGTCAGGAAGGGCTGGTCTCTGGGAAAAGACACAGTGCTTGGAAGGTGGAGGGTGAGCGTACGAGGAAAATCCCCAACAACAAGGCTGGCACAGAGTGACTGGAACAAGGGGCTGCAGTGCACCGGGGTGGGGTGGCTCTGGTCAGGGAAGGGCTGCTAGGAGCTGGAGCTGCCCTGACAGTAATCCCCAGGTCACTCTGCCCCAGTCGACAGGGAGGAGGGTGCAGACAGACCTAGCCCAGCCCGTCCTCCCCGGGAGGAGCGCCAGGGTGGCCGGCTGGACAGCAGCGTGGGCCTCCAGCAGCTCCCGTCACTGGCTTCACGTCAGCCAGGCCTCTGAAGGGGACACTGGTTCTTGCCCTGGCTTGGATGCTGGGGCGATTCAAGACAGAGGAGCGAGGCCTAACTGCTGTGCCCAAGTCCAGCAGCTCGGGACGCACAGTGCTGTGTGAGAGCTCCAGGGTCTTCCTGCCGAGTCTTGGGTAGCACAGGCTGGGATCGAGGGGGAAAGACCTCCAGGGCCAGGGCCACCTGTGACAGGCTCCCACGGGGTGAGGTGAGGGAGACGGGGAAGGCAGGGGTGTAAGGCAGGGGAAGCCCCGGGCAGGGACAGGCCAGGCAGGGTGGCGTGGGCGGCTGGCACCAGCATGACTTAGGGACACAGTGGTGTGTGGGCTGCTGCTGCCCCCTGGTGGTCTTTCTGTGCACTGGCAGGCTGTGGGGTTGGATGGGTGTCAGGCTCCAACCTTGGACCCTCGGTCAGGGGACTTCAGGGGACTCCCAGAGGCCTTGAGAGAAGACAGCAGCGGACAGAGCTGCAGCTATGACCCTCTAACTGACCACCACCTGTGCAGAGGTATCCAGGTCACCCCTGCTCTAAGCAGAGCCACACACCTGGCCCCTCCTCCTCAGGCCCCCTCCTCCTGGGGCCCTCCCTCAGGACAGAGCTCTCATCTTCCCAGTCAGCTGGGGCCTGTCCTCAGAGGCCCACCCCGTCCATCAGGGCACTGAGCCTGGTTCACGTGCTGTGCTGGCCTGGCCTGCTGGGCATGGTCAGAGCCTCCTGGGTCTCCAAGGCTGTGCTGAGCGACCAACGCGTCCACCAGACAGTGCGCAGAACTCCCACCTCCCACAGGCTATGCTGAGACAGGATGAGGGGAGCTAAGGGGAGGTCGTGGAGGGGGAGGCCCACTTACTTGTCCAGCTCACCTGGCGCACGGGCTCGGGGATCCGGAACCTGCAGCAGGCTTGGGTCAGGCGCACAGCGGCCTCCAGGCTTATCTTGTGGCCCACGGAGACATAGAGGGGGTTGGTGCTGCGGTCATGACTCTTCAGGGCCTGGGCCGAGGGAGGCAAGGGAGGTCAGGGTGCTGGATCCCCGCCAGCAGGCTGGGGTGGTGGCTGAGCTCGGGGGCAGCACAGGGTCCCCAGGTGGCATGAGTGAACCTGCACTTCCCACAGGAAGGCTCCAGGTTCAAGGGCAGGCAGGCCCTCAGGAGAGGAAGGTCACACACAGCTCACATCTCAGGCCCGATGGCGTGAGGGGTGGAGTCGGCTGCCAGGTCTGCACGTGCACACACACTTATATGCAATCACACATATGTGCAGGCTCACGTGAGCTCTCACACGCATACACGCGTGTACACATGTGGGTGCATGTGTGTACGTGTGACACACACACGTATCTGTGCATACAGGAATTCCTGGTGGTCTAGTGGTAAGGAGCTGTGCGACCAATCCAAAGGAACAAGGTTCGAATCCACCACTTGCCGTACAGGAGGAAGACGGACAGTCTCCTTCCATGCAGTTTACTGTCTCCGAAAACCCCCGGGAGGGTCAGCTATGAATTGGTTCTGATTGGATGGTACACACAACCTCTGTGTATATGCACATGTGCACACAGGAAGAGCCCTCTGTCCGCATTGTCAGTGCCCTCACCGCCTCCTCTGCCTCTGCCAGCCCTCACTGCCTGCTGGTCCGGGCCCTGGGTCACTCACCATTCCCAACACTGTCCCAGAGGCCCCAGTGAGAGGAAACGTGTCTCCTCCGCGCTGCAAGAGTTGAATCTGGAAGGTGGGGAGCGGTATTTGGAGGTAAGGTCTCTTCCTGAGGAATGGGGTTTTCTGAAGCTGGGCCAGCACCTGAGCTCAGCTCTACTCACCCATCCCACAGGTACAGAACCCTGGACCCCGCAAGGCAAGCCTTCCCATGGCTGCCACAGGGGCCTGTCACTGAGCCACACTGGTGGGTCCAGAGGCGACTCCAGGCCAGCGGGCCACAACCTGGGACCACAGAAGCACTTGATGCACACAGACATCTAAAGGCCAGCCCAGCCGTGGGCAGCATCACGGCAGTGATGACAGGGGGACACACACTCTGGGCCCCTCAGGAAGTCCAGGGGAGCTGGGTTGTTCTGGTACCCCCAGGAGTCCGGGGAGTTGGGGTCAAGGGCTCTTGCTTCCCCAGATCAGGAATCCTGGGGTGCAGAGCGCAGGCAGGCAGGGTGGGCACACGGCCCCTGGAGTGGGCGCTCTGGAAGGCTCTCACCTTCTCCTTGTGCAGCTCACTCTTCTCCAGCCCGTCCACCTGTAGGAGCTTCTTGGCCACCCCGACGCAAGGCAGGTCTGTGAGGATGCCGAGGTGACAGGCCACCCCAAAGCCTGCAGGGGGCAGAGGGAAGGAGGGTGAGCCTAGGGGCAGGGAGCAACTGGAGGCGGGCAAAGGCAGGCTCCAAGATCTCCAGCATCTTCAGGTGACCAGAGGTCTGCCACTGAGGGGTGGGATGTGAGTCCCCAGGGTGCCCCACGAGGCTGGCCGAGGACCCGTTCCTCTAAGACCCCACGACTTTCCATGGGTTTGTCTGGCACTGGGCCTCTGCCAGGAGCCTGATTGTGGGGACGCTGGGCTGAGGTGCCAGGCTGATCGTGACCTGTGGGTTTAGGCCACCAGATACGTGTCCACATCAACCTGCATCCACCAGTGTCTGGATTCCAGCTCAGGAAGCAGCCAGGCCCACCCACTCCTGCTAGCTGCAGAGTCCCCCAGCCTGTGTAACCTGGACCCCAAGGCCGGTCCAGGGACTCTAGCAGGCTTGCTTCTTTGGTTAGGATGGCCTATCCCTTGTCCTCTCCTCCCAGACCACAGTCCGGGAGACCACGGGTTCCCAGCACTGGCAGGAACAGACGGACGGGCACTCCTGATCAACACAGATACCAGCCAGACAGCTGAGTGGGCCCCTCCCAGGTGGGGCTCAATTGTGAAGGGAGGCGGCGGCAGTGAAGGCGGTCAGGGAGCGATAGTCAAGGGTATTCTCCTGGACAGGGGTGTGCACAGGTGGGGGACTGATGAAGAAATGGAAGCCTGAGGCGTCTGGACACCAGACACAGGCCCAGGGCGGGGTGTGGGCACCACAGCTGCAGTGGCCCCCAGCTGAGCTGTGAAGTGTCCTGAGGTGGTGGCAGGCGGTCTCCCCCATCTCGCTGTCATGTGAGATGGTTCCCCCATTTTTCCCTCCCATGGCCCCTTCCCCAGCCCTCTCTCAGGGGTAGGATTACCTCGGTGGTGGAGCACCCCATTTCCATCCACGAGAAGAACCTAGAGGGGCCACAGGTAAGGTCACTTCTCAGCCTGGACCACCAGCCTGGGCTGTGGATCATCGGGCAGGAAGGGGCCCTGGTGACAGCGTCTGTGAGGCTGGCGTCCCTCCGCTGGGGGTGGCCTGTCCAGAGGGGGCACCTGCCTGGGGCATGAGGCCTGGCTCCTTGTCCCGCAGCCGCTGCAAGGCCTCGACCAGGAAGGGTGCCTCTCGGAAGGCCAGGAAGCCCGACACGTAGGGCGCCGTCAGGGTCACCATGCGGCACTCCTCGTACATGACCTATCACATCACAGAGGGGTCACCAGTGTCCCTCCTGGGCCCTCCCACCAGCCTCCCAGCTTCTCCTCCCTCTGCAGCCGTGTCTGCCCCACCCCCTCTGCCTTATCCACGAGATGAGACAGGAACGTGGCAGATAAGCCCGCACGCTGGCTAAGAGGGTTCGCTGTGGTGCCCATCCATGCCAGGTGATCACTGCCACGGCCTGCCTCCCCCTTCCTCAGGATGCCCGCTTATAACCAGAGCTGACGCCTGCCCACCGCCATCGTCCCCACCAGCGTCCTACGCCCCCACCGCGCAGTCACCAAGCTGTAGCCACCCTACTGTTAGGAGCAGAGTGCGACCCACAGTGCCCATTGGCCAGCAGTCCTGAACTCTGTCCTCTCCTGTGCCGTACTCATCATCTCTGACCCCGAGCCCTCTGCCGCAGTCACCGCGTCAGTCTTTCCCCATCGAGGGCCTTCCTCTCCTTCACTCATCCTCTACCTTTCCTGCATCATGTCCATTTCCAAGGAACAGCCTCTCCTGGCAACACGCTCAGAGCATGAGATGAAGCATCACATTGGTTGCCTCCAAGGAGCACGCTGGCTGCACGCTCCCCAAGACATGCTTGTTCTCTTGGCATTCCGTGGGAGAAAGACCACGGCACAAAGGCAGCAGAACCGCCCACTGGCTTTCTGAGGCTTTAGGTCTAGAAGGCAGACGAGTGCCTCAACTTTCTCCCTTGGAGAGGCTGCAGGATTCAAACTGCCAACCTTCTGAGCACCCCATGAGTGCGCCTGTTCTTTCCTAAACGCCCTGCCCTGCCTTCTCACCCCCGCCCTCCCCTCTGCAGGTTTCTGCAGGCTGCTCCGGAGGGGAGGCTGCGAGGAAGGAAGTTCAGCAGCTGTGGAGAGAAGGAACTCGGAGGCAGAGGCTATGTCTCCCTGGAGTCTCCACTAGTCCAGAAGGGCAGCCTAGCTTTATGAGAAGGGAACAGCAGTGCCTGAGAGGGGCAGGTGTGGCCTCCAAGCTGGAGAACAGAGTGTCAAGGGACAGACGAAGTGCAGGTGAGGGGGAGGAAGGCGCCTGAGGTTGTAAGCAGGAGAGGAACAAGCGGCTGTCAGGTTAGCGCCCTGTGGGGAGGACAGACCTTGCACGAGCTGGAAGGAGTCAGACATCAAAGATCAAAGGAGAGAGGTGGAGGCCTAGAGGTCAGGGGTCAGCATTCAGGGGCTCTCAGAGCAAGCTGAGGTCAGCCAGAACGCTTGCCCAGCAGAGGGCCGTGGTTCTTCAGGCTGAGAGGAAGCGCAGCCTCCGCAGAGTGGAGAGGGACCCCGACACTGCAGGTGCAGGGTCAGCTCAGTGCCCAGTGTGTGGCTCCAGGACTGATGTCGTCACTGAAGCCCTCACCTCTGCTCCGCATGGAAGCGGGGTCAACACTGTGGACCTGCGGGCATCCCATGGTGACGTGGAGGGCTTCACATCTCACCAGTGACTCACTGCAGAACACAGCACATCTGGCCAGGACCCTCTGGAGGGCCTCTCTCCACAATATCCAGGGTCCACAGGGGGCAGTGAGGACAGGAGACTGAGGTCCCACCATCCAGCATGTCAGGGGACAACTGTGCGCTTGGGGGTGGCTGACCAGCTGGCCCACTCCAGCCACAAGGCAGGTACAAGGGGGGTGAACAAGGAGGGGGCTGCACCTGTCAAGCACAGAGGTTCCATCCTGTGCGAGGGGCCTGAGCCTGGGGTCAGTGGGGCCAGAAGTGGGGCCCCCTTAGGAAGGTGTTTCTAAGGAGCAGGAGGTGCTCCCTGGAGGACACACACTTCCAGTCCTCGGGAAATGGGACAGTTCAGAGCTCAGCACTCCACCTCAGGAAGGCACTGGTGACGAGGCAAAAGACCTTTCGCTGTTTCCTCATGAACTAAGAGACGGGGGGCCCTGGTCCCCGCAGAACTGTCTGTTAGATGCTGGCCAGTCAGGAAAACCTGACACACTTTAAGATGAACAGTACCAGGTGGCTGACAACTGTACACAGCCCTACAGAGAATCAGATAGAGAAAACCAAGACCTGACAGCTGATGTGAAGGCATGGTGGCATGAAAGTCAGGGGTTCGAATCCAGAGGACGGCCAGTCTCCTCCAGCTATTCACAGCCTTGGAAACCCAACGAAAGGTAACCGTGAAGACACCTGGGCGATGGGGCTTGACAGCAGACAAAACGCCAGCCACCCCCACCCAGTTCCCGCCACGGAGAACCGCAACACTTTCCGTAGTGGACAGAACTGCCTCAACCTGATGTCAGGAGGGAAGAAAGACCACCAGGCAGAAATTCCAAACTCAGAAGAGAACTGGAGAAAAAGCAGGACCATAAAAGCGAGAGTAGATGGAAAAAATGGAAAGAAATAAAGATATAACAAGTCAATGAGGAGAGAAATGAGACAAGACAGGAAAGAGAGCAAAGTCAGTAACAGCAGACACTGTGATGGAGAGGGCCAGTCCGTGGAAAAGGACATCATGCTTGGAAAGGCGAAAGGGCAGCGGAGGGCAAGACTCTCAAGGAATAGACACAGTGATTGTAACGGCGGGCTTGGGTATGTCAGAGATGATGAGAATGGCACAAGATAGGGCAGGGTTCAGATCTGTTAGGGTTGTTGGCACCTAACAACATTCCTAGACAAAACTCAGGAGGCAACCTGAAGGCAGTGAGTGACACCACTTAGCGGTCCCTCCCTGCAATCTTAAGTCCCAGTCCTTGAAAAACTCTCCATCAGCCCCAGACAAGCATCCATCTACTTCCTGTTTCTACAGATTGGAATCTGCATTTTCTGTTCACTGCCTGGTGGCTCTGATCAATCAGGCCCGGCTCAGACATCACAAACACTGCACTAGACTCTCGAAGATGCAGGTGCTGCTGGACCCTAGGACTCAGGCACTCTGGCTGGTGCCGGGGTTAGAGGACCAGGCATCTGTGTGAGACGTGACAGGACTGGGGGGTGGTGAAACAGCTTGTGCTGAAGGTCGCAGGGCTTGTGGCTTGTTAAAGGGCACCTTGAACAGGAAGGAGGAGCACAGTGGCCACAGCAGTGGGTGCAGGCCGTGCAACAGCTCTAAGTGTGGTGCTGGATGGAGCTCCGATGGGGCTGGACAAGAACTGAACATCTCATGAGCTGCCAAGAGAACAAGCGCGTCTGTCTTGGCAGACGCTGAGCTCCAAATCACCCTTTAGAAGCAAGGAGGGAAAGACTTTGTTCCTCAGACTCTGGGCACGATATCAGGAAAGGCCAGTCCCTGGAGGAGGATATCACGGCTGGGACAGCAGAGGGCAGTGGGACAGCATCAACGAGATGGACACAGCGAGGGGACCGCAGAGCACAGCAGAGACTGTGTGGGGTGCACAGTCCAGGCAGGGCTCTCTGTTCCACTGTACGCAGGGATGATTTGTGCTGGCCCCGATTGGACAGTCCTAACAACAGATGTCTTTATTGAGAGCTGAAAAGAGCTGCTGACGAGCTGGCTCGCTCGGGTGTCCACGGTGGGAGTCTTTAGGGGGGGGGGGGGCTGCCTGTTCTTTCTCCAACCGCTGACCCTGGGTTACACACTACACCAATGGGGTTGCACGTCACTAGCTGTTTGCCCGTCCTTGTTTATTCCTCCTAACAGCTCTGTGGTTTGGGTGCCACGCTGGTCTTCCCCGAGTTACCAGGGAGGGTGTGGGGGGCATGTGTGCGTGCAGGAGGCAGGCCCGGGGGCTCTCGATCTCCGTCCCTCTCCTCCTTCCCTCCAGTGTTCGCAGCCTTTAAGAAACCCTCCTGACACCGGGCAGGGTTACCTCGAGCTCGGGGTAGCTGAGCACCACCAGGGAGGCGCAGGCGTGGGCACTGTCCCCTTTCACAAAGGACACGTCCACGCCCCCGACCCTCTGCAGCCCCGCGAAGGCCGGGTCCCGCTGCCACGCCTCCGTGTCCCAGTCCGCCACGCGGCCCTTCAGCTGGGCTTGCTCCCTGGGGGTGGGGGACAGGCGTCAGGATGAGCCCCTCGCCCCGATCCTGCCTGCCTCGCTCCCCAACTCTGCAGCCTGGGCGCTGGCCGCCGCCTCCCGTCCAGGGTCCGGCAGCCCTGGGCACGGGGCCCCCGGACGACCTCCCGATTCTCCCCTGCGGGCCCTGGTCTCCCTGTCCTCCCCGATGGTGCAGAGGGCCAAGCGCGGGGCCGGCCGAGAGGCGGGCACGTGGACCTGCTGGTGCCCTGCAGGGCCACGACTGACAGCCCTGGGAGGCCGGAGCGAGCTGGACTCTGGCCGACAGCGTCACTGAGGCGGACTGGCCGGCCGGCAGTGGGCTGTTTTCCGGGAGAGCCCGAAGGCGAGGGGGACCGGCCAGCGGGGTCGGACTACAACCCGGAAAGCTCTGGACTCGGGCGCCTGCCGCTCGTACACCGGCCACTACGAGGCCGCGGGGCTACGAGGTCTGAGGTCCGGGTCTGACGTCCTTCGGACTCTATTACCGTGTCCAGAGCGCTAAGGTCTCCGCGGGCGGCAACTCGGCCCCCGGACGGGCCATGGCGCAGCCCCGGGCGCCACTTCCGGAACGCCACTTCCGGCGTCGCGGCGCGCAGGAGCGGGACTTCCGGCGTCGCCTCGCGCAGGCGCGGGGCCGCCCTCGTTGCCATGGCGGCGCACGGCGTCGCTGCTATGGCGGCCATGACCGCCAGGGGTCGCCCCGGTGCGTCGGGCCTCCCGGCCGGGTCCGCGCTCGTCCGCCTGTCGGCGCCGCCGTCCGAGGGCTTCGCGCGCGGCCTCGTCCCCCGGCCGCCCCGCCGTCGACGACAGAAGCCGCAGGCCCCGGGTCCCGCCGCCCGTGCGCTGGTGCGTCGGAAGCGGGTGCGCGTCGCGGGGACCCGCCGGGGCTGCATGTCCTCCGGGCCGCCGGCAACGAGGTGCTGAACTAGAGACGAATGAGTGACGGGCAGGCTGAGCCCGAGACACTGGCTTTAGAACAGGGTCGCCGCCCCGCCAGGCGCAGCCTTTGCGGGACCAAGTCGTTCTGCTGGTGAAGCAGACGGGACACACCAGCGGCTCCGCGGAAGAAAGGCCTGGCTGTCAGGCACCGCGGAAGAAAGGCCTGGCTGTCGGGCACCGCGGAAGAAAGGCCTGGCTGTTGGGCTCCGTGGAAGAAAGGCCTGGCTGTCAGGCTCCGCGGAAGAAAGGCCTGGCTGTCGGGCACCGCGGAAGAAAGGCCTGGCTGTCTGCTTCGGACACATTGCAGCCCCAAAGCCCCATGAATCCGTTCTGCTCCACACACGAGGATCCTCCCTCGATTTCCAAAGACGTGGCAGGGCCTGGGGTTACACCCCAGCCGGACATACAGGCCCTCGGGCCTCGCAGCTGGGCAGCTGGCCACTGAGGGCACCCTGGTCAGGGTCCAGGTGGGCAGGGAGCACCAGCCGCTCAGAACCCTCGCTCTCTGTGTCCTGGGCAGGGTTCCAGAGGCAGGCGCTGTCCAGCAGCTGTGCCTGCACTGTGACCAGGGCTGAGGCCATGTCAAGGGACACACGGTGAAGAGTGCTGTTTGGGACGGCCCTGGCGTGTGTATGAGGGCCTGGTGCTGCCGTAGCTGCACCAAGACCAAAAGGGGGTGCTTCAGGGACAGGCAGCGCTTTCTCACCGTCCTGGAGGCCCAAGGGCAGGATCAGAATGATCAGCCTCCCTGGCCCGTGTCCTCCAAGCACGATCACCCTGCGGGCTTCAACTCCAGCCTCCCTGGCCCGTGTCCCCCCAGCCTGGCGTCTGAGTCCTGTGCCGGCTCTTTCTGGAGCTCAGAAGTACCAGGGTTTAGATCTAGCTGTCCAGGACCAGCCTGGCTAACAGAACAAGGAAAGGCGTTCCCAGCCAGGGATGTGGGATTAGACTCTGCCTCAGTGGACGTAGAGGGCTGTGACCCTAGCAGCTTCTGCTACTGGTAGATGCGGACAGGGCCACCAGTGCTCACAGTGTCCCGTCAGCGACACATGTCCGTCTTGCACAGCTGGTGACATTCTCATGATCCACGGTCTCAAGCCCGTTGTTCCAGTCACCGAGTCCATCTCGTATAGGGGCCTTTGCCTTTCTCCTTCTCATTGACCTTACTCTTTTCCAGACATGAGGTCATTTTCTGAGGACTAAGCCCTCCTGACAGCATGACCGCAGTATGTAAGGTGACTAATCACCAACCTCCCTTTTAAGGCACACCCTGGTTGCACTTTGTCCAAAACAGATTTGTTTATTCTTTGGGCAACCCGTGATGATTTCAGTACTTGTCACCACTACCTATCAAAGGCGTTGCTTCTTCCTCAGTTTTACTCTTTGTTCAACTTCCACAATATTCTACTGTTGTTGTGCACTGTCTAGTTGGAACCAGCCCATAGCAGACCCTCTCGTGGGTTTTCCAAGGCAGTTAACGACACAGGGGGAGATTGTCTATCCTTCTCCTGCGCAGCGGCTGGTGGATTCAAACCACGTGCCTTTGGAATTATGGCAGATTCTCCGCAAGGCAATCAAGTCATAAAAGTATGCAGATAACAGTGTCTGTGTAAATCTCAGGAGGCAAGTACACAGAACCAGGACTGGAGCTGCGGTTCAAAGCAGGCTTCACAGAGCGTCTGACAGTGGTGGGGCTGTGGTAGAGGGGCAAGGTTTCCTTGAGAAAAGGAGGGCAGATGCTTGTGAGAGGTCAGTGCACGCACGCGTGCGCGCGCGCGCACACACACACACACACACACACACACACACACTCTCACACCTCCATACACACTTTATGTATGACTGTGTATCAGACGTTTGTTGTCGCTGTAATGTACCATTGATAAGAGTCAGAACTGACCCTCCAGGGTGTTTTCAAATCACATGTGAGGAGACTGCCCATCTTTCTCCCACAGAGCAGCGAGTGGATTTGAACTGGATATGCTTGCATTGACAGCACAACATCTTACCACTAAGCCACCGGAGCTCATGTATCTCTATCTATACATAGATATGCAGAGCTCTGGTGGCCTGATCTGATTTAGGGGTTGTCCCAGAGGCAGGTGATTTGAAAAACATCTAAAATGTCTTCCCCCCATTATTGCTCATTTTAATCCTCCCCCCAGTTCTCCCCATAGTGCACCCCTTGTTCCAAATTGTTGTCACATGTAATGCATAATCATGTATTCTTTCGGACAGTTCTCCTCATCGGATCTAAGGACCTGTTCATTACCCACTCTTTTCCCATTCTCTCCCTAACTAGCCCCCCAGCCCATGTCTAACATGTTTCATAACAGCAGTGTTATGCAGTATTTATCCTTTGTTACTGAGATAATTTCACTTGGCATAATGTCCTCCAAGTTCCACCATGTTGTATGTTTTATGAGCCCCTTATCTTTCATTGCTGCATAATATTCCATTGTGTGGACATACCATAGTTTTTCTATCCATTTGTTTGTTGATAGGCACTTGCATGGCTTCCATCTCTTTGCTATCATGAATAACACAGCAATAAACATAGGTGTGTACACATATGTTTGAGTTGTGGCTCTGGTTTCTTTAGAGTATATTCCAAGTAGTGGAATTTTTGGATCAAGTGGTATTTCTATTACTAACTTTTGGAGAAAGCGCCACACTGCCTTCCATAGTGATTGTACCATATTCCCACCAGCAGTGAATAAGGGTTCCAGTTTCTCTACAGCCTCGCCAGCATTTGCTGTTTGCTGCTCTGTTGAACTTTACTGTTGTTCCTGGGCTGAGATGATATCTCATAGTTGTTTTGATTTGCTTCTCTCTGAGAGCTGGGATTTGGAACATGTCCATGTGTTTATTTGCCTCCTCAATGTCTTCTTTGGTGAAGTGTCTATTCAATACTCTATGCCCATTTTATGACTGGTTTGTTTACCTTTTTCTTGTTGAGATGCTGGAGTATTCTATAAATTTTAGATGTAAGTCCCTTATCAGATATGTCATTGCATAATATTTTCCCCCCAGTGTGTGGCTTCCCTTTTTACCCTGTTGGAAAAGTTTTTGGATGTGCATAGGGATTTGATTCTTAGACGGTCCCATTCATCTATTTTATTCTCTCCTGGTTGTGATTTACAGTCTCTGAAAACCTGCTGGAGGGTCAGCTATGAGTCAGTTGTGACTTGACAGCAATGAGTTGTTGTTGTTGTTGGGGTGTGTGTGCATATATAAAACATTATCTTATTTCCCACTTCAATACAAAGGGATTTTATAAGTGGAGAAACTGAAGCTTTAAGAGGTCGTGTAGTTGGTCCAGGTTCATACCGATGGAAAGCGAGAGAGCCAGGACTCACACTCAGCTGTCTGGCCACAGCTGGGGCAGAGGCCCAGGATTTGGCAGTTGGGAGCCATTCACAGGCCTGTGGGTCCCGAGGGAAGTTGATCACCACACATTGCAATTCGGAGTGCACTCTCCTTTGCTGTCCTTCTCCCTTCCTGGATGCTTCCTCCAGAACATTTCCACCAGAAACCCAGACCATCCCAAAGAGCCTTGTGGGTGTCTCAGGAAAGACGCTTGGCCCCAAGGAGAAGGATTCTTTAGCAGCAAAATGTAGGTTTATTAAAATCGCTAAGACAATGATAGTAAAAATGTACTCTTACCAAGTGCTAGACTAGTATATTTGTGAATAAGCAAAACAATGCTTGATATGACAAGGCTCTGAAAAACATATAAAACAAAATATGGAAATTGAAATTCTTCATAAAATCAGGGGGTAACATTCACCACTACCCCCCAAAAGTTAATAATTTAAAAAAAAATCCTAAGACAAAAACACTTCACAGCAAGAGATTGCCATTTGGCTGCCGCCTGGTAAGGTGTGGCAGTGGGAAAGTGCCAGCACAGCACCTGATGCCATAGGGCGGCGAGCTGGCACCTGATGGCTTGGCCCCTCCTTGGAAGTATCAGCGGGTCCTGAGTGCAAGCGGAAGAATCAAACAAGACCTCCACCACCGGTCAGCCGCCCAGGATGCAGATGTCTGCGGGGGATGGGCTCAAAATTAAGCCACCGCACATTATGCAAGCAGGCACTGGCATCATGAGTGACCCACTCTCGCCTTTATAAGTACCATCCCTGGGCTGGTGGTTCCCTCAGCGGTGCTTAAGGTCCCTAGTTACATTGCCCAGAAGCATTTTGTGTTCTTACGGCTCTCACCCAACGGCCCAATCTTAAATTGGTTCAATGATTAGAGCTCATTTAGGAAGCTCAGAGCCTCTCACCTTTTCCCTTTCATAGGGGAGGTCCCTCCCTTTCAGATATAAGTAACTTCTTAATAAATCTATCATTACTATCTTACCCTCAAAAAAGAAAAGAGAAAGTTCATTAAGGACATTTGCCATAATCTGTAAACAATTTCTGTCTTAATGTTGGCGCAGGTGGGTGGGGGCTATATGGAGGAGTTAGTTCAGAGATGTCTTAAGTAGCAAAGCAGATTTGGAAAAAAATACGCTTAACAAAAGCCAAGGCTAATTGACTTTTCCTGTTTTTAGAAACTAAGCTAGTTTTGTACCTTTTTGGAGTCTTAGTCATTGGCTGAGAATGAAGGAGCAAATATTTGTGCACTTGAAAATCTAGGTCAAGTCTGCATGTATATTTGGCATAATGTCATTTTTAATTAAAAATGACCCGTAGGAATGCAAGAACCATATCTCTGATCCAAGTTCCACTAATGAACTTGAAGAATTTCAGAATCCCAGAGTTGGAAGGCACACTGGCCACCAATCCAGTTCCTTGTGCTCTAGGGGAGGGGACTCGGCCGGCATGTCCCTGACTCCTTGTCCCGTGCTCCTCACAGGAAAGGCTCCAACCCCTTGGAATCTGGCAGTGAACCTGAGCAGGATGTACCATATGGCTTAAGGCACTCATGAAATACTCCTGTTTTTCTTATATTTTGGAGAATAAAAAAAAAAGTCTGGCACTTTTTCATACCTTCATACCCCAGAATTCTCTGCCTAACCTTAGAATTTAGGACAGAGAAGGAAGCTACATTTTCTTCTGAGTGCAGAGTAAATGAGAAAAAACAAACAAACAAACAAACATACCAACATGAAAGCAAAAAGAAATCCCTGGGTTTTCTCCCCTCCTTCTACCTGTGCAGGAGCTGAGGAAGGAGGAGCCGGGAGGGGGTGTGTGCCGGTTGAGAGGCCGGTGGGGACATCCCCCTGCAGTGAGCTGTGAAGTGTCCCCACGGGGTCTCTCCTAGAGTGTGAAGTCATATTCCTCAAACAAGCCATAAGCTCACACAGCACATCTTGGACTTGATTGTGCTTGCGGGCACATTCCATACGAACACGTCCAAAGGCAGCCGCCAGCCTGGGATGGAATCTCGTCCATGGATGAGGGAGAGGAGGGGTGCTCTATCTCACGTGCCGGGCCTGCTTCAGCCTGGCCGCCATGTTCCATACGGAGACGCAGCTGGAGAGGAGAATGTCTTCTGGAAAGTCAAATTCCAGTTCGGGAGGAATGTCACTTTCTTTTCCATGCATGTAATTCACCAGAGTAACCCTCAGGCTGAAAAACCAAGGAGCAGAGACAAGATTTAAAATAAGCTCTCAAACAACATAAGTGGACCACTCAGTGGTCACTTATTCCAGTGGTCAACAAATCAGTGTTCACCAAGACTAGGACAACTGAGGTCAGGGGAGGACATGAAGCCTCTGAGTTACTGACTAGACCTAGCCCCTGGGGGTCAAGGTTTTTGTGCACGACATCTGCTTCCCATGGCACAGGAGGCAGGCCCCCTAGCACTCCATGGTGCTGACCTTAACGATGGCCCGCTGAATGATTTTAAGCCGCAGGTAATGCCAGCGGCTTGTTTACCAAGCTGTGTAAGAACCCAGAGTGTTGGCAGCATGGTCTGCAGCATGGCGCACTGCTAACCAGAAGAACTTGTGTCTCCCACAGCTGGACTCCAGCAGCAGAATCTAGAAGAAGGTCAGTCCCCTCCGTTAGGACAGCTAGCCTCAGACATCCAATGGAGGGTGACTATGAGCTGGAGTTCCTGGCAGGGAGGAGTGTAAAACCAAGGAGGGCTGGGGGGACAGACACTAACACACATGGCCACTGACCCACATGAGAAAGGTTCACCCAGAGGCACCTCAGAAACAAAGATCAATTTCAGAACCCCAGCCCCTGACAGCCCTGCAGAACAGTTCTATTCAGGCAAACATGGGGTGCTAGGGGCTGGAATTCACGGAGGGCAGACTGAACCTCAGAATTCTCAAAAGGCTTCTATTCCATTTTACACGTTCTATTAATGAAGGTGGTATGTCTAAAGGAATCTTGTTCCGACACTGACAGTTCAGGAGAGGAAAGCTTTGTAGAGGAAGGACGAAGGATGTTAGGTGTCCACGGGGCTGCACCCCCTTAAGGGAAGACCACACAGGAAATGCATCCATGAGAAAAAACGCGGCCTGACCATCTACATAGAAAAAGTACAGTCAAGTTAGATCCCCATCACCATACAAAAATTCAGCTGGTTAACACAGCAAGTGTACAACACACAACGATGGAACCATCAGGACGGGGTCCTTTCTCGGTGTCGCTGCTGAGGGAGTTCTGTCCGACCTGACATGAAAGGCTGAGCGGGACAGAGCATCTGCAGCTCCTAACTGACCAAGGCTGACCCTTGAGCCGGTGTAAAGAGCCTGCACAAGTCACTAGGAGGTCACTCAGAAGGTAAAGGACTGGCTGACAGGGAAAGCAATTGCCATCTCACTAATCAGTTAACTAATTAGTTAGGAGGACAAGTGAAACCACACGGAGCCCTGTACTGGCCTGTCAGGTTGGAAAACATTAGAGCAGGTAACGTCCACATTGCTTACTGGCATATGTTGCTTTTGCAGCACTATAGCTTGGTCTAAGAAATAGAAAACGCACTTCTCTTTGACACAGTAAGTCAACTTATAACTCTATAACTCATTATAGAGAGTATATGACACATGGAATGATTAAAACTACCAACGCAAAAAAAAAAATTAAAAAAAAAATCCACAACAAACAAACTACCAACGCCAGTGGAGGTTAGAACCCAAAAAGCTAGCTGTCGGGTGCGCTGGGAGAACAGTAGGAAATATCAAGAAGGACCCCCAGGGACACAGCCTGCCTCGGGGTCTACCTGCCCCCCAGTCCGCAGGACTTACGGCCACGTCGGGTTGAAACCATCCTCGGTGGGCAGGCGCTTTAACTTGAGGACAATCAGCTCATGCAGCTCCAGCAGGAAGCTGTCCAGGTCCGTCTGCTGCAGGAAGGTACGGAGGAGCCTGGCGTCTGCTGCGCCTAGTTCCGCCTTATACATGGAACCAATTTCCCTAAACGGGTCCTGCAGTGAGATCGGAGAGAGTCAAACTGAAGCACAGAAGAGCAGGCCCGGCGTGAAGGGAGAGCCCGAGGGCAGCTTACGTGTCCCTGTCGTAGCAGCTGCTCGCACTTGTGGGAGGAGAGGACGTGCCACAGGGCGATGGTGTGCTGGAGCTGACACCTGGTGAGGGCCTGTGGACGGAGGGAGTCCTGAGGACGTGGAAGGCGTGGCCTCCCCTTGGGTCTGTTCTCGTTTGTGGGTCTGTTCTCTTCCCTTCAGTTCTCTGTGCATTTCCCTCCTGACACTATCTCGTTTCCAGGTCCTTAGCTCACTTGTTTCAGCTTCCAGACTCTGCCAGGAAGTGGTGCCAGAGCCCCTGCGCTCATCTGGTTCACAGCCTCAGTCACACCCCGGTGCACGGTCTAGACTCTTAGCATTTAAAGCGCATTCCAACCGTGTGTGGCCCCCTAGTGAGGGGCTGCTCTTGTGTCTTTGTGAGGTGAGGCAGAGCTGATCCCCTTTGAAGAAAACTTTCCACACGACCCACCTCTAAAATAGGATTCGTCTGATCACCCATGCGCAAGATGTCTTGGATATACGTTAACAGGGGCATGTTCGCATCACCACCAGTCGTGCTCAGAAAGCCCAAGGTGACTTCTATGACTGACAGAGCTTCACAGGCGTCGCTGAAGGACTGCAGCTGTCCACTGAGGGTACTGAGGGCTGCACTGGGGAGAGGTTCCTGAGGGGAAAGCAGGGCGCAGTCCACGAGTTAGAGTAATAGCTCCCCAGGAAGTAGTTACCCTCTGTCACAACCTAAGGTCACAAGCACTGAAGAACAAATGCAAGTCTCGAGGTGCAATATTTAGGGATTCTGTGGGCAGAATGTTGAATGGCCCAGGATGCATAAAAAGAAGATGGAAGGGAAAAAAAAAAGATGGAAGGAACCCACTGAGTCACCACTGTGTATGGTTTAAAAAGAACTGGCAGACACAGAAGAATTTCATGAAACAACAATGATCAAGAGCCTATGGTGATGAAAGAGGAAGTTCAAGCTGCTCTGAAGGAATTGGCAAAAAACAAGGCCCCAGGAATTGACAGCATGCCAACTGACCTATTTCAACAAACAGATGCTGCTTTGGACGTGCTCACCAGGCTGTGCCAAGAAATCTGGAGGACAACCATCTAGCCAACTGACTGGAAGAGATCTATATTTATTCCCTTTCAAAAAAAAAAGTGATCCGACAAGAGTGTGGAAATTATTGAACAATATCATTAATATCATATGCAAGCAAGATCCTGCTGAAATTATCCAAAAATGACTGGAACAGCACATTAACAAAGAACTGACAGACAGAAGTGCACGCTGGGTTTAGAAGAGAATATGGCACTAGGAACGTTATATCCAGTGTTAGACGAGTCTTAGCTGAAAGCAGAGAGTACCAGAGGAACATTTATCTGTGTTTCATTGATTATGCAAAGGCATTTGACTGTGTGGATCACAACAACTGTGGCTGACTTCAAGAAGAATGGAAATCCTAGATCACTTGATTGTGCTTATGCGAAACCTGCCTGTACTTGGACCAAGAGGCAGAGTCATCAGAACAGAGCAAGGGAACACTGCATGGTTCAAAATCAAAGAAGGTGTACACCAGGGATGCATCCCATCTCCATAACTTTTCAGTCTATATGCAGAACAGATGATCCAGGAGGCTGGGCTGTATGAGGAGGAATGTGGCATCAGGACTGAAGGAAGACTCATCAACAACTTGTGTTATGCAGATGACACAACCCTGCTTGCTGAAATTGAGGAAGATCTGAGGTATTTGCTGCAGAGGGTCAAGGACTGCAGCCTTCACTATGGACTGAAGCTCAATATCAGGAAAACAAAAGATTCTCACCACTGGACCAACTGGCAACAACATGAGAGACAGAGAAGAAAGAGATTGAGACTGTTAACAGATTCAGCTTGCTTGGTTCTATAATCAACACTCGGTACCAGCAGCCAGGAAATCAAAAGATGAGTTACACTGGGAAAATCTGCTGTCAGGGACCTCTCCAGAGTACTGAAGAGCAACAATGTCAGTCGGGAGACTAAGGTGCGCCTGATCCAGGCCATGGGCTTCACAGTTACTTGCTATGCATCAGAGAGCTGGATGGTGATTAATGATAATAGAACCAAATGCTTTTGAGCTGTGGTGCTGGAGAAGAGTACTGAGTATACTGTGGACTGCTAAGAAAACAAACAGGTCCATCCTAGAGAGGGTGAAACCAGGCTGCTCCTTGGAGGCAAGGGTTTTGAAGTTGGACACACTCTGGGGATGTTGCCAGGAGGGACCAGTCTTTGCAGAGGGACATTATGCTTGGAAAGGTGGAGGGACGGCACAAGAGAGGAAGAACCTAGACTTGACGGATTGACTCAGTGACTGGGGTAATAAGGGTAGGTGTGTGTGAAACTGGCTCTAAGGAGAGCAGGATTCGGAGCTATTGTAAATAGCGTTGCTATGAGTCACAGGTGACTCGATGGCACATAACAACAGCAGCAAGGCCACAAGACTGCCGAATGCCTGACAGCCAGCTCTCTGTGTTTAATGCTGTGCTCATGAAGGTTCCATCTGCCACACCCGCCTCGCTGTCCTCTCTGGCCACGACGCCTGTGTGACAAAATGGGTCGTCCGTGCCTGTACGGGGTCTCTGACCTCAAGGATAGCATAAGAGGGAATCTTGCAAGCCCTGTGCTTGTGAGTGGGCTGATGCCTGGATATTTGTTACAGATGGGTCTTCGTAATCCTGGGAAACCTCTGGAAATTAAGTTGCTTCTAGGATAAGAATGGGAGTTTCTGGGGAAAAATCAGGGGAACTTCACCAGAACTGGGATAAAGATTTAATTAAAGTCTTTAATCAGGAACCATTTGATGTTCCTGGAAATGATAACATACAAGATGAAAATATAAAAGAAATTGAGATTGCTCTTAAAAGTATAATTTTGAATATGATCTTTGAGTATGTATCTAATTCTTCTTTTGTGATACTTGCAACTCATATTTAGCAATGTAATTGTATATTAAGAGTATTAAGAGAAAGTTTAGACTAGTTTTAACAGCAGAAAGTCATAGTTAATGAGAATAAAACAGAGAGGTTTAAGAAAAGACTCAAAAGACAAACTTCTCTAAAAGTAAAGGTCTCTTTAAGAAATAGGAAATATTACCAGATAAATAACAGGTGGTGGGAAGAAAGTACTTATAAAGGACCATATGTCCTGCCAACTCCAACACCAGTACCTCTTCCTTATACAGACGTTTTGTATTCCAAGGAAAAAGAATTGAATATTACAAATTAACTTGGTAAAAACAAGTTAAAGGAAGTCGTCCACCTTAGTGCACATTGCCAAACAAAAAACAAATTAAAATCTTATGAAACAAGTTGCAAAAGCTATTGTTAAACATAGGAATGGTCCAGAGTGTAGGAAAATAGATGTTAAGATTCGTTAGGTACAGTACAAATATGAGTACAAAGGCAAAAACAAAGGTGGCTAAAATACAGTGACACAAAGTAGGAGAGGAAAGGAAGTGAAATGTAAATCATTAACCATTGTCTAGCAGATGACCAACATAAGGTCATTGTGTTTCTTGTTCAAAGAATGTTTAATAGCCGATGCTATTATTCAGTAATAGAAAATACTTTCTTTTTGTTAAAATCTTATGTGAGCTTTGTAATCACAAAATGTTGGCTATAAGTCAAGTTTAAACAAGTTTAAATGTATAAAAATCAAGCTTTTAGCATAATAAATCAGAGCTCTCTACATCATCCTGGTGTGCAGACTCTCATTTTCGCCGACTTCGTCCCTCACCTGCTCTTCACCAAGAAACCCCTTGAGTTTCTTGTCACGACCGTGGTCGGGTGGTCGGTGACATCCATCAGTAACTGTTCAGGTAATTTGCAGAAAAATAGACCCATTTGATCCTCAAAAAAACACTGTGTGATACATCTAGTTACCTGAGATTGAGAGCATGTGGACAGAAATTACCTTCCGTCTTTTTGCTTTAGCACCTGTGGTCATGACTGAGAGTCAATGCTCCCAGACTCAACTCTGAGTATACCCCACAAGAAAGCAGCTGCACCTTTGGGGTCCTGCCTGTTTTGTGTAAGAAGACAACACTGAGCAAGGGGCCCTCAGCAGGTCACCAAAACCTGACGGGTTCACAGTGTGTGCCAGGGGCAAGCCGGAGCGGCTGTGGTGTGAAGGCACTCGGACAGGCCAGCACTGAGGCTCTATCCAACTTACCCGGTGTATCCAACAGTGAGGCTCTATCCGTCTTACCTGGTGTACCCAACAGTGAGGCTCTATCCATCTTACCTGGTGTATCTTATTCTTGATGTCTGTGAAGAGGTGTTCATAGTTCCGGTCATGTCTGTATACCAGAGTAGGTATCCCCTAAAATGAAAGAGAAGCTTTTTTTAAAAAAAAAAATAGTTAAACCCACATGGAGGTTTCCAGAGATAGCAAAAGGAACTCAGCTACAGCACCATACACGAGGCGAGAGGAACCCTGCCTGCCGTGATGCTGGACTGTGCAGTCCAAGGACCACAAAGGCTCCAGATGAGGTGGAGTTGACAGTTCATCACAGTCCTGTTCAAGCCCTGCTGTGCCCAGACCACAGTGAACAAGGCCGTCCAGTTGTTGGCCATGGGGAGATGACACGTTGTTCCTTCAAGGCACAAGCACCATCAAAGAACGACTGAGAAGGGGCCGTGTGTGTCCAGGAAGGAGTGTGAAATGCAGGTGAGGTCAGAGGGGAGGGCTCACAGAGGGTGTAGGGATGCAACTGGGTGGAGGCCAGGCCAGGCTCCGGCGTGGACATGACTGAGTGGGCAGTGATGGCTGCTGAGAGTCCAGTCAGGAGCCGGTGCAGGGTCACATATCAGGCAGGAGTTTGGACCAAAGTGGGGCGTGGTGTCTAGATAGAGACCTACAGACGGCAATCCCCCCAGGACCTGATGCCAGGCTGTGTGGAGGCAAAGAGGCAGGGGGAAGAGGTGGCCACGAGGGTTTCCATGGGTAGTGGGTGACGCCGGTCACTATGTATGGTGGAGAAGTCTGGACACGAGTCCAGTGTGATCTGCAGAGCGAGCTGTGGCTCCGAGGGGCAGGTGCTGATGCAGAAGGAGGCTCAGGGAGGACTGTCCGGCACAGACGGGCATGACTGAGTGCACTGGGCTGGCTGTGATGGGAGCCACGCAGCTGGACACACGTGCGGGCCTCACCTTGAGGGTCAGCCTGGGTTTGCCCTGGAGGAAGCGGCCGGTGAGCTGGCGCTGGATCTTCTCGAGGTCGAACTCCTGCAGGGCTTCTCCACCCTGCTCCACTCTGTACTGGCAGTTGGAGAGAATCAGGGGCATCAGGTCCCGCTCCGGCTCGTAACTGATGACGTGCAGGTCGGTGACTTCAGAGGCATCGATGACGTAGCTGAGGGCATGAAGACAGCCAGGGCTGAGGCCGGCTCTGGGTGCCACGAGGACCCAGCGGACACGTGAGCTGCAGGGCTGACTGCTGCAGGGCTGACCGGCTGCAGGGCTGACCGGCTGCAGGGCTGACCGCTGCAGGGCTGACCGGCTGCAGGGCTGGCCGCTGCAGGGCTGACCCGCTGCAGGGCTGACCGCTGCAGGGCTGACTGGCTGCAGGGCTGACTGGCTGCAGGGCTGACCGGCTACTTCGTGCACTCACCTGCTCCTTTCCGTGGAGAACTCGTCCACTGTACGCACCATCTCATTGTGCAGGTGGATCAGGTAGCTGACTAAGGCGGTGGCACAGAGGCCCCGCTCCCGGCGCCGCGGCAGGATGACCTCAAAGGGGGCGTCCAGATCGAGGTCGGTGCTGCAGTAGTCCTGAGGAAGCTTGAGCTCACCTGGAAACAGCAGGGGCCCTGCCGTCAGGAAACGGCAGGCCACGGGGGTCCTGCTCCACACCTCAGTCCTCACGTCAGGGGAAGCCTGCCTTTACGCACGCGGGCGGAGGAAGAACTTGGAAGTCACCAACCACTGCACAAAGCTGGGGCCAGGAACCACCCCTCCTCTGTGTGCTCAGAGGCTTTGAGGGTATGCAGCCTCTCCCTGTATTTCTTTCTTGTTAGGTGTTGTTACATCTGGTCTGACGCACAGTGACTCCCCTGCAGCAGAACTAAGCCTGCCTGGTTCTGCGCTATCCTGGTAAATCTCCACTGTGCTGAAGCCCACCAATGCAGTTGCTATGACAACCCAATACTACATATCCACATGCAGGACTAACGTGTTACGTCACTTATCCCAGACAGTCCCGTCCAAAGGCTCATAGACCCAGCACTGACCTGCACAAACTATGGGGCTGTGATGTCAGGGACAGACAAAATTAGGCTCAGGAGAAGGTCTCTCCAGCAGCCAACGCTCCTGCTATGTCGTATGATAGGGGCCATACAACGCACTTACCGCTGGTCTCGAGTGATTTCCTCAGCTGGTTCCACGTCATGAGAAAGACAGTGATTTTGTCATGAAACAACTTTTTCATCCCATCTGAGCAAAAACCAACACAACAAACTTTCAGAACCCATGTTAGCACCAGTCTGGGGAACACCTATAACGACTCTTTGGAGAGAATCAACTTCACCTTCATGAAATCATATACATGTTTTAAAAGCTCTTTTAACACAAAGCAGATCTGAGGAGCCAGACAGAGCTGTAGCACAAGCCTCTGATGTGTCTCTGGGACTCGTGAACCCTCACATTTCATGCCAACAGCTGAGGATGCGGTGCACTCCCCACCCCCAGCTTAAATGCTTTCCTGAGCCACCCTGCACAGGGCGTCCTGCCCAGTTACCAACGTCCTACCTGACTCCTGACTGCTGATAAAATCCTTGAGGGATCTGAATTTGACCTCTGACACATTCTGGAATCGCTTTACCAGGTTCCTTTGCAGGGCCAAAATCTCAGGCAGGAATTTCACCAGTCTCAGTTCTGGTTCCTGGGAAGAGCAGACACTCAGTGCATTTTTAATAAGATATCTAAGAAGCGGTATGAGGGAAACCTCTATGGCTGCTGGCTCAGGACTGTGTTTGATCTGGTCAGCCTGGCTTTTGACACATCAGAGCTGGGAAAAGGGGACAGAACCATACTTGTCTTCTGGCAGCCGTCTCCTGGCTGCACTCGGAGACAGAGCGTGGGACAGGGCAGAGGCCCCGCCTGCCTGCATGGCACTCACATATCCATGCGTGTGCCATCAGGACTGAGCTGGGCATGGAGAGAAGCTTCTCAAAGCAGGAAGATCAAGACGTGGATACTGGTGCTGCATTATTGCTGGATGTTGTTTTGAAGAACTGACATCCACCACCTTCAGTTTAATAAGGCCGAGAACATCACAGAGTTCACAGTGTTCCTACGAAGTGCTTCCTAGAGTTAATGAAACTTCTTGAATAGAAAAGCCAGAAGCACCTAATATTTTTTAAATCTAGCAAAGGATTTAAAAAAAATAACTTTTTTATCGTGTTTTGAGTAAAGGTTTACAAAACAAATTAATTTTTTTTTTCTTGTTATGTGTCATTGAGTCAGATCTGACTGGCACAGGAAGAAGCTGCTCCCCCACTTTTTCCAGTGGAGCATCTGGTGGATTCAAACCATGCGCCTTTGGGATTGCAGCGCAGTTTCTTGTCACTAGGCCACCAGAGCTCCCTCAAAGCAAATTTTTTTTTCATTCAACTATTTACACACATTTTTTATAACATTAATTTTAATACTTATGATGTAATAATCATTTCCCCCCATTTCTTCCCTTTAACTATGATTTCCATTAATCTGTCTATATCTTTCTCTTTCCTTTATTTTAGTGATGTTGTGCTAACCATCTCCTATTAGATACTATCTTTGCTGTCACCCTTATCAATATGTACCTTTGATTTATCTACTAAGTTGCTTTCTTTTATTTTTTTAAAGAATCATCTTAGTTCTTGCTAGACTATAAACGCTGGCTCATGGAGAGAAATGCTTATGAAATACACAGGAGGAAGGAAAGGACCGCGTGGACTGACATTAGAAAGGATGTGTTCCCAGCTCTGACACACGGGGCTGGGATACTGCACTGCCCTGGTCCTGCCCTGGCCCCTCACACTTGTCCTCCTGCCTTCAGCCTGAGGCTACAGTTGAACAGGGACAGGGTTGGTGGGTTTGATCCGGCGAGCATTCCTGACTCAGTTGTTTGTTTTTGTCAGAAGTCCCTATGCTCTTACGTTTCACTGCGTGATCGGAGAGGCACTCTTCTGGTTCTTCATTTCGTTATGTCGTTGAGTTGGCTCTGGTCTCATCTACCAGAACAAGATGCGACCTAGTCCTCCACGTCTTCACGGCAGAATCCAGGGCCGTAGGCAATGGCCTCCCATGCAGGTCACTACTAATTCCAACTTGGGCTGTATTTCATCTGTGACTTGATGCTTCCACTCTGTCTTGTTTGAAGTATGTGATGTTCTGTCTAAAGGACACTAAAGGACTCTGGGGTCAACAGAGGAGACCGCCCAGCAGCACAGGCCCACACGGTGAGCGGACCTACCATCTGCAGGAACTTCCAGAGGACGGGCACTGCCTCCCGGCTGCTTTTCTGCTCCACCACGTGCTGCAGGTGCTCGGCGGTGACCCTCTTTCTGGGTCTCCACATCTTAGAGCAATGGACCGCGCTCTTTTGGGGCAGGTGACACAGGAAGGCCGAAGGGTCGCCGTAGATGATTTTGGCCACGGGGTTGGAGCTGACGCGTTCATCTTGGCTGATGAGAGCGTTGACAGCCAGCAGAGTTTTGTCGAGATGCTAAAGAAGAACGTGAAAGACACCACCATGAACAGACTAGGACGCCAAGCGGTCTCCTTTGTTGTAATTCAAGCATTTCTCTTTGTAGGTTTATGTCTCCCCAAATAGAATGAGATTCAAAGACCTGGATTTTATTCCCATTCTTTTTTCCTGACTCTGTTCACTGAGGAGCTTGGTGAACCTTGATACTTTTATCTACCGCAGGAACAATCGCTCTCTAAATCCTAATGCGTGACAGTGGACAGCCACATGGCGGTGTTTCTCTACCTTTCCTCTCACTCTCTGCTGTAAAAACAACAGAGAACTGCCACCTGGTCGCCCCTTAGCCCGACTCACCCACTGCCTCAGGTGGAAGGGGCACTGGACAGAGAACACCTCCATCGAAGGCTTCCTACAGACTTCCAAAAGGCACCATGGGCCGAGAGCCCAGGGGTGCCCCGTTTTCCTAACCACGAGCCGTCAGTACTCACCTCCAGCTCAGAGGAAATGATCGGCTCCACAGCCTTCTCCCAGCTGTTTCTCAGCTCTCTGGTGGACAATCTTGCATCAAAATGTAAGTGCCCTGCAAAGAAAAATAGCATCTGTGGGTCGGGAAACACTGAGTATCGTCAGTGTTCCTTTTAGAAGGGTGGGTCTTTTCCTAACTTGAATGGTTCCTGCTGCTCCCACCAACCTAAGGATTTTTGTGCAGATGTCCAACCTCTAACATTTCCCCGCCCACACAAGTATAGCCCTAAAGTCATATGTATTCTGAATGAAATAACTGTGAGGACAGGAATTGGAAGCCAAGCCCTTCACAGCTGCTTCTGAGCCAGCAGGCAGCTTTGCAGTCCCAGGACATGGATATGGGCCATAGACACTGCTGGCATACTTAATTCAAGGACCAGGTCTTACATACTTGGAGGAAAGGACTATGCTCGTGAATCAAAGACTTAACACTGAGAAAATGTTACTACGACCAAAAGTGATCTACAGATACAATTTAACTTAGAGCCCATCATCATTCTTTAGAGAGATGGAAACAGTAATCACCAATTGTATCTGGAAAGGAAAGAGATGTTGGATAAGCAAAGCACGAGTGAAGAGGAAAACGTAGGAAGCCCTGCACCTCCGGATTTCAAAGCCCCAGGAAGCACTCTGCAGAGTGACAGGTACACGGACCAGTGGAGTAGTATTGAGACCCCGGAAAGGAATCCATGCATCTATGGACAGGCGATCCCTGAGGAAGAGATGAGATCCATTCAATACGGAAAGGACAGCCTCTTAACAAATGGTGCTGGTAAATTTGGATATCTGCTTGCAGAAAATGGAAACAGGATCCGTACTTCATACCACACACAAAAACTAACTCAAGGTGGATCAAGGACTGACGTGTAAAACTTAGATAAAGTTTATAGAAGAAAAGATTAATGCCAATGTGGTGGCCCTAGTCTACGGCATACTGCTGTTGTGGACTGGAGAGTGGGAACTGGCCCACAGCTGACCCTCCAACGGGTTTTCAGAGGCAACTCATCACACGGGAGGAGACTGCTCATCTTTCTCCCATGGAGAAGCTGGTGGCCTCGAACCACATTCCTCTGTGATTGCAGCGCAGCTTCTTGCCTCTAGGCCACCAGAGCTCCCAACTTAATCTTAGCCAAAATGCTGAGAAGCAAGAATTTATGGCATAAGTAGACTCATATAGAATTGAAAAGGAGTCATTGATAGAGGATATCTAGAAGACTGGGACTTCCTAAAAGTGAAATCTGCAGGTACATCAGAATATTTCTCCAAAAGAGTAAAAGGACAATCTACAGACTGGGAAAAGTATTTGACAATGATATATCTGATAAGGAACTATTCTAAAATTTGTAGAAAATGACAACATTTCAACAAGAAAATGACAACTCAATTACAAAACGGACAGAGGACATGAAAAGACACTTCGCTAAAGAACACATTGTTATTGTTGTTGTTATGTGCCATCAAGTCGCTTGCTAGATGACTAATCAACACACAAGGAGATGCCAAGATCTAGCTGTTGTGAGGAGCCTGCAAGTTGGAGCAGACTTGGCTGACCACCCAGCAGGTTCGCAGAGGCTGGAAACTGCCCAAGAGGAGACTGTCCATCTGTCATCCTCAGAGGAGCTGGTGGATTTGAACTGCCTGCCTCTGGATTGGCAGTGCAACTTTCTACCCAGTGGCCACCAGAGCTCCCTTCCTGGCTCTGTTGTCGCCACCTGACGCTGAGTCAGAAGTGCCTCATAGAGGGGCCTCCTGGGGATTTTCAGAGGCTGTAAATCACATAGGCGGAGACCCCTCGTCTTTCTCTAGACGAACAGCTGGTGGATTTGAACTTCCTGCCTTTGGCTTCGCAGTGCAACTCCTTACCAGCAGGCCGCCAGAGCTCTCCTCATTAGCTACCGTTGTGCACTGTCAAGACAGCACGGACTCAGAGCTGACCCTCCAGTGGGTTTTCAGAGCCAGTAAATCACACGAGAGGAGACTGCCCATCTTTCTCCCATGCAGCGGCTGGTGGATTCAAACCACATGCTTTGGGGTTGGTAGTACAGCTCCTTACCCCTCGGCTATCACAGCTCCTAAACAGTAAATCGCAAAGAAGGAGATGCCCTCCCATCTCCCACGAAGCAGAGCTCTTGGAGAGATACAGACCAAAACAACCGTGAGATACCGTCTCACCGCAGCCACGATAGCAAGATTCAGCAGGACAATAAACAACACATGTCGGCAGGGATGTGCAGAGATTGGAACTCATACACCGGTAAGTGGAGAGAAGAGTGAGGCTGGCAAGGATTGTATTCTACTCGGTTCTATAATCGATGCCTAAAGTAGCAGTAGTGAAAAGTAAAGAAAATAAAAAAAACTAAAACAAGGTACTGCATTGGGAAAAATGTGCGGGAAAAGATCTCTTTAATGTGTTAAAACCCAAAGCTATCACCTTGAGGACTAAGGTGCGCTCGGCCCCGGCCGTGGTCTATTCGGTCACTTCCTGTGGGAGCTCTGGTGGCCTAGTGGTAAGAAGCTGTGCTGCAATTCTGAAGGCATGTGGTTTGAATCTGCCAGGTGTTCCACAAGTGGACACCTGTGCTAGTTACTGCCTTTAAAAACCCACTGAGGGTCAGCTATGGGTCAGTTCCGACTCGATGGTCCTCTACATCAACAAGAACTCAACATCAACAACGTAGGAATATGAAAGCTGGACACTGAGTAAGGGAGATGTAAGAATTGATGTCTGAATTGTGGTGCTGAGGAAGAATACCACGGTTTACCGGACAAAATGATCTTGAAAGACATTCAGTCAGAATGCTCTGGAAGAAGCAAACGTATGAGGAGTCGCCTCGCATCATTTGGGTATGTCATCAAGAGGGGGCCAGGCCCTGGGGAAGGATGATACGCTTGGACAAGTGGAGGGTGGCTGAGAAGGAAGATAAGCCTCCTTGGGATGGACAGGCACTGGGGCTGCGTCACAGCACAGGGCGGCTTCCAATCTCTTGTGCGCAGGGTTTCCATGAGTTAGCACTTACTCAGTGACCCCTAGGAACAACTGTCAGCACAGGACAGGCGACAAGGACAGTCAGGACAGAACATCCATCTATTTAATGGTGATTGATCCCTGGCAAACACCACGCTTTTTGGCGGGTCTATGTTCCCAGCCCCAACTCACAGTGGCCCATGTGCTGTGGCATCAGACACTGTGGCCCGCAGGGTCCCCTGGGTCAGGAATCTCGGACAAAACCTGCCCAGCACAGTGCTGACCTGCAAGCCCTCCGACACGGGGTGGCTCCACGTGCGTGGACCGGCCAGGACTCCAGCCCAGTGTGCTAGGGGAATTCTCCCGTTGAAACTGATGCTCCCAATGCAGCAAGGAAACTAGGCACAGGGCTGAGCGTGGAGATGGAGGGTGTCCCCACATGTAACACTGCAGACCCGTGTGAGTGTCACAGAGCTCAGGGGGCACACAGGGAAAATGGAAGCAAGACGAACCGGTTCCAGTCTCCTATCCAGTGGGGCTTCCCCGGGCCACCACCCTCTCACGCCAGTATTTTACTTGAGTCTAGAGCGTCAGAAGCAGCCTGGCTACTTCGCAGTGTGGCACCTCCATCCTTACCCAGCACTCCCCTCGGCCCAGTACCCCCTCTGGCCCACGTCCTTACACTGGCCCAGCAGCCCCTCTGGCCCAACACCCCCTCTGACCCAGCACCCCTCTGGCCCAGCACCCCCCTCTGGCCCAGCACCCCCCTCTGGCCCAGCCCCCCTCTCTGGCCCAGCACCCCTCTGGCCCATGTCCTTACACTGGCCCAGCACCCCTTATGTCCCAGTACCCCTCTGTCCCATCACCCCCCCGGCCCACGTCCTTACACTGGCTCGAGCTGGAGAGGAGGCAGCGCAGTGTCAGGTGCACCAGGTGAGCAGTCTCGTCAGCGCTCTTGCCCAGCATCTTGGTCAGCTGCTCCACGTTCCTCTGAATGTGCTGCTGCAGGAACCTCTGTGGATCCTGCACGGGAGGCTTGATGAGGTTTCTCAAAGCCTGTAGCAGCAGGGGACACCGAGGGGAAGACCTTGTTTAAAAGTGACAGGGCATGGGACACAGTCCTAAGACGGTGTCTGACATCCAAGAAGTCAGCACCGAGGGCACAGGGCAGAGCCCACCCTGCAGCTTGAGAGAGTCAGAGGGAAGCTGGAGTCTCTGATGCTGCTGGGGCCGCCAACTTTCCTCTCCTGGCTGGTGTGAACTTGACCCTGCTGGTTTCACAGTCTCTCCTCTCTTGGCTGGTGTGAACTCAGAAACCTGGCAGCATCTCTGGAGCGTGCCATGCAGACACAGGTGAAATCTCAATTGCAGCAGCCTGTCCACCTACCAGGTGTGGACCTAAGGCACAGACTGCTCATTAAAGTGGATTTCATCCAATCTGATGAAGAGTTCTCCCATATCTTCATGTATCACAGTGGAGAAATCAGGCATGTGTAAATGCCATAGACTCTTTGCAGTGTCTGTTGTGTTGTCTGTTGCCCCCCAGTCAATTCTGAGTGACAGTGACCTCTGGTGACAGAGCAGAACTACCTGCATGGTCTCTATGGCTGCACACTGTCAGGGCTTTCTGGCAAGGGGCTGCTGCACGGGCTGTTGAACTCTGATAATTTAGTTAGAAAGAAAGTGCTTAACAGCTGCCCCACCAGGGCTCCACTTTGTGACTTAAGGAACAAGAATCCACAGGAAGTGACAAAGACTCGTGAGACAAGACTCCCCACGAGAAAACTAGAGCGGGTGGCCATGGGGAGAGAAGGCGGGTGTCACTGTGCTGTGCATACTTGGGGACTCTTGGTGGCTCCCAGGAGCAGAGCCAGGTGTGTGAGCAAGCGGAGGAGAATGAAGACCACTGGGGAGAGGGCTCGGTCTGAAACTACCACCGTGTCTCTGGCAACAGGGTTTCCCAGCACATGGCCAGTCTGAGTTCTGTCTGTGTTATTTCTGCAAAAGACAAGAGCAATAAAGTCTTCTCAGTGCTAGAGGCACCCAGATCTTGGGACGTGGAGAATGAGGTCAGAGTTTAGGGGAACAAAAGAAAAGCCAAAACCCAATCATAGTAAAGCCTTTCTTTTCAAAAAGCCCTACCAAGTCCAGGGTCTTTTTCTTTGTTGACGAGCTCACCCTTCTGACTGGCCCCAAGCCCTCGGCACTGACTGTACAGGGCTCACGTGACTAGCTTTGCTGTCCCTGGGCAATATTATTGGGATGGGTCTGGATCTGCTGCTGGGGTCACTGTGGGGAGTGGGCAGGCAGGCTCGGAGAAGCTGGAGCCTGGGACAGCGATGTCAGCATGCGGTACACACATGTGTTCCTATTTCCAAGTCAAACGGCACCCCAGGCCCTCCGTGTCCTAGTTGGGAGGCAGATGGAATCTGGTAGGTAAGCTCATGACAGAAATATTAGAATTATTAGGACGTTCTTGTAGTCTGTGGAGAGGACAGAGCCGAGCCTTTACAGAACAGCCAGTGTTGGAAAACCCCACTCAGGTCCCACCTCTCATCTTTGGGGCATCTTCTCACACACACGACTGAGACTGGATTTCTTTCTGAGTTCTGAAGTCTAGTATTTCAGAAGACTTTCTCCATCCTTCATTTTCCGCTAAATAGACAAAGTTAAGACAGCGTGCCAGTGTGCAGACTTTCGCTTGGGGAGATGAACACCTCGCCTTTGGCTTTTCAGATGTAAATAGAACGTGGAGGGAGTGAGCTATTTCTGTCAAGCATATTTCTACAGGCAATGTGCCCCGGACACTGATGGAGACCCCTGAGCTGTTAGGGTGGGTCCGCTCAGGGCCGAGAGCTCAGCCACTGTCCCTCACCTCCCTGGCGTGGTGAATGACGCATAGAACAGACCACGTTTAGTATCCGTCTATCAGGTGGATGAGAAGCAGCCCAGGAGAGCCCGGCCTGCCTGCTGACAGGAAGTACAAGGGTACTCACGAGATGAGAGAAAAGCCAGGCGTGGGCGTGTGATTGACACCTCCGATCGGGGCACCACAGTCAGGACAGGAGGCTTGCTGCATTGGCTTGCCGCACTGGGATGGGGACAGACGGGGTTTGAGCTCAGTGTCAGAGGATACATCCTTTCACATCCCCCGCACCGTGACCACACAGATCGCCTGGGGGGTGGGGGGCGCTGGGTCAAGCTGCTCAGCCTGCCCTGTGTCATTCAGGGGAGGCTGGGGGTGCTGGACACAGGGCAGGCTCTACACATCACCTGGGCACTGGCAAATCAGACTGTGTTTTAAGGAAGGGAGCTCAAGTTTTATTTCCACAGTTTATAGACAGATACATAAACTCAGGCTTCCTTCCTCAAATCCATCACGTCTCCCCATTCCCACCCCTATCACACTGGCCGCCCCCACAGGGGAGCCTATCATCACTCCCAAAACATTCCCCTAACTCCACTGGGACACTGTTACTGAGAAACCCATGGGTACACTGTTTCCCAAGGCTCATTCCCCACCAAAGCAGCTGTGCGAATCACGTCCCCGAGCACACTCATTGCAGACCTGCAGACGGTGGGACTCGAGAGCTGACAGAAGTGTGGAAAGCACCAGTGTGTCCCCGCATTTCCCAGCCGAGGGAGTGAGTGTCCCTCACAAAGAAGCCTGTTCACCTCCAGCCCCTTGTTCTGGGTAATTATTAGCTAAGAGGCTGCCAGTCACTGCGTTCGCCTGTATCTGAGCTACACACACACAGACACCCTGGAGGGGAGTCCTGGCTGAGATGCTTAGGGAGTGATACACAGGGGGGCTGGCAGTGCCTCAGCCTCTGGGTCCGCCCCTCTGAATCTGGACCCCATCTGCTCTCAGAGGGAGATGCTGCCTGGGCCCAGTCAGCATGTCTCACTCTGTGGTGCTTGTCCCACGTTCAGTGACAAAGGGAGCTCGCAGCGGGTCTCAGCCAGGGACAGCTATGTGTCCTGGAGAACCTCTGGAAACATTTTTTGGTTGTCACACTTGAGAAGAGGGACAAGGGTGTGACTGGCACCTACTGAGTCAGGGTTGGTGATGCTGCCAGGCACCGTGCAATGCTCGGGGCAGGTCAGAGAAGCACCGCGGTGAGGGGTGCGCTGCCCAGGGCTGCAGTGCTGACTGAGACCCCCTACATGGGCCTGAAGCTCTCCCAGACCTTCCTATGCTGCACCTTTGCACCACTGAGACATCTGTTTGGACCATCCTAGACCACCCTCAGAATGCGGCCATACCCGGGGGTCACCTTGCATCCAAACCACAGACAGGCTTGTAAAGTGAGTAACAACATGGGTGAAGAGTGGACTTCTCAGAATAACCAACCTTAGGAGAGCAAAGGGCGGCATGTGCCCCCTGAGCTCAGAAGGCAGGAAGGGGCAGGGAGGGAGGACACCTGGAGAAGGGGACCCAGGGCAGTGGGCGCTGCTGCACCACTGTCAGGAAACACGTGTATAAACTGTTGAATAAAGAACTAATTTAAGGAGCTCTGGTGGCCTAGGGGCAGGAAGCTGCACTGCAATCGCAGAGGTGCGTGGTTTGATCCCAGAGGTGCTCTGCTGGAGGAGGAGGGACAATCTTCTGTACCAGTCAGATCTGATTTGATGGTACACAGACACACACACACACACACCCACACACACGCCCACCCCTAATTTTTTAAACCTTCACCCATGCCACAGCTAAAGGGGGGAAAAAGGAGTCTCTGTTCTCTCAGAAGCTTCGGGGCCTCATTCGCCCCCACACCCCATGTGCTATTCCCAGCGCCGACCCCACACTCACACTCTCGGCTCACCTCTCCCACCGAGCACGGATGGCCGTTAGGACAAGCTGTCGGAGCAAGAGAACACACGTTAGGCAGGAGCGTCACCTGGTGAATGTGGTTAAGGCGAGCTACAGGAGGTGGGAGGTGTGGGAAGTCCAGGCCCCCACGGCCTCGGCCACGCCACCCGCTTGCTTAGTAAAGATTTGACACATTTGCTATTCAAGCTTGACAAACATATGTTGTCTGTGAAAAATGCTTCCAAGTTAGTTTTATAAAACAAAGTACGTTAGATCGGAAACTCGCACCTGGGCCCGTGTGGGGAGATGGCATCTTATTCTTCACTTTTCTATCTAACACCATGAGTATGTTTTGGGATTTTTTTTAAACCTAGTTAAAATTATTTATGTGAGGTGACAGAGGATGTGGATGAAGTCATGGGCAGGTGATTCTGTCTCCCAGTTCTGCACTCCAGAAGAGCAATCCTTGGGTCGCACCTGGATGGTACTGGTCTCTGGTCCTAAATGCGCCTCTGACGTGCTTCCCAGCCTCCCTGCAGCCCCACTGAGCAGAACTGTGTCCTGAGGGCTTTGCCCGCCATGGTCAAGGAAAGAAACATGTGGGAGCCTCCTCCAGTCACCGAGGAGCCCTTCCTTCCAACCACGTCAGCAGCCACGTTGGAGTGGGAGGCAGGGCCTTCGGATGCTCAGGCTAATAAATCACAAAGCTCCTGCATGCGAATCAGGGCTCCCAGCGCACAGCTGAGCTGAGATGCCCACACTTACCATACCACTGCACGGTTTCCAGACCCTGCCAGCGCCGAGCTTGAGCCAGCAAGTCTTCAGGCATGGTGGGTAGAAAAGCATTCTGAGGGGGAAAAGCAGAGCTGGATTAGCCAAGTGAGGGGCCAGACTGACTTTACAAGTGACCTAGAGTAAGACCATGGACTTCTGGGTTTCTTTCCTCTAGTCCTGCAGTGACATCCGCACAGCAAACCCAGCAGCCGGTCACTGCGGACTGTCAGGACAAAAGACACAGAGCTCCAGCAGCCAGCCAGCCACGGACGTGGCCTCCAGGGAGGCCTCCGGGGATGCAGCACTGTAGATTTCACTGTGATGTCAACATGCTCCACCCCCCAGTCTTACCACCATGCTGTCTGGGAAGAAGGCCAAGTTCCTCAGGGGTTCCAAGACCCGGTCCTGTGCGTGGAGAAGGACGGCCGCAGCATGGACAGCCATCTCTGTGACCACTGCTTCAAGGCCCCCCTCACTGGGACGTGTCGCCAGCAATGGCAGAGTGTTAGTCACGAGGGACTTTGCAAAATTCTTGGCTTCAGGAGAAAGGATTGTGGTTTCTTCAACTAGTCCAATCATGGCTTCACATTGCTGATGGGAAAAAAAGACATTTTTATATTAAAGTATGTCAGAGCCTGAGACCACGGCCCTGAGTCACCCCTCCAGCCTGGAGCTAAACGGATCCTCTTAGCTCAATTTAAAGCCAATCACCAGACAGGCTTGTGAGGTGAACACCAGGGGGTACTCACTCCACAGGTCAGTCAGCTACTCCAGAGCACAGAACAGGATTTACCCAGGGGAAAGGAAGGACGGAATCAAGGAGTGCTATAGAGAGGAATGGAGGCACGGAGAGGCACAGAGGTGCAGTGAGGCACAGAGAGGCACAATGAGGTACGGAGAGGCGCAGGGAGGTGCAGAGAGGCACAGAGTCGCAGAGGGGTGCAGCGAGGCACAGAGAGGCAGTGGGAAGGCTGTATCTACCCACTGTCTACATGTAGATACGGTCAGTAATGCCATAACACAGAACAGGTACAAATGGTTGCATTGAAAATCAATAGACTGTGCAAACTCTGACTGAAATCAGAATAGATAAAACACCCAAAGCCATACAACATTAAAGAACTGCTAGTGGCATTAAGAAAATAAATAAAACAGTGCACTTAAGAAAAAAAAAATATGCCACAGAAAAAGAATTATGAGAATTTAAAGGTTTGCTCATGATTAACCATATAGTTTAGTATTAAAGTACCAAATTATCACCCATCTCTGAGGGAAGTCAGTCAGAAGAGACTTTTCATATACAAACACAGCATCCCCCTACTTGAGCGCTAATGTTGATATTCTGTTTGGTAAGCATCACCTTACGTTCGTGACTTTAGTTTTAATTTTAATTCCAAAAGCTTTGACAGAAAGGGTTCTCTGCCTAATGTGCAGGGAGACTCCCCATGAGAGGACAGAATTCTGGCAGAACGTTGGTGTGACTGTCACTTCTCCACAAGAAAGCCGTGAGCACAGGCGGCATGCAGCTGGCACTCACCTCTGGCCGGGGGTGGAGGGCGGCATTCTGGGATCGGTACAGCACAGCAACCTCTCGGAAAAGTGCCAAAAGCAAGTGCACCGCCTGCTGAGTCTGAGGACCCCTGCAGGCCTGGGAAAGCAAGGACACTGAGTGAGACACTGGAGGTCATACAGAGCTCCCTAAAAACAGAAGTCCCCTGTGACCCGAGTGTGAACATGCAATCTTGGAGAGGGTGGGGAAGCTCCGCTCTTCAGGGCTGATGGAAAAACAGCTCTCGGGCTGTAAGGTTCATACAATATTCTCGCCTTAAACCCAAAGCATATTTATGAGGAGGCTTATGGCAGAAGTAACAGAGATTATCTCTTGCCTTCTTTCTGATGAGTTCAAGAGTCTAGAAACCTTTCCCGAACCGAGAGAGGATTTCCTAGTTCCTCCTTCCCCAGCATGATGCCAGGGCCAGCTGGGACTCAGAAGACAAAATCTGAATGTTTTAAAGGTTAGGTTCTAAAAGCTTTGCATCTTTCTTAAAATAAATGCATGATAAAGCCAATAAAGCATAAATACACTCTTGGCACCAGTAGCCACAAAATAAAAAAATGTATTGTGATGGGAAAGTCTGCTGTCAGGGACCTCTCCAGGGTACTGAAGAGCAATGGTGTCACTCTGCAGACTAAGGTGCGTCTGATACAGGCTATGGTCTTTGCAATCACTTGTTATGCATCAGAGAGTTGGACAATGACTAGGGAGGATAGAAGAAGAATTGATGCCTTTGAGCTGTGGTGCTGGAGAAGAGTATTGAATGTACCCTGGAATGCCAAGAAAACAAACAGATTCATACTAGAGAGGGTTAAACCAGGCTGCTTCTTGGAGGCAAGGATTCTGAGGCTTTGTCTGACATACTTTGGTCATGTTGTAAGGAGGGACAGGTCCTTGGAGAGGGACAGCGCAGGAGGGGAAGGCCTTCTATGAGGTGGATTGATTCAGTGACTGGGGTAATCGGGATGAGTGTGTTGGAAACAATGAGATCGGCACAGGACAGAGCAGAGTTTAGGGCTGTTGTACATAGGGTCGCTATGAGGTGCAAGCCACTCGACGGCACATAACAACACCACCACCACTACCACCACAAACAATGAGGCTAGAATGGGACTGTGGTAGCTCAGTGGGGAGGTACTCAGCTGGTAAGTCAAAGGTCAGGAGTTAAAATCCCCCAGCTGCTCTGCAGGAGAACAGGAAGGCCTCTGTAGAGACTGTTGTTATGTGCCGTTCAGTGGACACCAACTCACAGCAGCCCTCTGAATAACAGATCTGAGCCCGGTCCCGCTGTGCCTTCCTTGCCACCTGTGAGTCCACTGTTACGGTCACTGTGTATCCACCTTGTTAAGGGTCTTCCTTTCTTACACTGGCTTTTCCCAGCATGATGTCCTTTCCCAAGGACCGGACGGCTTCTCCTGACAGCATGGCCGAAGGATGTGAGATGAAGCGTCACCATCCTTGCCTCCTGGGGGAACTTTCTCCAAAGACATACTGATTTGGTTTTGTTGTTGTTCCTGGAATATCCAGTCCACTCTTCCAATACTACAACTCAAAGGTATCGATTCTTCTGTCGTCCTTATCATTGTCCAAGTGCATAGGAAGTAATTGAAAAGGCCATGGCTTGGGTCAGGGGTGTCTTAGCCTTCAAACTGACACCCTGCTTCTTGCTCTTTCCTGCTGGTAGCCCAGGTGTCACTGTGGTTCCAGGGAAGGTGACATCATTGACAACTGCGGACTTTTTCTCTGTCTGTCATGATCTTCCCTACCGGCTCAGTGGTGAGGACTTTTGTTTTTTGAGGTTGATCCATATTGAAGGGTGTAGCCTTTATCTTCTGCATTACTGTCAAGCATTTTAAGTCCTCACTTTCAGCAAGCAAGATTGTGTCATCTGCATAACAAAGGTTGTTGAGTCTTTCTCCTATGCAGATGCCACATTCTTCATAGAGTCCAGCTTCTTGAATGATTTGCTTAGCATGCAGATTCAGTAGGTACAGAGCAAGGATACAGGCCTGATTCACACTTTTCTGGATTTTAAATCATTCTCTTTCATTGTTTGGACAACAGCTTCTTGGGCTAGGTAAAGGGTTTTGCATTCTGGGATTTTCATTCTTCTCAATAGCCATGATTTGTTGTAATACACATAACTGAATACCTTTGTACAGTCAAGAAAACACAGATAGATATTCTGCTGGTATTCTCCGCTTTCTGCCAAGAGACACAGATAGACATCCTTCAGGTATTCTGTTTTCTGCCAAAGTCCATCTAATATCAGCAGTGATATATCTGGTATCACAGCTTCTTCTGAGTCCAGCTTGAATTTCTGGCAGTTCTCTGTCTACATACTGTTCTAGCTGCTTTAAAAATAATCTTCAGCAAGACTTTGTTTGCATTACTGTTCAATAATTTCTATATTCTATTTAATCACCTTTTTTTTTCCTCCTTTTTTTTTAAGAATGGGAACAAATATGGCTTTCTTCCAGGCCAGGTATCTATCTTCCAGATTTCTTGACACAGCCTGGTGAGCACATCAGGGCAGCATCTGTTTGCTGGAGCATGTCAACTGGTATTCCATCCATTCCTGGGACCTTGTTTTTTGCCAATGCCTTTAGTGCAGCCTAAACACCTTCCTTTATTATCATTGGTTCTTGATCATATGTTACTTCCGGAAGTGGTTTTGAGTCAACTTGTTCTTTTGGTACAGTGGCTCTCTGTACTCTCTGTACTGTCTTTTAGTGCTTGTTTACTAAAACGTTCAAGATTTAGCCCAGACCGTTCTTCAGTAAACAAGCAACTTAAGCTTTTCATTTCTCTCAGTCCGAGAAATTCTGAGCAAGTTCTTCCCTTTCTATTTCATGGCTCTAGCTCGTTCATTATAACACTTTGCTTTATCTTCTCGAGCTGTCCTTTGAAATCCGTTCAGCTCTTTCACTTCGCCCTTTCTCCCCTTTGCTTTGGCTTCTCAATGCTCTTGTACAATTTTCAGAGTTTCTTCTGACATCCATTTTGGTCTTTTCGTTCTCCCTTGTCTTTGTAATTATCTTTTGCTTTCTTTTGGATGAAATCCTTGATGTCATCTTACAGCTTAGCTTATCTGGGCTTTGATCATTAGCGTTTAGTGCCTCACACCTGTTCTTGATACGGTTTCTAAATCCAAGGTCATATTTTCGTTCCTGGGGAGTTGTTCTGCTTTTCCTCAGCTTCAGTTTGAACTTGCATATGAGTACTTGATGGTCTGTTCCACGATCAGTATTTGGCCTCGTTTTAACTGTTGATATTGAGCTTCTCCGGTGAGTCTTTCCACAGAGGTAGTCAGGCTGATTTCTATGTAGTCCATCAGGTGAGGTCCATGTGTATAGTTACTATTTGTGTTTTTGTTTTGTTTTTTTTAAAAGAGAAATTTGCAATGACATAAATCATTGATAGTTTAAAGTTCAATCTTTTGCTCTCCAGCCTCATCTCAGCCTCACCAAGGGACTAATTTCCGACTACCAGACCTTCTCTATTTCCAACTTGTATAATCCAGTAAGCAGTTACTATTAACGCATCTTGCTGGGACATTCAGTTGATTTCAGACTGCAAAAGGCGGTGGATTCTCAATTTCCTCTTCAGCTTTAGTAACCTTGCGAATTTTAGAGGAAAGCTCTGCTCTCTCCTTCAGGGTGCTGCAAGTCAGGATCCACCTGACAGCAGTAGGTTTGGTTTGATTTCGGGGATCAATCTATATGCTTCATAGATCATTTGAGAAGCTGGACTTTATGAGGACACACGTAATATCAGGATCAGAGGAGGATTCATCAACAGCCTTCATTGGGCAGAAGACACAATCTTGTTTGCTGAAAGGGAGGACTTGAGATGTTTGTTGCACAAGATCAAAGACTCCAGCCTGTAATATGGATTACATCTCAACATCAAGAAAACAAAGATCGTCACCATCGGGTCAATAGGCGACATCGCGATAGCGGGAGAAAAGACTGAAGTTGGCAATGATTAATCTTGCTTGGATCCACAGTTAACACCAATGGCACCAGCAGTAAAGAAGTAAACAAAAAGAGGTATCGCACTGGGAAAGTCAGCTGTCTAGGACCTCTCCACAATCCTGAGGAACAGTGGTGCCAACGTAAAGACTGAGTTGTGCCTTATTCAAGCCACGGTCTTTTCAATCACCTGCTATGAATGCTGGACACTGAATATAAGGATAGAAGGAGGACAGATGTCTTTGAGTCGTGGTGTTGGAGAAGAATGCTCGGTGTCTTGGACTTCCAAAAGAACAAACAGATGTGTCTCGGAGAAAGTGCACCCAGAGTGCTCCTTGGACGCAAGGACGGTGAAGCTTCATCTCACAGACTTTGGGCATATTGTTAAAGAGGCTATTCCTTGAAAAGGACATCACGCTTGGAATGGTAGAGTCCGTAAAAGAGTAAGACCTTCAACAAGATGGACTGAAACCGAGGCTGCAGAAATGAGATCAAGTTCATCAGTGATAAGGATAGCACAGGCGAGGACACGGTGCCTGTCTGTTGTCAGGGTCATTGGACTCAACTTAATGGCACTTCACAACAACAGGAAGGACCTCACAGGAAGTTCTGGGCATGGAATCAGAGAGCCACTAATGGCCGTGACAGGAGACACAGCACATCTGTGAACACAGCTCAGCGGTGGTGGTTCCCTGTTCCAGCAGCTTGTCGACAAGCATGGCCACTGTGCCTGTTGGAGGCCTGGACGTGTGTGTGCTCGGAGAGCATGTCAGTAGTCCATCAGCCTTCTAAACCATGTACCAAACACGTGAAACGCAGGCCAGCCTGTGCCCTGGAGAGACTGGAGCCCGCCCTACCTCCAGTGTGGCTCTGAGGCCCTCGGGGTTGCACTGCAGGACGGCTTTGCCCACTGCATCTCGAAGAGCCTTGTATCCGTCACCGTACACCAGGAAGCGGTCCAGCTGGCCTGGGTAATCCGCCTGCAACTCCACCAACATGAGACTCAATCAGGGCCAGAGCCCAGGAGAGCGCTTTGCAAACACTGTCACCACAGGTAAGGAACCAGGTCATGGAGAGGGGAGGGGAGAGGTGAGCTGGAAGTCCCTGCCCCCAGAAAAGTGCTGCCAGGAAGCGCTTCCTCCTCAGTGTCAGGTGAGGAGTAGGTGAGGACTGGCCAGAGGCTCTGCAGCGTTCTCTGTACCCAGCACGCACCCAAAGGCCAGCTGACTTCACACACAGAACAATGAGGTGCAGGACAGTGAGGCTGTGTGGCTCTCTGAGCACTGCACTCCTTGGCCCTCAGTTCCCGTTCTCCTTGTCCCTGTCTGCCAGAAACAAGCAAAGCGGAGCCTGGCTTTGACCATGACCCTCGATGGGGTGTGTTGACCCGAGTTTACGACAGACCAGCAGTGCGGCTCACCCATGCACGGGCTTATTCCCCAGGGCGGGCAGTCAGGTGTCATGACAGGCAGGGCTGGATGCCTGACGCACCGGAGAGACCCAGAGGGGACCCCTGTCCCAGTGGCTGTGGGAGGCAGGAAGGGGGGGTGGCAGCACTGAGACAGGCAGCACCGCCCTGCTCACCTGCTGGGCAATGACCTCCTTGGGGAACACCCACTGGGCCGGGTGGCCGCGTCTGGCCAGGCTCTGCACAAAGTCCACGGTGTACTGACTCGTGAGTCTCCTCACCAGGTACACACGGAACCAGTCGTTGCCGCTGTGCACGCACAGGCGCTCCACCTCCTGCAGGTAGCGCCGTCTTTCCTCGGTTGTCTCTGCAGAGTTCAGGGAGCACAGCTGGTCAGCGGCCTGGACAGAAGATGACAGCAGAGGCCCTTCCGGAAGAAAGGGTCTCGGAAGGAGCAGCGCTGCTTTAAGGACAGCTCTCTCAAACGCCTTCATTTCTATGCAGTGGGATCCCCGGGGCTGAGGAGGAGCAGTGGAGACGGCTCACCTGAGCCAGTGTGAACCTCGAAGAGGAAATCTGCGGCTCTGTTGAGACAAAGGCGCAGGCGGGCCACCTGCTGCAGGTAACCCACGGAGGCCTCTGCAGCAGGCCCGCGGCCGCCCCTCCACGCCGCCTCCTCTGTGAGGGTCCTGAGGAAGTGGACGTCCTCTAGCAGGTAGCTCAGCGCCTGGTTCTCAGAGCAAGCGCTGGTCTTTTCGTGTATCGAGTCCTAGGAAACAAAGAATGAGGAAGAAGCACTGGCCGTGGTCCGTGGGAGGCAGGCCCAGCCTCGGCCAGTGGCCACCGTGACTCTGGGGAGAAAGGGAGTCATGCTCGACAGCACCTAACAATAACAGTCAAACCAGTGGAGACTAATGCCACCAACACCTTTGTGGTATTGTAGGCTGTGTCTGTGTCTGTTCATTGCACCGACTAAATGACACCAAATGTGTTCAGAAACACTTTCCACCATGTAAACCACACGGCTCAGAGCTGGCGACAGAGACAACGGGAGGTGAAAGCTTACCTCCAGGCAGTTGATAACCAGTGTGTACAGCTCAGTCTTATCTTCAAGGAGGAATTCTTTCTTTTCCAGTGTGGACAAGTAATCCTGGATATAATCTTTTACTTTATTGAAACTGTGGGAAGACCAAGGTTATCTGTAGTTTTCTCAGACCTCGGGGCTCATTATAAAAACAGACACGTATACATCAATCTGTCTATTTCTTTATCAATAAAGGCACATCAGGGGTTCTGGTACTTGAGTGCATGGGGGGCTGCACTGCTGACCGAAAGGTCGCAGCTCACCAGCAGTTTGACTTCTCAAGTGACTCCTTGAAAGGAAGATGGCAGTCTTCTCCTGTGGAAACCCAAAGGTGGAAAGTTCCACTGGACAGTGGTCAGGGAGTGAAAGACATGGGACTGTGTGTGTGCGAGACATCCACAGAACAGCTTACAGCATGGAGCGGCTGACAGCGTTCAGCACGTTATCAGAGATGCTGAAATCCCTTACTTTCCACGTGCTGCTCTCAGACTGCTCAGAAATCTTCAGTCTTAAAAGTATTGAGAACCTCAAAGCTTTGGCTTGTGTGGGAGAGGATTGATATTTACAGCATTAAAAATTAAAACGGGGAGTTTTAAACCATCAGTGGTTTACAAATAATTACCACATCACATGTTGAAATACGTAACATTATTTTATAATAACCAAACTTAGAAGAGCAGCTTTGTTTTCCTGGCTGCATATCTCCTTCAGGCCCGGCTTAGTGCCGCCTGGCCTGTGCCCTCTGCTGGACTTGCAGGCAGCAGTGGAGGCTCGGGTCCGAGAGGCGAGCACCGAGAAATTATTTTCCCTTTGTGACGTGTTGGCAACTGCAGTGACAGTGCCCAAGCTGTGGTGGGAAAACCACTGTCCACGTTGTCTTAAGAGGACTGGCATCGCGGCAGATTACTGCTGGGCCACTGAGTGGTGCTGTGCACATTCTCAGGAGTGAGAAAAGGGAAGCCTCGCTTTGCACAGCCTTTCCTGGTCTTTCCAGATCACCCTGGGTGTCCTTTGATATGCTGCTAAAACTAGATAAGTGATTACTTCCAAAGGTCAAATGCAATATGAAATCTGAAACTCCATCAGTATACTTTCCAGTCTTTTACTGTTTCCTGTTATACTCACATCAGAGGACATAAGGCACTGGTCAGCTGGGAAATCCTACTTCACTGAGTTATGACAATCTTCTAAACATTCACACATTCTTATTCTAAATATATTTTGAAATCGCATCCATTAATATCACCACTGATCTCATGGCAAGTCTTTTTATACTGGAAAGCTGAGAAGGGCACAATGTTAGCTGCGGGTGGTACAGATTTCCCTGTTCATTTAAAAGCCCGGATTTTATCATCACCAGCAAGTGGCACACAAACACCACCTCTCTCAAATCTGATTTCAGGCATCAACATCGGAAGAGCTGTTTCTATACAAACATCTATGAGAGTTACTTGATTTGTTGTGTTTTTTTTTTATTTTTTAATTTTTTTTAGTTCCCCTCCACTTTGATTCTTTTATTCTGATTTGTATTTTTTTTAAGATGACTATGCTGCCGTACATAGGGTCGCTATGAGTTGCAAACGACTCGACGGCACATAACAACAACAAACAATGCTGCCGAATCAGAAATGAGGCCGAGTGTGCCAAGGATCTTCTAAAAGTAGCTTTATGAGAAGAGATTTCTGAGAATTTCCTCCACCGTGATGACCTGGCGGGACCACTGGTCTCTGGCACCTGCTCCTGGTCACTTTTCTACCCAGTCAGAGTCAGAGAAGTTTAAGAATTGAAACAAAAATGAGAAGACATCTAGAAAACTGAGATTGAAGGAGATGCCGCTTACTATCCTAATGTCATAGAAGCGGGTTCTAGAACTCGGATTATGGGAGCCTGTGTGTTCGGGGCGGGGGGTCCCTTCCCTGCTGTCTGGTGCTCTTTGTTGGAAAAGTGTGTGTGGCTGTGCTTTAACACAACTGCATCTGCGCTAAAGAAAGTGGTTCAACCACGTGAAGAACCAGGCGACCTCTGCTGAAAGATCTAGAAGCATCACTAGACGTGGTGAGAAACGCTGGCAGCAGAGGGACTGCTGTGACCGGGGGTCTAGGCGTCCAAGGCAGCTCTCAGGTGTGCTCACCTGTACATCTGCACAGGGACTGCTGTGACTGGGGGTCTAGGCATCTAAGGCAGCTCTCAGGTGTGCTCACCTGTACATCTGCACAGGGACTGCTGTGACCGGGGGTCTAGGCATCTAAGGCAACTCTCAGGGTCAGGTGTGCTCACCTATTCTTCAGCAGAGGGTCTGCTGTGACGAGGGTGTTCTTGGGGGGGTGGGTTTAGGCTCTAAGGCAGTTCTCAGGGTCAGGTGCACTCACCTGTTCTTCAGCAGAGGGTCTGCTGTGACTGGGGGGGGGTGGTCTTAACTGGGGGAGTTTAGGATCTAAGGCAGTTCTCAGGGTCAGGTGCGCTCACCTGTACTTCAGCAGAGGGTCTGCTGTGACGAGGGCGGTCTTGGGAGGGTGGGTTTAGGATCTAGGACAGTTCTCAGGGTCAGGTGCACTCACCTGTACTTCAGCAGCAGTTTCAGCACCACTGAGCGGATGACAGGAGTCTTATCTACCACATCATCGAATGGAGAGAGGAACTTTGTGTGCTCACGGTGTCCTTAAACCAGAAAGGCAAGATAGCTGAGTATCCACCAAACACAGAAAGGAGGCGAGAAGGAGCCCGGTTTTCAGGTTCGTGAGGGGAAAGCGCTTACTCTGGGACTCCTCCCTCAGAAGCGTCTTTTGTACAAAGAGCAGCGCGAGCAGGGCCTCTACGACGTCCTTCTGAGGAGGGGTGTTGTCTCTGAAGCACATGGTGGAGACCAGGTCTACGAAGAAGCCGTTGCACAGCTGCCGGAACTGCGCGTGTTTCTCGACGGCATCCCTTAGGGCAGGTGGGAAGACACAGTCAAAAGACCTGGAGAACTTGCTCTGAAACGCCTCTGTGCAGAACAGCTTGGGATTCGGATGGCATTTTGTTTGTGTAACAAGATACAATTTGTTCTTTGCAGGGAGTAGAGCCAGCCTTGGAATTTGCCTCAGACTCCACTAGGCTCATCTCTTTTCCAGAGCCCTCTGCTCGTCTAATCAGGCAGCGATACCCGCGATATTCCACAAGTGCCTCCAGGAAGCCACCCACCAGGCTTTTCCTTCCGACCTCCTCAGCCGGCATCAGACGAGAGGAGAAGAGAGGTGAACCAGGCACCAGCTGGTGGATTCGAACTACAGACCTTTGGGTTGGCTGAAGCTACTAGAACTCAGTATTCTGACTTATTCAAAAATATAAGCTCCACTAATCTTCTGGTAGATAATAACTCCAGGGGGCTATCAGAAGCAGCTTTCATACATTTATCTTTATAAACATCTAGAGTCCCAAGAAAGGTCCCCCGGCAGATTTAAGGAGCCAGAAAGTTCTAAGTTCATTGAAGTCCCCACAAGGAACCAAACACATTTAGACCTCTCTAGTGGTAAGAGACCGCACTGCCAGCCCAGAGGCACACATTTCCAATCCACCGGGGGCTTCGCAGGAGAAGGATGGGCAGTCTCCTCCCGTGCAGTTTACCTCCTCTGAAAACCTGCTGGAGGGTCAGCTGTGACGTGGTTCTGACTCAATGGTCCCCAACAACACACATAAGGATGCAACGATGCTTTCGCAGGAGAAAGGGTTTTTACCTGTGCTCTTGGGAAACAGTGAGAGAGAAGTCCTCCGGCAAGTCGGTTAAGCAGGAGGGACATCTCATCTCTCCCAGGATGAGCCTGGCTTTAATGCAGCCATGGCAGAACACGTGGTCACAGGGCAGGCACACAGGGTCCCGTGCATCTGCCAGGCAGCTGGGGCACGGCTGAACTTCAAGCCTAGGACCCAAGAAGGTGGTGGGGATCAGTCCTGGAGCAAAGAAGTTGGCTATGAAAACAAAAAAACATAGGGAGCTCTGGTGGCCTAGTGGCAAGAAGCTGTGCTGTGATCCCGAAGGCATGCGGTTCAAATCCACCAGATACTCCACCGGAGAAGGAGGGGCAATCTCCTCCTGTGCCACTCGGATCCAATTCGATGGTAGACAATAATGGGGGGAAAATCAACAACAAAAATAATCCCCACAAAACTAAAAATGTAAGCAGACCACAAGTCTCCTGTCTGGATGGAGCCGGACACTTTACCTGGAGAAGGTCTTGCTGGCGTGGTCCTTACATTTACGGAGAGTGGTCATTATGGCTGCAAAAGGCCTGTGGCTCTTGATGTCGGAGTTGTCTTCTAGACACTGAATGGAAAAGGGAGCAAGGAGAATTCTCACCAGTGTGTAGGGCAGAGGTTGGTGGGGTTAGGTGCACACCTCCCCGAGGTGGACGCATGCCTCTGGGGGGGGTGTGTGTGTGCGTTTCCCCGAGGTGCACATCTCCCTGGGGTGCAGAGGAGGCAGGCCCACGCCCTCCTGTGTGCTAGCTGGGCAGAGCTCTTCAGGCTTCTGCACTATAGCTTGTTGTTGTTGTTGTTGTTATGTGCCATCGAGTCGCCTGCGACTCATAGCGACCCCTGTGTACAACAGCCCTTAGCCCTGCTCTGTCCTGTGCCAATCTCACTGTCTCCAACACACCCACCCCCATTACCCCAGTCACTGAATCAATCCACCTCATCGAGGCTCTTCCCCTCCTGCACTGTCCCTCCACCCTCCCAAGCATGACGTCCCTCTCCAAGGACTGGTCCCTCCTTTCAACATGTCCAAAGTATGTCAGATGAAGCTTCAGAATCCTTGCCTCAAGGAACAGCCTGGCTTCACCCTCTCCAGGACACAATTGTTTCCTAGCAGTCTATGGTATATTCAATACTCCAACACCACAGCTCAAAGAGAATTGTGCTACAGGTAGTGGGGTGAAACCTTCTGGGCTATTTTTAAGAGTTCCTTTACTTCGGAACGCTTGTCTCCGATTATACAGCTTTTTGGGAGTGGGATGAAATTCTTAGCTTCTGATTTTTATCCTTTTTCTTGTTCTTTTAAGGTCCCTCCCAGCTCTACACAGTGATATACTAGAATGTTTGCTTTATTTCTTAAAGGTCTGAAACAGCAGATACAGTCAGAGCTGCACCACCCACCCCTTGATGGCTTCTCCGTTCCTTATCCCACCAGAGGTACTTACTGTACTAGGTCTGCTTGGCTACTAGAGTTTATCTGTGTGCTGCTTACATAATGTGTTGTTTTGTGTGCTTTGGAACCTCAGATCAGGAAGTCCTTCTAAGAGGTTTAGGCAATTTGTTTATTTCCTCGGTTGGTGTAGTGTTTGCTCATTCCTGCTGACTGCTGCACGGTTCCCAATGATAGCTGTTGTTGCGAGGTGGTGTTAGCTGCTGATTACAGCTTATGGTGAACACACGGGATCCTGTGCTGCCCTGCACCGTCCTCCCGACTTCTCACCGCTCAAGCCCACTGTTCAAGTCACAGCGTTAATGCATCTTGTTAAAGGTCTTCCTCTCCTTCGCGGACCGCCCTCTTCCCAGCAGGCTGTCTGTTTCTGAGGACTGGCTCCTTCTAACATGTTCAGTCTGCGAGGTGGCATCTCCTCTGCCTCCACAGTGCACCCTGGCTGCCCGCCTCCAGGCAGGTCTGTCTGTTCCAGGGCACCCGTGGGACCTCGGCTACTCTTCACAGCACGAGCCACGGGCGTGGCTGCCTCCGCCTTCCTGACCTGGTGTCCAGCTCACACTTGATGCCTGTTAGTGGGTGAAAATGCTTCCCGGCTTTACAAACCATTCTACCCAACAGTCTCGTTTGTCTCCTTGAGGCCAAACAGGAAGTTTCTGTAACGTGTGTATTTAGGATAAAGCGCCAGTTTTAGGGAACGCACGTTTTCAAAGTCCAGGAGAGTAGTACGTTTGAGGAGTTGTCGTCAGGAGCCGCCAAGCTGCCTCCAACTCAGCAACCTCACACACAACACAGAAGGCGCCTGAGCCACGCTGTGGCTGAGCCGACATCCGCTGGGGGTTTCCTGTCACATGCACCCCTCGGCGGCATCAAGGATCTCTGGGGCACAGTGTGGAACGCTGACACTTCGACTCCCGCGGTGGCCCTGTGAGAGCAGCTAGGGCAGTTTCCGCCTGTAAAGACTTACAGCCTCGGACCCGCAGTGGACAACGGTCATGAGCGCGCTGGCTCGATGGCTCAGGCGGGAAAGGGCGAGAGGGCGGCACCAGCGTGTTTACCAGCGGTAGATTATTGTCCGAATTATGAATTGTTCTGTACCTTTTGACATTATCTTGCAGTTTATCTTTTGGTCTGTTGTGTAATAACAGTGTACGTGCTGACCATCCTCCTGTACTAATTCATACCACTTTCTCATCGTCCTTAATAAGTGTCAATCTGGACTTTGCTTGTTGGGCTCAAACAAGGAAGAACTCTGTAGCTGGCATGCAAGTGTGAGGCCCTGGGGGCCAGGGAGGAGAGGGCACCTTCTACTGAAGGAGGGGGCAGCAGGGAGAGATGGTGATTTCTGCCAGGTGTCGTCCTGTCCCTTCCCGAGCTGCACACGGGCATCTCCGGGCAGAGGCAGGACGGAGCTATTCCCCTGCTGTGCTCTTTATTTTATTTTCAATTTCAGTGAACATCTACAGATATTTGGGGGTGTTTTTAAGTCCACACCCTGAGCATTCTCTGGCTTCCTGTCTTCTTGACCATGGCAGTGGTGGCAATTTCAGGGAATGACTCTCGGAGTTCAGCTGGGGCTGTGCCTCCTGCCTTGAAATCATCTCATTCCCAGCAAGGACCTTTTCTGCATCTACTAGGAGGAGAGCCTATTCCTGCCGCTGAGCCCTAAAGGGCTGGTCTCTGATTAACAACCAGGACGAGCGTGGACTTACACACTGAAAACCGTAATGACCTCTGTACCTGTGATGCGGCCACGCTGCTCTGCACTTCGGACACCTCTGCCTGCAGCCCGAGGGAGCCATGCAAGGCTGCAGAGATGAGTTCTGTCTCCCCGCCTCTCCTCTCAGACGGGGCAGAGCAGTGGACCCGTGGAGACAGGTGAGCAGGCACTCACCTTGTTGAGGGAGATGGTGTAATCGGTCACCAACGCGCGCAGCTCAGCACTCTGACCCTCTGTCCCCAGCAGCACATGCTCCACAAAGAGGGCAACGGAGAATATCCTGTTCCACTGTGTCCTGTGGGGGGACAGAGCCCGAGGGCACAGCAGAATGAAGGAGACAGAACGCAAGGGCACAGTGGAGTGGGCACAGTGGAGTCGGGGGACAGAGAATGAGGGCACAGTGAAGTGTGGACAGAGGGTAGGCACAATGGAGTAAGAAGACAGAGCCCGAGGGCACAGTGGAGTGGGCATAGCAGCAGGTGTCCTGACTGGGCAGCAAAACACAGCAGGATCAGGGTCAAGTGCAGAGGGTGGGAGGAGACCTGCCCCTAGCCCGGGATACCTATCATGCTCTCTCTTCTCCCCAGGACATGCGGCCACACACTGAGGGGCATGTGCCCAGTGCCTTCACCCACTGCAGCCCTGTGCCCAGTGGTCTGCCCCTTCCTGAGAGTACAGCTCAGGGATCACTTCCCAGGGAGAGTGACCTTTGCTCCTGGCCCCTCGCACACCCCCTGCCCTACTTGTCTGTCTGTCTTTCTGGGTGTCCATTACACAGTGGTCCTGAAGGTACAGCTCCCCACTCCTCTGTGCCCCTGGCATTGCTCTGCAGAGAGCAGGAGCGAGGACAGAAGGAGCGAGGACGGGGAAGCCCTCCTGGGGCAGGCCTCACCTGAGCTCCCTGACCAGGGCGGTGACCATGCTCCCACAGCCTTGCACGAGCCCCTCGGAACACAGCAGCTCCAGGGGCGTGGACAGGCTCTTCACTGTCTGCAGCCAGGCTTGGGGGCTGGGCTGCAGGAGGTGCCTGGTCAGCATCTCAGCACATGCCACGGCGGCATTTACGTCCAGCGTCTATAGAGACGGACAGAGAATAGGCAGTGAGCCAGGGGCCAGTGCCCACGCACTGAAACCAGAGGCCCTGCTGTTAGCGTTGGTGCTCTCGGCTCCAGACTCAGGACGTGCGTGTTCACTGTCTTGGGATATGGGATGTGTTAGCTGACGTGGAATGTTCTTGATGTTTCTGAATGACATGAAGGCTATGTCCTAGGACCAAGTCTCCCACTGAGGCCTGGCCATACAAGCTTATCCCTGGCGGGTGGACCACTGAGCAAAAAAGGTTGGTAGTTCAAACCCACCCAGAGGTGCCATGAAAGCCTGGTGTCCTGCTCCCGGAAGGTTACTGCCAAGAAAGCTCCCCAGAGCTCAGCCCCCTCACCCCTACCCACCACGGGGCCACCACGAGATGGACTGTGCTCAGTGCCAGGGCTTGGGAGATGCCTTGCCCTCCGGGAAGCCCCGAGTTCATTCTCCAAGGGGCCCTACCATCTCACACTCCAACAGGCCTCGAGTTTGCACTGCTTCCTCCAGGATGCCTAGAACTTGGGGACAGACAGTCAGGATCCTGGAGAAGTTCTGCAGCCGGTTCCTAAAGCTCTGAAAAGCAAGGTGCACCCATGACAGGGACACCCCTTTCTCCGGCCTTCGTGACGCCGCTTTCAGCTGGCAGACACAGGACCACAGGGCCATCTGTAGAAACTGGAGGAGAAGAAGCTCTCAGTTCACACTGTCACTCAGAAAATGGTATTTTCCCTGTGTGCATCCAGTCCGCAGGACACAGCGTCAGCCTGGCCCTGCGTGCGTCCAGTCCGCAGGACACAGCGTCAGCCTGGCCCTAGCAGGTCATGCTCACCCTCAGCTCCTCACTGCTGGACACGCTCATGGTCAAGCGAAGGAAGTCCTCCAGGTACCAGTGCAGGAGTATTTGTTGCTGCTGGCCGCTGAGCTCAGCAAGAAACCTTCCCAGGGGAGTCTGCTCGAAGATCTCCACCAGCTTCTCCGAGTGCCCTGTAGACGGACGGGGAGAGGGGCTCATGGAGGAGTCCGGGGAGAGGGGCTCAGGGAGGACTCCGGGGAGAGGGGCTCAGAGAGGACTCCAGGGGCTCAGGGAGGAGTCCGAGCCTCAGCCCTGCCTTCCCTCAGCAGGGCTCTTCCTGGCCCCTGAGGTTCTGCTGACAGCAGCTCACAAGAGAATCAAAGGGAGCCCCTCATTGTCTAGGTCCTTAAGACATTTTCCAAGTGTGATTGTAGAAATCCACAAGATCAGCATTAACTTTTGGATAAAACAGGCCAGGTTCCCGTTGCACATTTATTATGTCATAACCTGTTTCTGAAACCAAGGATGCAAGTGATCTGGGAATGGGCGAGCCTGGGTTGTGACTGTGAGATGCACAAACCAGAAACACCTGTTTTCTAGAGGGGGTGTGGGCCCCAGGTTCCCCGCTGCCGGGTAAGGTCAGGTGTGGCCCTGACGCCATTCAGATGAGAACCCGCTGCAGGCTGCTCAGAAGAGGTAACGGTGCTTGTCCCTGGGGAAGGAAGTCCCCCGTGGCGACCACGGCTTATGTTTGAAGGAAGACTTTTCCCCAAATTCTTTTATCACTGGGTTTCCTCAACAGTGGGGCCAAGTGCTGGGTCTGGGTGAGTCCCAGGGAACCTGAACAGCTCTGCTGGGGGCAGGGGGGTCCTCGACTCTAGTCCTGCAGGTGCCGAGAAAGGGCCCACTAGGGACCCTACCTGGCCTGCCACCTCTCCTTTCAAGAGCCTCAGATCGAGAATGGTCAGCTGAGGGCAGAAACAGTCTCTTCCTGCCCGACATGCCTCGCTTTACAACATCAGTGATCCCCACGTCACTCAGCTCATGGAGCCCCTTGGCCATGTGACGTCCAGGCTTCTGACCCCTGCCGAAGACTTTCAGTCCTTCAGCAGAGAATCCAGACTAAGACTTCATACACTTGGAGCAGGTCAGAAGCATGGCGGCTGTTCGTCTGTGGGGTTAAGAGAAGCCCACCCCCAAGCGCGCGGAAGCGGACTGTGCCGCCCGTCCGCCTGGAGGCAGCCTCACCTTCGGCACCTGTGATGTACTGGGCCTGGGCCCACAGCTCCTCCAGGTAGTCGCTGATCCGCCAGCTAAACGGGACGCTGGTCACGGCACACTTCATCTCATTGTGGACCACGACATAGGCCACCTCGTTCCTGGACCTGAAGCAGCCAAATGGGCTCATGAGTATGGCTCTGGGACGTCCCTCGAGAAGGACAAGACCCGACACTGACACCATTCCTCTCCGTCTTCACAAGCGAGGAGCTTTCGGGACCCCAGAGCCGGCCTATGTGGCTACTCGGTCAGGCTGCTGAGGTAAAGGTCTGCACGTCCTTTATAACCAACCAGTGGAGGCAGCACAGGCGTCTGGGGTAGACCCGGGCTTCCCAGCACCTGTGCTTGGCGGTGCCATCCTGCAGGTTTCTACTCATGGCGGCTCTACCCTACACAGAACTGCCCCCCTCCCAGGGGCGGAGCTCTAGGGAGCAGACTGCCAAGTCTTCCTCTGAAGAGCTGTGGAGTGGATTCAAACCACCAACCCCTTAGCTGGCAGCCACGCATTTAACCCCTGTGCCCCAGCGCTGACTCCAGTGCCTCAGCTCACTGTCCCATCTGCCTGCCTTCGGAGCGGTGCCTTCCTGATGGCTCCTCCACTCATGACCCTCAGTAGGGCCTTGTCTCCCAGATGCCCCCACGAGCACTTCTGAAGACCACTTGCTTAGATGTTCTTTCAACAACCTGCACCCCAGAGCAGACACCCTCTGGGGCCCAAACAGAAAACGTCCACGAGCCCAGCTAACCCGAGTCCACTGGGTCCTGCTCAGGGCCAGGCTGCCTGGTAACCCCTCTGGAGTGAGGAATGTGGCGCAGAGCCACGTGGCTTCCTAGGTGAAGCTGCTCATTCTGCTCTGAGCACTGGGTGCTCTAAACGTGGGGAAACTGAAGGGCAAGAGGGAACCTCAATGTCTCAGAACTTCCCTAAATGCTCCTTTGCAATGTAAGGCCACAGTCCTTAATGCTGCAAAAAGAATAGACTTACATGTGAGTCTCTAAGAGAGGCAAGATTCAGAACAAGGAAATCAGCCACATTACAAAGAGGAGTGCAACAAAATGGGACCACCACAGAAAGGAGCACCCCGAAACCCCAACAGTGTGACGAGGAAACCACCTATGAGGTCCGGGGGGAGGGCGGGCACGGGGGGAGGGCGGGCACACGGGGAGGGCGGGCAGGGCATAACCATAGGGTCGCACAATTTGATGGGTGGAGCGAGTTAAGGAAATGGGAAAGGTCAGGTGTGAAAAACAATGTACACGAACTTTGTAAGTAAACCAGTATAAAATAAAAAAAAATTATACTAAAAACAACAACAAACCTCTATCAGTAATTGCACTGAATGTAAATGGATTCCAGTGTACCAGTCAAGAAAAATGATAACAGAATGGACAAGAAAACATGACTCACCCGTATGCTGTCTGCAAGAAACACACCTTACATACAAACACAAAGACAGGGAGTGGACGGGAGACCACCAGACAACAAGCACTCAAAGAGTACAGGAGTACGTCAACCAGTACCAAAAAAATCCTAATTAAAAAGAAAAAGGACAGGACTGGCAGTAGTAATATTTGACAGAACAGATGCAAAGGAAAAATCAGCATAAGAGAAGGAAGAGCATGATGAAATCAGAAAGCATCAACTAAACAAGAGGCTGAGCCTCAAGACACAGACTATAGTCAATGCCATCTCAACATCAAGAAGGCAAAAAGTGGTGAGCTCTGGTGGCTTAGTGGCAGGAAACTGCACTGCAATCCCAGAGGTACGCAGTTCAAATCCACCAGATGCTCTGCTGAAGGAGGAACAATCGCCTCCTGTACCAGTCAGATCCAATTTGACGGTACACACATAAAATGAATGAATGAATGAATATTATCTTAAAAAAAAGGCAAAAAGTCCTCCCCACTGGACCACTAGGCAGCATCATGATAGACAGAAGAAAGGTTGAAACTGTCAACGACTTCTTCCTACTTAAATCCACAATCAACACCCTTGATAACAGCAATCAGGAGATCAGAGGATGTATTATAAGCCCCTGGCAGAGATTTCTCCAGATTCCTGAGGAGCATTGATGTCGGTGTGAAGACTAACGTGCTCCTGATTCAAGCCTGGGCTTTTCAATGATGCATCTGAGATCCAGACAGTGAATAAGGGTTACAGAAGAATCCACGGCCATGAGCACCGTGATAGAGAAGAGCTCTGAAGATCCCAAGGACTGTCAAGCCCAACCGGAGATGTCTTGGGAGGAGTGCAGCCAGAGGGCTCCTTGGAGGCAAGGATGATGGCACTTGTCTCACATATTGTGGCTCTATTGTTAAGAGAGGCTGTTCCTTAGAAAAGGACATCACGCTTGACAAAACAGAGGCCTGGTGAGACAGAGGAAGACCCTCAGCCAGGTGGACCGACAGTGACTGCCGCGATGGGCTCACGTGTGTCAGAGATGATGAGGACAGCACAGAATGGGACAGGGTTCAGATCTGTCGTTCACAGGGCCGCTGTGAGTCATGCTGAACTTGACAGCACCTAACAACAACAACTGCAAAAGCTCAAAGAGACCTACATAAATAAACAAACAGTGCTTCGTGGACAGGAAGACTTAACATGAAAATGTCACAGCTATCAAGTGCAATCCGCAAATACAGTTCCACTCTCTCCAGATACGTCAGCATTTTCCAAAGAGACTGGGAAAGTAACCACCAACTTCTTATGGGAAGAAAAACGACCCTGGATAGTAAAGTGATGCTGGAGAAGAGAGACTACGGGTAGGCCTGACAACTCCTGACCTTGGAACAAGCCATGGTAATCACAACCACTTGAGACTGATACAGCGGCAGGTACATAAACCAAGAGAATAGACTTGAGAACCCAGAAATAAATCCTTCTGTCTATGGTTAAGAGATGATCTTTGACAAGAGGTAAAATTCAGTAAGTGGGGAAAATACCTCTTTAATAAATAGTGCTGGCAAAACTGGGTATCTACTTAAAGAAAATGAAATCAAGACCTCACGTCACACTCACACTATACACAGACTAACTCAAGGACCTAGACATGACCTTAAACTGTAAATATCCATAAGGAAAACCCTGGGCAAATGAGGAGCTCCGGTCTCTGATCTAACTCTCAAACAGAAAATGCACCCTCAGCAAATGATAACCAGATCATCAAGATACACTAAAAAAAAAAATCAAGCTCTGTGAACATCAAAGGATTTCTTCAAAAGAGTAGAAACAGAACCTACGGGCTAGGAGAAATATTTAACAATGATCTATCTGAAAAGAAACTAATCATCTCTACAACATATAGAAAATGTCAGCACCTTAACAAGTAAAAGGCAATCCAACTACAAAATGAGCAGAGGCCATGAAAAGATACTTCACCAGGGAAGACCTTCAGATGGCCAACACACACATGAAGAATCAGCTAGTCTGATGAAGGTCATTAGCTATGTGAGAGATGGAAATCAAAACAATAAGGAAATACCATCTCATAGCAAAGTTCAATAAAACAACAAATGCTGGCAAGGGTGTGGAGAAAATAGAATTTTCCTAGTCTGCTGGTGGGAACAGGAAATGGTGCAACTACTATAGAAGGCCATTTGATGCTTCCTTAAAATATTAGAAACAAGAGTTGATCCGGCAATTCTACTAGCTATATATCCCAAAGCAATAAGAGTTGTCAGAACAGATGTATGCATTCTCATGATCACCGCAACGCTACTGACAAGAGTGAGGAGATACAAACACCCAAGAACGTAAAGAAATCACACAGTGGAATACTGTGCAATGCTGAAACATATCAAAGAATTCACGAAACACTGCATGGTGCGGATGCATCTAGAGGATATTACACTAAGTGAAATCAGTCGGTCAAGAAAGGACACATACTTACAGATGATCACCGCTATAAAAAGCTAAAGAAGGGTGTACACAGAGAGGGGTCATTACCAGGGACGAGAAGAGAGGGAGGGGGAATCAGTAAATAAATAGTAGGCACATTATAACAGAATGACCAGCACGATATCACTAAAAAAGGAAGGACAGAGCTACAAAAAAGATGACCGGAAATCAGAATACAAAGAAGTGTGGTGAGGGTGATTACATGTGGGTACTGAAATTAGCATTACTAATTTGTGCATGAATGGTAGAAGGAAAAATTAATTTGTAAACACTCGCTCAAAACACAATATAGTAAAAAAAAAAACCAATAAATTAGAGACCTATGTTTCATCAAATACTTAGAGGATCCCAGGAATTTTTTCCCCCTTCCATAAAAGAAAGTCTTCCATTCACCTTGTGTCATTCATCTGAGGAAGAATGTTGAGAAGTTTAATGTCACTGAAAATAAACATCCAAAGGTCTCTTGCCCAGGGTGGAAAATCTGGGTTGGCCAGTAGCTCAAGGTTGCCATCTCTGTCAATGAAAGATATCATCTGGGCCAGGAGAGGAGTCACTGCATTCTGGACCCGTTTCCAAATGGTATGCCTGCAGCATATGGGAGAGAGAGGCTCCATTATAGCTACAGAGTAATCATGATAGGGTAGCGCTGTTACAGTGTAACCTCGGAGAGAGAGCACCCGTTACAGTGTAATCAAGGTAGAATTCCTGCAGAGAGAGCTCCAGTGTAATAAAGGTAGAATTTCTGCTATCTTCCATATATAGCCCTCCCTAAGGGGTCACTTGTCACAAAACACATCATCTTGTGATTGCCAACGAAAACCATGGTAATCAAAACTTTTTATCACTTTGAAGTACTTGAAAAGACACTCAGAAATGAAAATGTCTAAGATTAGAGGCAGAACTAGATTTTGGGCCAGAACTCTACTGAACTGCAGCTGGTTTGTTTAAAATGCTTTGTGAGAGGGCAGGTCACCCACACTCGCTCTCCTTGGTGCTGGGAGTGAACTGGCTCTTAGCTGACCTTCAGGCAACTTCTCAGAGGCTATGACTCAGGCAGAGGACATGGTCCATCTTTTCCCCACAGAGCAGCTGATGGATTAGAACTACTCGCCTTTGCATTGGCAGTACAGCTTCTTAACTCACCAGGCAGCCAGAGCTCCCTGAATAGACAGTGGTGATTACATTTACCTGGAAAGTACGTGCCATTTTAAGGGGGGGGGGGGACAGTTGTGGATAGAAAATACTAAAGTAGAGGAGACTCAGAATCAAGTACACAAGAAAGCTCGCTCATCTAGAGCTCGGCTATGCTGTTCACTAGAGGTGAACATTCCTAACTCCAGGTGGAACAATGGGTAACATGTCACATTGCTAGCGTAAGGTTGGTGGTTCAAGTCTGCTAGACACTCCACAGGATGAAGATGCCCGGTCCCCTCCCGTCAAGATTCACAACTCAGAACCTGATGGAAGGTCCCCCTTCGTGTCAGAATTGACCCGGTTTCCAGGGGGGTGGGTTTGTCGCTTCTGCTAACTGCTTGAACTAACAGCGTCATGCCATTCAACAGGCGGGCAACAGCAGGGAAGGCTGAAGACGTGGAGTTTTCCAAGTCTAGGCAAATCCCGTTCACCTCACCAAGGGAAAGGAAAAGAATTCCAGGCTGATCCAACCAGACCTTTTCAGATTCCCTCAGCAGGTATGCTTAGGAAAGAGACGGTGGGGGGTGTGGGGGAGTGGAAGCCGGACTCCTGTGTAATAAACACGTTCCATTCCAGGGTGGCGCTCCCCTCCTGCTGACAGAGCAGACTCAGGTCCCAGTCAGAGAAGCTGGCCCCTGGCAGGGCCTCGAAGAGCGAGTGAACTTCTTCTTAGCGACGAGAACCAGAGATTGGAGAAGAGACCACCCACCAGAGAGTGGACCCTGCAGGGGGAGTCACTGCAGTCCATCTTCCTTCAGGGTGAACGACCCAGGCTTTGCAGAGAACAGAGCACAGGTGACGGAGGGACTCTCCTGGGTCCCCTCTCACAGCAGGCCTGGGAGGGCATCCCAGTCAGTGGTTTACACCAAGACAGTGAGTACTGACCCTCATCCAAGACACAAGCCTTCTTTGTTTTAGTTAAGAAAGTGGAGCTAAGCATAGAGACCCTCAGGGGTCACTGTCAGATCTATACTGGGCTCTTTCTGGGGGAAACATCTACAAAGCTCTGATTCACTGAGCGTTGTACAGAGAGGGGGTCCCCACACTCCCCAGGACAGAACTGGGGGGATGGAGCAGGCAGCTGCCTGTCTGCCACCCCCCACCCCCGAAGCCCTCCCTGACTCCTCTCAGCCCAGTACCTGAAGGTGCCCGCCTCCTGGAGGGCGTTCTCATTGGAGGCCTCCCGCACCACCCACTCCTTCGCGTTGAACATGCTGCTCTCTTGTCTCTTCAACAGAAGATACAGGTGCTTCTTGCAGACCCTTAAGAAAGAGGCTGTGAAGACAGAGGGATCTGTCAGCCGAGCCCGAGGGCGCCGGGTAACAGGCTCGGGAACACCTGCAGAGACACCCCATCAACAGAGGGCAGCCCTGGGCCAGGCCAGTTCTAGCACAAAACTTGCACGGATGTTTCTAGACTCCCACCAGGTCAGCTGGGAGCGCTCCCACGACCAAGGAAGAACCCACCTGGGGAGGGGTGGGAGAAAGGGCAAGGACGGTACCCCTGAAATCCTCCTCCGGGTCCAGGAGGCCGAGCAGGATCTCCACCCTCCTCATGTTGCGCGTGCCCTGGTTCTGGTCCCTGAGCATCCCCACCGCGCCCTGCACGCAGCTCCGCAGCAGCCTGGTGGTGTCCAGGGTCTGGGTACACGGGGCAGCCTGCAGGAGGGCGTCGCCGTCAGCATTCAGGAAGCGTGGGCAACCTGCGGACCCCACCAGCTGCCCCCACCGCTCTGCCCATGCCTACTATGACCAAGTACAGCGCGGATGCCTGGCAGAGATGCCAGCACTTATCCAGCTCTAACCCCAAAGGGGCCCTGGTGGCTCAGTGGTTAAGCACTCAATTGCTATCAAGGACTATGGCATCTGCCAGTGTCCTCGGGAGGGAAGGCCTCCCTGCTAGCCTGTCCTGCAGGGTCAAGGAGTCACGATTGTCCCGACGGTGCAGGTGCCATGGACTGACGCTACCTTCACAGCCTGCGGGGTCGGCACCTCCAGCCTTAGCAGCGGGGCACGCGGCCTCCCCCACACAATCAGGGACTGGCCCTGTCCAGGCAGATGGGGCTGGGGGGCAAAGCTAAGGCTCCCGCACTGTAGCATCACCACTGCCTCACCTCTCTGCGTCCTGGCCCAGGGCCCTCACTGCCCGGCGCCTCGGCCATCTCCCCTGGTTCGCTGCTCTCCATTTCCATCTCCTCTTCGCCAATGTGTCTCATCTCAGCTGCAATGGAGGCCAAGAAACTGGGTCACCCCTGAGCCGGTGAGGTCAGTGGCACCAGCAACACTGAGTGGAAGTGGGGCCTAGTGTCAGCGTCCTCCATGGGCCTCAGTGTGGCTCACTGGGTTCACCCTCACTCCTGTCCTGGCTCTGACGCTGGAGCCCAGACAAATGGAACCTATAGTTATGGTCTGGCTGCAGGTCCCTTGACCAGGAGTAAGCACTGTGAAAGCTCAGGGCCAGTCAGGTCAGTTTGGGGAATGCCCAGCTCTCCTGCTGTCGATCCTAGAGCCAGTGGGCACCACGGCTGGTCCTCCTGCTCGCCACCACCCCTCACCGTGCACGTGGCTTCCACCACCTGCATCCCTCAAGACCCACGTCGGGGCTCACCGTCGTCACCAGCCTTGTCCTCCGGCTCGAAGAGCTGACTGATGGAGACGTTCTGCAGCTTGGTGATATCGGCGACCATGACGGTGGACCGGCGGAGGTCGTCGATGTGCACACACTGCCACAGCCCTGTGAGGGGAGCCGTCCAGGCCTCAGTCCCTCCAGGGGGCCCTGCCGCCTGCCCTGCCACCAGTGAGGGGCTTGCGCTCCACCCCACCGCCCCGAGACCACCTGCTCCCAGGAACAGTGTGCACATGGAAACTGGTTTCCGAGTTAAAGGAGCTGACTTGTCCGGCATTCCGGAATAGTCGCTGTTCTTCCATGGCTCTGTGGTTACGCCTGTCACAGCCAACACAGGAAGGGGACCTCGCAAGCCCTGTCAACGCGACTGTTGCTAGAGAGTCAGCTGTTACACTGTTTCTACAATACCAGCTTTCTTATGGAAGACAGAGGATTCGAAGAATGGATTTCTTCTCCCCACAGAAATCTCTTCTCTGCATTTGCCACATCGTAACAGGAGAGGATCTCCCTCCTGCTTTGGCTGTGAGGCAGCAGGTGTAAGCCCAGAGCCACGTGAGAATCGCCAACTCTGTCCCGGTGCCCTGGACAAGTCACTTCCTTTAATTCAGAACCAGCTTCCGCATGAACGCTGTGGAGGAGGCTGGGCTGAGGGGTCAGGGGAGGGTCGCATCTTCTCCCCTGGAAGCTGTAGCACGGGTTTGCAGTAAGTAGTGGTAAGAAACACAGTTGTACCTAAAAAGATTGAGATTACGATTTTAGTTTTCTATTTGCATCGCAAGGGGAGCGTTCTAAGTAATGCAGATTTCACCGAGGTTCCTGGCTTTGCTGTTACTCTGGTCGTACCTCCGTGGAATCCCACGTAGGATGCTCCACTTCCCATCCGGGACAGCTTGGTGAGGAAGTAGACCAAGACACAGCTGTTCTTTCCCTGCATCTTGTTGATTTCATTTACAGCAGAATGCCTAGTTCAAAACAAGTCAACATGATCCACGCTGAGAACTGGGACAGCCAACACGCCCTTCTCACACTCGGTCTAAATAAACTTCACATCTGCACAATCTTTATCTTCTGTCAGAGACGAGTGAGAGTCTTCATCCCGTGGGCTCAGACTGGCTGTGCCCCTCTGCTCTGGGGGGACCATCCTTCATCACCTAGAACACCTCTCTTATATGCCTCGCACTGATGCCATTACAAAGAGTCATTTCAGGACCTGGTGTCCTGTGGGCAGTGCTCTTCCTTCACCCTGCCACCAACCACCGTGTCCCCACTGGGATCTGATCAGTCCCAACACCCAAGCCACGACAGAAAGGGGGTGGAGGAGGACCAGCCGTGCTCCGAAAACCCATGAAACAAGGAAAACCACTTCCACACCACAGGTACCCCTGAAGCTGCAGTGAGAGCAAGGTGTGTACTTCAGAGTGACGGCTCCAAGAACACTCTGCAAACAGAGGCTTCAAGGATATACTCTCTAACCTACGAATACGTTGAATACTTGTAATATATTTACACTTTTTGCCATTAACTACTATGGTATTGTTCTTAGCTGTAACTTTTCAGAAAAGCTTAACTTTCTGTTTTTTTAATCCAGGTTTGAAAACAGAAGAAGGGAGGGCAGGGTTTTTGTTTTCTATTTAGCATACATCGCTCTTCTCGGGGAAGGGATTCTCAGGCACTTCTGGGTGAATCTGGGGTCCCTAAGTAGGTCCCAGAAAAAAGACAGAAACCTACTTGGCTGAGGCAATGAGCTGAGCACCGTGAGGCGTGTCTTCATAGTCTGTCTGAATAATGAGGATTTTACGGCTGGCTGGGCTGGCGAGGCAGTTTCTGAAAAAAGACATGAAACTGTCCACGTGAATTCTCTGCATTAGAAAAGGGTAACGGGACTCCCCGAGGAGATAGGCAGCATTGAGGCCAAAGAGGGAAGTGTGTGGGGAAAGGAGCTCAGAGGACGCACAGGGGGAGGAGGGCACCCCTGTCCTTCACATCTGCCCGCGGCTCGCCGGCCACTCCTGGTGACACCACAGTGGCTATCTCACCAGTCACCCGCTGTCCTGGAGTGACCCTGAACCATGACGACCCTGTACATCGGGGCAGGCGTGTGTTCCCCAAGGCTCTGACGAGCAGACTACCAGGCCTCGCCTCTGCAGCACCTCGTGTGGACCAGAACCACCTGAGGTGGTTAGCGATCAAGTACACACAACTGTGTGTCGCACCAGGGATTCCAGCCATACTCAGAAACCGCATTGCCAGTGGGCTGGGACCCTTCAGCACTGACCCTCCTGTGAGATTTCTGAGGCTGGGAACTGCACGGGAGGCGAGTGCTAGGCTTTCTCCAGAGGAGCTGCTCGTGGATTCAAACTGCCTGCCTCTGGGTTGGCAGCATCACTATCCACCCAGCCACGAGAGCTCAGGAGGTGGGAGCCTCACCTGATGCCCTTGAGGAATGAGTACTCTGTGTCAAACTGTTGCAGCGACAGGATGGTGGGCCGCGGAGCCTGGCCGGCCACCTCAGATTCTAAAACCCCACAGTCATGGCTGGTGAGCAGTCTGGAGAAAGTGGTGATCTGCAAAGTCGGGGAATGAAGGGAGTCCCGTGAGGGTGGTGTGTCACCCCGGACAGGCAGCTGTGTGCCAGCTGTGTGCCAGCGGCCCAGAACGGCAAGCGTCTGGACCCCACACAGCGTGGAAGCGGCAGCACGCAGCTACCAGCCGCTCCGCACCCAGATGCCGTCCCCTGCCTGTAGCCCTCGCGGCCTCCGCCCTGTGGGGTTAGCCGTCAGTGCCCAGTCTGCCCACGTGTCTGCTGTGCCGTCACCACACCGATAGTTCCCCACCCAAGCCCTGGGTCAGAGCTCAGAATCCTACATCCAGCTGCAGGACGCCTGTGTCCAATCACACATCCCAGGCATCAAAACATACCCCAAGGGAAATTTACCACTGCGTTCCCGAATGTGATCATGCCTGGGCTGCCTCCATCTTACCTAACCACAGCACTGGTCCTCAACACGAGACTCCAAGGAATCAGCCTTTGATCCCTCACCCCCCGCTCCCAGATGGAACCAGTTAGAAAGCCCTGCCAAGTGTGGCCCCCTCCTCCACGTCAGATGGTACAGCAGCCCCCCCAACTGCCTGTCAGACTTTCACCAAACTTGCTGTCACTTCTCTCCCTGGCAGCAAGGCCCAGCAAACACAAACACCCCCCAGTCCCTCCTCTCTGGACGGTGGAAACCGAACCACTAGGGCAGCAGACACAGCCCTCCACCAGGCCAGCCGCGACACCTCAGCTCTCAGCACTCACAGCCTTAACTTTGAGTTCCTCCACTCTTTTCTGATGTCCTGCACCTCCCGCCTCGTGTCCCCTCATGGCCTTTGGTTAGGTGAGGCCCTCGGCCCCACTGCCCTCTCCACCACCCTTTGCAGCTCAGCTCAGCTCAGGGGCATCTCCCAGAGGAAGGTACAACCCCACCTGTTCTCTCATCCTTCTGGGCAAAGCACTTCCCTAGGGATGGCGGCAGCCTGTCCCTGGGCTCAAACACACTGAATGTTGGTTACGGCCAAGAGCAGCGCTTGTGGGCTGTCCCATCTGCAGTGCTCTCAGCTCAGTGTGTGCCCTGTAGGCCGTCTGCTGATATACGTGCTGTCTGTACACTGTGCACTGTGTGTACACTGTCTGCACACTGTAGCCAAGCACTGTACAGACCAATCACCTCGCCATCAGCACGTTGGCCTGGACTCCTAGCTGGCCTGCAGCACGTTTGCACGGCTATCCGTCTCCATTGTCCACCTCTGACCCGCTGGCAGATCTGAACCACCAGCCAGGCACTGCCTTGGGGCTTGAAGCCTCACTCCCTACCCACTGGGGCACCAGGGCTGCAGAAGCAGCCACTGGGCAGGAAGTTAAACCATGAAGAGTGCGGCGTCCACTAACGTAACGCGCAGAAGAGCCAAGCACCTCAGTCAGTCATTGGAAAAGTCTCAACAGGAACTCTGAGTTCTGGGTCCCCAGGGATTTCTGACACTTGACTGAAACGGAATAGAGGAAGCAGTGGGGCTGACCTCTGTGAAGGTGGCGTGGCGTCCCGGCTCCACCGCGCGCAGCTGGGCCTGGAGGAAGTCAGCGAAGGAGTTGTGCTGCTGCAGCTCGTAATACTGCTTGGCCAGCGACTGCGCCACGAAGGTCCCCAGCGCGGACGCGCCCAGGCGCACCACCGCGTCCGGCGTGGCACAGCCCAGCAGCACCGCCTGCGCCTCCTGCAGTGACCCTTGGTAGCCGTTTCCGGGCGAGTCCCCGGAGCCCAGCCTTTCGGTGACCTGAAGCACCACAGAGGCACACGTGTCCGAGTGGTAGCCGATGAAGACGCTGGCTGGGTTGTACCTCTGTGTCGTCTGGAACGGGTCTTTCACACGCACGAATTTCTCCACCCACGCCTTGAGCTCTTCCACAATGTTTTTCTGCCACTTCTCCAACACCGTGTTGATGTCCAGATACTGCTTCTCCAGCCGGTTGATGAGGGGAATGGGAAAGTGTGTGTACACAACCTCTTTCTCCTCAATGACGATCAGGCGGAAGTCGGGGTGAACCCTGCACTTGACACGGTGGGTGCCCAGGCCCAGGTCCACGTACTTCTGGCCGCCCAGGTAGACGTAGTACTGGTTGAGCGCGTCGTACAGGCTCTCGTAGAGGCTTCGCAGGTTGAGGAGGACCACCATCTTGCCGGCCTCCATGCAGATCTTCACGCGGTTGATATTCCGGCACACTTGGGTGTACTCTTGGTCCTTGGGGAAACTGGAGCCGAAGATGACCTCTGGCTGCTGGTCCTCGGTGAAGAACTTCTGCTGGAGGATCTGCAGGGCGGCGTAGTTCTGGGTGAGCACCAGCAGGTAGCGGCAGTCGGCCTCGTCGGCCTCCCCACCGGAGCCCTGCGGGCGGCGTCTGTAAATGTTCTCCTGGATCAGCTGCAGGGTGCTGATGTCCTCCGAGCACCTGGCCTCGGGCAGGTGGGCCAGGAAAAGGCCCATGGTGTCGAGGTTGTCCTTGCCACTGAAGTTCCGCAGGATGGCCTGGGTGATGTCTCGCGGGGAGGGCTTCCCGCTGGAAGCACGGGCGGCAGCGAAGACCATTTTGATGAGGCTGTAGTAGTCGCGGAGCCCGAAGAATTCCTTGTCTTGGTTCTTGCACACAGCCTCATAGGCTTTGGCGAAAGGGGCAAAGTACCCTTGGACTCTGTCATGGACTAAGGTGTCTGAGTGGCAAATGCCCTTGGCGCTCTCGATGAGCTCTACCTGGTTGGGACTGCCACGTGACACAAAAATGCCCCGGTTCATCTTGGCGGGGTCCAAGGCCCAGTTAGAAATGCTTATGAAGCCGACCTTCTTATGGGGGCTGGGGTCATCCTCAATGCAGCCGTCTTCCAGCAGCGGGTGCAGCGTCTTCAGGGGCATCTTGGGCGAGTCTTCGGCCAGCCCGACCTCATCCAGCACCACGACAGACACGTACTGCTGCAGGTCCTTGTCCTGCTGGAAGCGTGCGCACTGCCGGAAAGTCCCGATGATGCCCTGCGGGGTCGAGTGCGGGCTGCACTGGAAGGACACCAGGTGGGCCTGCTTCAGGTTCCGGAAGAGCTCGGAGCAGGACGCCGGGCCCTGCATGGCGTCAGCCACGATGGTCTTGGCGAGAGATTTGGAGCTGCCAGGCTTGCCCACTAGGAAGAGAGGGATCCTCAGCTCGATGCAGATGGTCATCATAAAGACATTCTCCTTCAGGGCCAAGTTCTTGGCGATGGTCTGCCTCAGAGACACGCCATTCAGGAAAAGATCCTGTGTCTGAGTGATCACATTCAGGATGACCTTACTGTCATCATAGGGTTTCGGAAGGTACTTGCAGATGGCTTTGCGATACGATTCTTTCTTCTCTAGAGAGGCATGGTAACACACCCCGATGGCCTGCACCAGATAGCAGACGACAGGATCTCTCACCCACTGGTGCTTTAGGACATTTGACCAAGGCAGCTGTGACAGCATTTCACGGTGCTCATGAAACCACGTGAAGACTTTCACACAGCGCTCCACGTCCCGGAGGCTGACAAAGCTGCACTCATTTTCTCTTTTCCGCATGAAGCCCTGAGAGGCAGAGAGCACTTCCGTGATCAGACGAGTCTCGGCTGGCTCCATCTCCAGCGAGTCAACGAGTCTCTGGACAATCTGCTGGATGTAGATCTTTTCAGTGACATCATTCAGTTGTCCAAAGTCCCACACAAGTGGGATGAGGCTGGGTGGCAGGGCATGGACTCGATAGACCAGCTGGCGCAGAGGAATGGAGCCAAGCTTCTCGGTGGTCTCCTCTGCGCTCACTCTGTACCCCAACCCCGCAGCCTCCAGCCGGCAGATCATCTCCCGCGAGTGCTTGCGGTAAGGGTTGCAGGCGGCGATGATGTGCAGCCCACAGTCCTTAGCCAGAGGCTTGCCGTTCACCGTGTGGTCACACAGAACTTCCTTGATACAGCTGATGGCTTCTGTGGTGTTGGCTTCATCAAAGAACAGGATGGTGTCGAGGTGGTGCTGGTGCTTATTGAAGAGAGCAATGCTCTCGGCTTCCCGGACTCTGGAGTAGATCATGTCCGCCGTGGTGCCTCCGTGGACCTTGACCAGGTGAAAGGTTTCTGCCTCAACACCCCCACGCCGCAGGTCGCTAAGGAATTTAATGAGCCGTGTTTTCCCACAGCCGGTTTCTCCCATGATGACCACGGGGATCCCGCACCGGAAGCGCATCTCAATGGCCAGGATCTTCAGCATGTTGTCCGTTGTGAGCTCGTAGGTCTCATCAGGGTCAATGGCCCACTGGATTCCTAAGGCCATGCACAGCCTTTCCAGTTTATCACCTCTGGGCAGCTGGTCAAAGTCAATGTTAAAGGGGACCCGCTGGAGCAGGAGCCCATTGTACAGGTCTGTCCGCATGACGTCCTTCTTAATCACCTTCCCACTCAGGGGATTGATGGCGTCAACACCGTCATTATTGTTCGGCTGGAAATGGAAGCCAATGAACGTCATGGATATGTGATCACTATTGAAGAAAACGTAGGGGTGGGGCTCTGACTCCCATCTCTTCCGCAGAGTGAAAGGGGCCAGATCCTCCTCCCTGACCCCGTCCATGGTGACCATAGGCTTCCCTGGGCTCTGGTCAGAGGTGTTCAGGGTTGGGGTTGCAAAGTCTCTTGCCATAAAGATCATGAAGGTAACCACAAAGTTCTTGAAGCCCCTGAGCGTGTCTGCGGTAAATGCAGGATTACAGAACACAGAGGCCTCACAGTCCCTAAGCTGGTAATTCAGGAAGCGAGCAAAATTCCGGAGCTCTGACCACGAAGGGTTGATCACCCCACAGTAAATCAGGAGGTGCTGGAGGCACTCTTCTGGGGTGTCTTCGACAACACCTTCTTGGTACTGAAACATGTCTAGGTTTTGGTTTTGATAGAATCGTTTTAAATACTGGTACGGTCTCTGGAAGGTCTCACTGCGGAACTCGGTAGGGTCCATGCCGGGGTCTCCGGGGCTGTGGGCAGGGTGCAGACCTATGTCCATCACCTCCTTTGGAGACCTGCATGTGACCTTTGGGAAGATGTCAAGAAAACCAAATTGTGGGGCGCGGGCACCCTGCAGAAGAGAGACATGAAACAAACCAGTTACGACCAAATTTCCTAAGAAGGCTTCTGTGCTCACTGAAGTTGAAAGGGAAAACCCCAAGTGTGGCCCTTCCTGTGACCCCTCTCCGGAGGCCTCACACCCCCGCCCTGCAGGAGCTGCAGCTCCATCTCTCCTAGGAAATGACCTTCCAACCCACTAGCCTTCAGGGCAGTCCACCCACTAAGCATGCATGCTTGTGTAAGTGTCCCGTTCATCAAGAAATCAGTAAGACTAAACCTTCCCGTCTCAGCTGGCAGTCAGAGGATAACCCTTCTCTAGAGTTCACTGCCAAGAGCAGCTGGGATTTCACCCGGACAGAGCAGGAGACTCAGTGCCGACAGGCAAGCTCACGGCACAGTTAATGAACAGACTGTTTCGTTTTCTGCAGCCTGAACTGTGACGTTTCAAGACTGAACTTTCCTTCCCAAGTGGGAGAAATCCCACTCACTGGCTCCCCCACTCCAGTAAGACCTGGAGGAACGAAAACACAGTGGAACCAAGCCTCCTCGGAACATACCAGTTTTGAAGGTCGTTTTGGCAGGGCCGGATTCTCCTCCAGGATTTCAACAATATACAGATGGCATTGATTCCGAAGCCACATTTTCCCGTTGACATCCATTAGATATTGTAAAACCAGGAGTTTGAAAAGAAATTCCCAAATTCCAGACTGTACCTAAAGACACAAACCCGGGATTTTTTTTTTTTTTACTAATTTACAAAATTCTAATACAAATTCAAACAAATTCAATTTCCCTCACCCCCCCACCTATCAAATTGTACAACCCAATGATTAATCCCCTCTTTCCCCTGCACATCCACATCCCTCTGCTCCCAGCCTCTCCCACCTGGATCCTTATACTCATTCTACAATAACAGTCTTATACAATATTTATCCTTGTGGGACTGAGTTAGTTCACTCAGCATAATGCACTCCAGTCCCTCCCAAGTTAGGTAATAATTTACAAAGTTACTATTCCTGCATGCTGCATAGTATTCCATTGTGTGAATGTACCATAATGTCTCAATCCATTCATTTGTGGTTGGACATTTGGGCTGTTTCCACATTCTTACGATGGTGAGTAATGCTGCTATGAACATTGGTATAAGACCCATGATTTTAAGATAGTCACACACTGAAGACCAGCCCCTCAATCCAAAAGACCCTCCTATTAAGTTCTCTAGGAGGACATGAATCTTCGGTACACGTCAAACCGAAACCCTATGCCATCATGTCAGCCTCGACGCACAGTGACCCTCCAGCAGATACGCAAGGCTGGAAATCTTAACAGAAACAGTGTACATCCCCTTTTTTCCTTATAGCAGCTGGTGGATTCAAACCATCAACCTTTTGGCTAGCAGTTCATCCACTATGGGGAACACTATGTTCGTTACCCCCTTGTGTTCCTTTGGGTACCCAAAGAAAGGAAATTCTGTAAACTTTAGGGAGGCATGTTGGGGTGAAGGGCTGCATCTTTCCTGACAGGTGTATCACTTACTGAGGCGGCTACATCCAGGTGGAACACGGCAGGCCGGGCCCGGTGCTTTCTGCGCAGGAACGGCAGGAGGGCACCCAGGACCTGGCTCTCATTCACTTGGGGATCCATCAGTCTGATGACATTGAGAGGAACATTTTCCTCAGAAAATTTCCTCTGGAGTTTTTGATGCAGTCTCTTCACATACAGAGATTTTCCTGTAAAGGTGACATGTGGAAATCAGGGCCAATGGCAGAGGACCAAGCTAAGAGAACCCAGAAGGATCAAATGACAGTAGAGAGCTCAGGATGGCATTTACGATACCACGCCAGCCGGCTGAGCACGAGTTCACTGGTGAACGAGAGAACACCTCAGTGGTGATGTTCATGTGATGTGGCTTGCCCGCGGCTGGGAGGGTTCATTCACCCCAGCAGGACAGACACAAATGGACACAGCACCACCTCAGTGAGGGTGCACCAGCCGAGTCTTAACAATTCCTAGCCACTGCTGCCTTGTCTCCTTGCTCTCACCGTGAGCCCCAGTATTACAGAAACAAACTCGCTGTCACCAAGTCAGTTACCAGCACGGTGACCTGCAGGACATGTCAGGGCCGCCCAGGAGGGTTTGAAGGCTACAGCTTCTAAGGAAGTACATGGTCTCATGTTCCTCCCGTGGGTCTGCTGAGCTCAGACTCCCCTCCTTTCATTTGACAGCAGAACACTTAACCAATCTAAGCCTAACTGACAGCAAAAACATGCAAAGGTGGAGTCTGGGTTTTTCATACAGACAGAATGTAGTACTGAGGTAAAGTCATTACTAGTGGGGATGACTTAATTTCAGATCCTGGTAGTATCCTCAGACCAAGTCACCTCTCCCAGAGAGCAGCGTGTGGGGACAGGGTACCCGCACTGACCCAGGGGCACCCCATGGCTCAGGGCCACCTCAGTGCTCTTACCAACACTGGCTGTCTGTGAGACCACCACCCCGACGCTCATCCGGTCCTTGAACTCCGCAGCTGCCGACGGGATCTGCAGAGGGACCTGAAAGTGACTGGCCAGGTAGGTCTGGATGTCCTCTAGAGAGGCCTGCGGGGTGACGGGGACTCGGTACTGGCTGAAGGCCGAGGGCAGGTAGCAGTGTTCACGGTCACTGTCACAGACCAGGACGAGCTGGTAGTCCTCGGGGTGGCGCTGCAGACACAGCTGGTGGAAGAGGTCCTCTGCCTGGCAGCCCACCTCATAGCCCAGCTGGTCAGCATTCAACAGGCTGTAGACCTTGCGGCCCCGGGAGCCTGGGGTGAGGCAGCGACGCAGGAGTAGAGCTACTTCCTCAAACGTGGTTGCTGGGGTGCAGAGCAGCACCTCATCGTAGGTGGGCAGGGGCTGCCCGGGAGCCTGCATGTAGATGACCAGGGCGGCCAGCAGCACCTCTGAGTGGCCACAGACCACCAGATTGGGTTGGCCAACCTGTAAGCTTCTGGGCAGGTGCCGCTCCACGGGGCTCCCGCTCATCAAGGCCAGCTGGGCCAGACACTGGCCAAGGGCATCCAGGTCCAGGCACTGGGGCAGGAAGGCATTCATGCACACCATGGACTGCTCCGTGATGGCCTTCAGCTTGTCCACCAGGCTGAGCTCAGATGGCAGGAATTCTGCCGTCACCCTCTGCTCACGCGCTCTGCTGGCCTCTCCGCCGGCCCTGCGGGCAGCCTCTGCCACGTCTTTCGGAGTGCAATCAGCTTTGATGAAGGACAGCATCACCAGGGCAGCCTGGCTGGGCTGGGCCTCCACGAGCTCCGTGCTCAGGTAGACCAGCTGCTCGGCCGTGTAGAAGTTGAGGTAGAAGTGCTGGGCTCGCTTCTGTGCCACGAAGTCCTTCCAGAGCTCCAGGAAATGCTCCATCTGCCTGCAGAGAGCTTCCAGCAGCTCGGCCACCGCCCCAGTGCCCCGGAGCTGGCCCACTGGCTCCAGGTTGAAGTCCATGCGGATGGAAACATCGTTCCTGGGGGAGCAGTACACCTCCACTATCCAGTTCCTGAACAGCAGGTTCCCAGCAGAGTAGAGGTTTAGAAAGGACTCAACAAGCCTCTGCACGTTGGAAAACACCTGTGAGAAGCGGAACCAGGAGGCTGCGGTTACAGAGCAGACAGAACACAGAAACACACTACATCCCACTGCCAAGGGCCTCTTCAGAGTGCTAAGGAGCAGGGAAGTCAGCTCAGAGACTAAGACGCGCCTGACCCGAGCCATGGGATTTTCAAGATGCATGTGAAAGTCAGCTAATGAGCAATGTGTAACAACAAATGAATGGAAATCCAACTTTGCTGTAAACTTTCATTAAAATCACAGTTAAAATAAAAATCAAAGTTAAAATAATTTTTTAAAAAAAATGTTGTAGTTGTTATTGTTGTTGTTGTGTACAGTAGTGTGGGAACCGACCCATATCTGACCCTCCAGCAGGTTTTTATGGGCAGTTAATCACATGGGAGTAGATTGCCCATCCTTCTCCTGGAGAGCTGGTGGCCTTGAACTGCATGCCTTCGGGATTGCAGCACAGCTTCCTGCCACGTGGCCACCAGAGCTCCCTTTAGAACTGATACTGCTGAATTGTGCATTGGCAAAGAATTTTGGCTATTGCACGGACTGCCAGAAAACAAACAAATCTGACATGGGAGAGGCGCAGCCGGAGTGCCCCCAGAGGCTGGGAGGCTTCACCTCAGATACTCAGGGCTGCTGGATGCAGGCCAGTCCCCAGAGGAAGACAGCATGGTGGGAGCACGGAAAGACTGACTCTGAGGAGCTGGGTCCCACAGTGGCTGCAAAGATGGGCTGTGAGGGCGGCTTTGAGCCAGCAGGCCTCCCGGTGGTGTGCACGGCCACCCTAACAAAACATCAAGGGTGTGGTTCCCTTCTTCCCTCAGTGCCCTGGGTGACCGCAAGCAAAGATGCAGCCTCCGTCCAGTCAGCCTGCACGTTGGTCCTGAAGACGCGACAGGGGCAGCGTGCATTCATCACCCTCACTCGCTCTGTCCCCAGGGGCCCCTTAGGGGCAAATCCAAACCCTGGCCCTCTGAGCACCCCCAGTGCCAGCCCCAGACGGACTCTTCTCACCTCGGAGAACACCTCCACCTCAGTGCTGTGCTGGTCTTTCTTGCCGGACATGAGCATGAGCTTGTTCAGAAGCTCCCTTAGCTCCTCCAGGGAGCACTCTCGCACCTGCTGGGGGCCCTGGCTCTCAGGGAGGAGCAAGCGGAGGACCGAGTGCGGGGAGGCCTGCAGCAAGAGGTTAGGCATCAATTCCTGGCGGCCGAGAGGGTGCAAGCTGGGTGCAGCAGGCTGCTGGGACCTGCTCTCCCCCCACCCTGCGGGACCTGCTCTCCCCCACCCCACAGGACCTGAGCTCCTCCCACCCCCTGGGACCTGAACTCCCCCACCCCACGGGACCTGAACTCCTCTACCTGGCAGGACCTGAGCTCCCCCACCCCGCGGGACCTGCTCTACCCCTCCCCCTGGGACCTGAGCTCCCCCATCCCGAGGGACCTGCACTACCCCCACCCCACGGGACCTGTGCTCCCCTCACCCCATGGGGCCTGCTCTTCCCCACCTCCTGGGACCTGAACTCCCCCCACCCCTCGGGACCTGCTCTCGCTCACCACGTGGCCACCTTGCGGAGCCTGGATGACATAGATGCCCTTCTCGTTGATGGCTGTTGCCAGGGACAGGGAGGAGAGCTCCACAGACCCATGACTCTCCTTCACTGTTTTCAGCCAGTCCAGGCTCCTGGCAGAATCTCTCTGTGGGGACAGACGGTGAGAGAATGGGCCGTGGTCTTTCTCTGCCCCTGGTGGTCCTCATCCACTCCTCAGAGTTTCTGGGGAGAACCCCTTCCCCAGCTAGGCCTCAGCTGTGCACTGCCCCTGTGGGAGTCTTCCTCAACCCACGCCCACAGCTGCATGAAGGGCCACTCTTACATGCTCACGGCCAGCCTAGGACTCTTGTCCTGTGGCACTGCTGTTCTGTAAGGGGCTGCTGACCAGTCCCACTGGCCTAGGAGGGCACTCAGCACGCTTACGGACATGGAGAAGGACGGACAGATGTAGTGAAGCCTGCTCTCCCCACAGCGGCCACCAGTCTATGCGGTCCTCAGGAAGAAACCTTCACGGAGCAGAACCTGACCCAGCGCTGTGGGGCCTCAAGTCCCAAATGGCCTCGGGTGTTCTCTAAGTGCCCTCAGAGGAGTTAGGAGAAGGACAGTAGGACTCTCCTTTGGCTTTGAGCTTCCATCAGAGAAAGTGCCAGCACCCATGTGTCCCTCCCGGTCTCCTCACTCACCCATGGGCTGCCGGGAGGCCTGGCGGAATTTGCTGACCAGGCCCTGGGCCAGAGCGCTACTTCCTTTACACGATAAAAAACCAGCATGTTGATTGTGGAACACATGACAAACACCAGAACAAGGACACGAGGTTACGCTTCTCTGGTGGTTCAAATCCTCCGGCAGCCTCATGGGAGAAAGATAGGTAATCTCTTCCCATGCAGATTATATCCTCCTGAAAACCAGGAGCTGTGAACTGGCTCCCAGAAGGCAGTGAGGTTTTGTTGAATAAAATAACAAATGCCCACCATTCAGAGAATAGGGCTGGTAACATCCTAACACACCTCCTTTCTGTCGCCCCCACCCCCACCCCAGAAGTTTTGTACAGAAGCAATCACCAACATCTGTATTCACTACTGGCCCAGTGGATTGGGCAGAGGGCTGCTAATAGAAAGGTCATGGGTTCCAATCCAAGCCATCTACTCCCTTTAAGATGAAGGGAGAGACTATACAGAATAAGGGGTAACCAGCACGCCCCCACAGGCAGATACAGACGACAATAACAACAAAAGGTTTACAGTCCCAGGAACCTGTGCAGAGCTCGAGCCAGCTCGAGGGCAGAGGTATGGTTTCCTTTTGTTTGTTAAATGGTCCCCTGGATGGGCAGCTGCACAGAGGGCATGTGTTGACCTTGGTGTCACCATCTGGCTGTGCTGTGAGCCAGGCTCTGTCCTATGTACCCTGCTTGGGGTCAGAAATAGAGCTTACCAGCTTATTGGGCAAGTGTGGGTCCTTTTCTAGAGCCTTCCACAGCTCTCCCAGGTGGCCCATGAACTCCTCAAAGCCTGCCTTTCTGTCCAGCTTGTACAACAGAGAGGCGTAGCCCTGCACTGCATCGTGGAAGTAGGCCACGCGGTCCACGTCAATGTCGTTCTCACCAGCCGAGATGGAGGCCAGGTCCACAAACACCTTCAGCTCGTTGAAGTCTAGGGGAGAAAAGAAACGAAGTCAGCATGTCGAGACTGACTGACGTACACTGGGCCGACCAAGCATCTGTCTGTTCTCGGTGAGTGTCCACGGCCCCTTCCATTGGCTGCCTGTGTCCACACAGCGAGCCAACAGCCGGCCTTCACTAAATAAAAACCCCGCCCCGGGCGCAGCACCTGTGCTTCACACAATGAAACGGAGGCCGAGAGGAGATGAGTGGATGTTTTTCTGTGCAAGAACTCAGTGACGTGTTCTTTGGGCTCTGCTATCAAAAGATGTGGATTAAAGTGAGCAGAACTCCTCCCCTCCACCCCAGCAGACTGCCCTCAGCTTCTGCACCTGCAGATGCAGCACCTCGACTTCTGCACCTCCCCTCCTCTCCTCTGCCCTCCACGTCCATAGACAGACTGTCTCACTGAGGACGTGCAGTGAAATCTGTGCGTGGCCGAGAGCTTGCCTCGTCCACTAAGGCAGACTGAGCGTCCACAGCATGAGTGGGGGTCAAGGGCAAAGGCAGTGATCCTCGCACAAGACGTGAGCGGTGCTGTCCTGACAGAAATCCCACGTGGGCAAGCAGTGAGTCACGCACTGCACAACAGCCCTCCGTGCCACGCGGCCACTGAGAGACCACCCACAGAACCATCCGCAGACACCTGGGCAGCGGCTGGCGCTCATCTTACCTCCAAGGGCCTCCTGGACCCAGTTAACGAACTCCTTCCTCTGGGACAGCTCCTCCAGGCACTGGCAGCGCCCACCTTGGATGTCCTCAACCATCTTCTTGGCACGGATAAGCCCCTGGCTAATCTGACTCATCTTCTCGTGGCGAATGCTCTCAAAGTCTTCAGTCTGCAAGACAAGGCTTTGCTGTGGACCACCAGCAGACACCTGGCAGGCTGCAGCCAGCAGGCCACCAAGCAGCGAGGCCACCAAGGGCTCCCTCCCTCTCTGAACATCGTGTGGGTGTGTAGCTGGTACAGTAACAGGCAAACAAAAAGAAGATGTTGTTCACCTTGAACTGGTCGGTGAGTCAAGGAAAGCTGTTGAGTTGAGTCAGTCCCACGAGCACCAGGACAGACCCGCACCCACAGGGTGTGCAGAGCTGTCCCATCAAGAGCCTGCTCTCAAGAGGCACCTCTGGGTGGGCCCGAACCTCCAACCTTTGTCACCAGCCAACTGCATCATTTATGCCCGCCAAGACAGGGTGAGGACCTAACACCACCCTGGCTCTTGCCCACCCAGGAACACTTGTCCTCAGCATCCTATGCTTTGCCTGAGAATTTTGCATGGATTTAAAAATTGAATCCCCACAACTGCCCTGCCAGGTCCGCCGCACAGCTCACCCTGTTTGGTAGATGCAGACGTCAAGGCTCAGAGCCATGACTTACTCAGACCTGAGTGTGTGTGGCTCCTAATTGTGTGCTTTCAAGCTTTCTCATAACAGCCCAGGGGTATGTTGTTGCTGTGTGCCCTGGAACTGACCTGGACCCAGAGCAACCCAGCAGGACTGAGCCATGGGGACTGTCCTGCAAGCTTCTCCAAGCCCAGTGGTCGGCCTCACCACAGGCTTTCCCAGGCCCACGGGGTCGGCCTCACCACAGGCTTTCCCAGGCCCAGGGGTCGGCCTCACCACAGGCTTTCCCAGGCCCAGGGGTCGGCCTCACCACAGGCTTTCCCAGGCCCAGGGGTCGGCCCTATAGGTTTTTCCAGGCCCATGAAATATATTATTATTACTCTGCAAATATCTGTCTGCAAAAAGAGGGTGACCACCCCTTCCAAACTCTTGACTGTCAAACTCACCAGCTAAAGAGCAGTAACACTATTCACAAACACAAGGAAAAAAACAGAGCCTATGGCACATGGAGGCACAAAGAGCGAGCTAAGCGGGAATGGTGAGCTAAGCGGGAATGGTGAGCTAAGTGGGAATGGTGAGCTAAGTGGGAATGGTGAGCTAAGTGGGAATGGTGAAGGGCCTTCTGACTCATCATGTCTTCCTCTGAAAAGCCAGGAAACCTGTGGGCCTCGGGACATTGTGCTGGGATCCCACTCAACCCCAGGAGTCATTGTTGGAAACTTACCACATTTAACAAAGTGTGAAGAACAGTGAAGTCGCCAGCCAGGCCCAGGTTCTCCTTGACCTTCATAATAACCTTGGCCGCATTAGCAGCCAGATGCAGGTGATGGTACTCCTGTATCTGCTCCACACGCTCCGGGATCCAGCACTTCCGGTCATTGATGTCCACAGAGCACATGACCTGGAGCTCCGAGGTGAGCTCAGTGTATTTATTGACAAAGTCCTTGAAGACAATATCCATTTCTTCCAAGGTAACATCTCCTGACTTCAGGTTCTCATAGAGTCTGGTGAACTGTTTATAGCAAGGTTGATACAAAAAATAGTACAGGTCTTCAAGCAGGATTGTCTGCTCTTCTGAGTCGTCCTCCTCCTCCTCCTCCTCCCTCAGCGCCTCTGCAGCTTCTTCCCAGAACATCTGGAAGAGGTGACTGTCCCGCAGCCTGTCTGCCTTTTCCGCCATCTCCTGGACCTCGGGGCTCAGCTTGTAGTGAGTCCTGAGCTCTGCGTCTGAGCATGTAGGCAATCTCACTGTCACAACCTCACACAACCTCCTATCGCTGAGGACTTCCCTGTGTTTATGCACAATCTCTCCAAAGTCCACTGTTGAAACCAGAAGACAAGGTCAGACATCAGTGTTCCGGACACTACATCACAGCATTCTTCCTCCGCAGAACAGCTTTTCATCACCTCTCTAAGGAGAATGATGCGAACACAGTTGCCAGCCTTTTTTCCTTACCAGAAATCCCCAGATCATTCCCTTGCCTCTTGGGTTTGGTTATAAAGTCTCTTATGATTAAAAAAAAAACAAAACAAAACTTGGTCACTTCTGGGGAAAGAGCACAGTTTTCCTGGAAATGCATTCCCCCTCATGGAACCAAATCCCACTACGGACAGAACATTTATAGACCCAGCACATCCAAGGATGGGATAGCCAACCAGACCACTAGCTTTGAATTCCCTGAAAGCGAACATGGCTGTCCTGGTGACCAGACCCTGGGAAGAAGTGGGATAAAGGAAGGAGGACAGAACTGAAAGTCAATGGAGAAGGTTCTTGAATATTCCATTTCAGCTTCAATTCTGTAGAGCTCTGGTTGCACAGTGGTAAGGAATCGCTCTGTCAACGTTCACAGGCAAATGGTTCAAATCCACCAGCTGCTTGACAGGAGAAAGATAGGCAATCAATTCCCTGCTGGAAGGTCAGCTATGGGTGAGTTCCAACTGGACAGTATACAACAACAACAACAACAACAGGCTCAGTTCTGTGTCACATGTTAATTCCTTTTCCCTACTCTGGGGTCTATTTTCTGGTCAGTAGAACAGAGGGTTGGTCACAGAATAAAGGCATTCACAGGATCTTTTCTTGGGAAGCAACAAGATAATAAGGAAGAAGGACGAGGAAGACTTCAGACACAGGAGGGAAGGAGGACGGAGCATGGTGGTAGGGAAGCAGGTGTTCGCCCTAAATGACTCTGCTTATTAATGATGCGAATCTCAGCAGAGAAAAGCTCCCTTTGGGCCCTTAGAATCTGGCAGCCAAGTTTCTCTCTACCATCCTGCAGGGTCAGAAGAGTTTCCTGGGGAATCTGATCAGCACAATAGTTCTAAAGGGACAAACCCACGAGCAGGGAGAGGCTGTCACCCTGAGGGTGGAACCGTCAGCTGGTGAGTCCAAACCCTGAGCTCTTCTCTCAGGATGGTTCTGAGGCCCCATTCTTGGTATAAAAAACAAGAATTTCCAGCAGATGAGCCAAGTCCTTAACAGGAAAAGGGACTTAGAAAGCAAGCTAAGAGGTAAAGGCAACTTAGAAGAAACAGCAAATTATTCAAGAAAAAGAAAGTCTCTAAAAATATCAGCAATAATCTCAGAAAGACACTGCAGCCATGAGCAAGAACAGGTTAGCATAAGAAGGAGCACTCTGCATGACCAAATAAAGAAGAATCTGTAGGAAGGAAGGAAGGAAGGGAGGGAGGGAGGGAGGGAGGGAGAGAGAAAGAAGGTGCACTCTGGGAAAGGGGCGCTGTGCTGTGGTCCATAGCTAACCTAGGCTGTGAACTCTGCAGAGTCTGGATCCGGGGAGACGTGGCAAGAGAAAAACAGGCAGTCTCCTCCTGAGTGCTTACAGCCTCAGAATCCTACAGGAGGGTCACTAAGAATTGGAATGAACCTGATGTCAGGGAGTTTATCCATTATATACACATAAGAACTCAGAACGGCACACTCAACAGGAAGGTCGACTGTTCAAGGTGAGGCAAGTCCTCAAGCAGCACTTGTGAGAAACAGCTCAGGAAGAAAACAGCAAGAAATAAAAAGATAAGAAACAGGAGAAAATAATTACAGTGTTTAATTTAATAAATATCTGAGAGATCAAATATTCCAGTGAATGACAGAGTACAGAAAACGAGAGAGAAAATACTCAATGAGGTAATGCAAGAGAACTTCCCAGAACTTGAGGACTTGGATTTTTTGAACTGGAAAGACCCACGTAATGCCAGCCCAATGGATAGAAAATAGTTATCTGCCATGGTATCTCACTAGGAAATGTCAGAATTTTAATTTTTGTGAGAGCCACTGAATTGGCTCCAACTCAGAGCAAATTATCCAAGAAGCTGCATTCTCTGAAGAAGAATGTGATATCAGGATAGGAGGAAGCCTCATCAGTAACCGTCATTATGCTAATGACACCACCTTCTCACTGAAAAGTGAGAACTTGAAGTGCTTGATGCAAATGATCAAAGAATACAGCACCTCCACATCAAGAAAACAAAAATTCTCACCAGTGAACCAACCTACAGGGAACATCACAACTGATGGAGAAAACAGTGATGCTGTCAACGACTTCATATTCCTTGGACGCTCAATCAAAATACCTGATGCAAAAAAAATTTAAAAAAAAAAATACCTGATGCCAGCAGTCAGGAGATCAGGAGATATTGCACTAGGAAAGTCTGCAGCTAGGGACCGCTCCAAATTACTGAGGAGCAATGATGTTAGTTTGAAAACCAAGGTGTGCCTGATTCAGGCTATGGTATGCTAGAGATTCAGGCCTGAGAGCTGGACAGTGAATAAGGAAGACAGAAGAATTGATACCTTTGAGCTGTGGTGTTGGAGAAGAGTGCTGAATATCTCATGGACTACCAAGAGATCAAACAGAGAATATTCTTGGAAATAGTGCAGCCAGAGTGCTCCTTGGAGGCAAAGATGCTAAAACCTTGTCTCGCATCCTTTGGGCATGTTGCTAGGATAGGCTACTCCTCGGCGTGGAACATCATACTTGGAAAGGCGGCAGCATGACAAGAGACGAAGACCATCAGCGAGGTGGACAGTGACTTCAGCAATAGGCTCAAGTGTGTCTGAGGCTAGAACAGGGTTCAGATCTTTTCATAAGGTCCCTAGCAATCATACTTAACTTGATGGCACCTAATAACAACATAGCAATCCTACGTACAACAAAGCAAAATGCTCCCAATCCTCGATCATATGTCGGCCTGATGATATCTGCTGTGCGTAAGTTCACTGCTGCAGCCACTGTGTCTCTTAAGCATGTTGGCTTGTCATACTCTGGTGGCTTACGTGTTGCTGCGATACCACTGGTATTTCAGATACCAGCAGGGTCACAGTACATAATGGACGAGTTTCAGCAAAACTTGCAGACTAAGACAGAGCAGAAAACTGGACTGGTCATTCACTTCTGAAATAAAGGACCATTGAAAACTCTCAGGAATAGCAGCCAAAGACTGTCTGGTATTGCATCAAATTATGAGCCACCAGCCTGGAGGGCACTCAGAGCATGACCAGGGAGTGTACGTCAGTGACGTGGACAGACAAGCTGAGGAAGGACTTCACTTGCTGGTATCGTGTAACTCAAAATAAGAAGAAAACAAGTGCAAAAAATTCAGAATACAGGCGACAAAAAGGAGCCTAAGAACATGTAGAGGAAAAATCGATCAGTAGTTAGCGTTGCATCTGGCTTCTTACTAGAATATCTGTAGAAGTAATAGAGCAATACAGTCAATCTTCTGAAGGAAAAGGGTTTCTAAAAGGATTTGTAGGTAAGAGGTATAATTCTATACCTAGCCAAGCTATCAACTTAGTATGACCTTTTCAGACATACATATTAGGCCCTTTTTCGGAAAAGTGATAGAGCATCTGTTCTATCCAGCAGTCAGGGGTCACAGGAGAGAGGACCACCCTAGGGAATGAAGGGAGGATGAGGAGGGCTGTGCCCAGCCCAGGATGGACAGAGTTCTGAAAGATCACACCAGCTGTCTTAAAAGAATATTCAGGCCTTTAAATTGTCCATTTAAGGATTTAATTAGGAACAAATACATAGAAAACAAAATATAAATAGAAAGAATTCTAATTCTAGAGAAAACAAAGTCGTACAAGAAACCTAACCTAACCTCATGTCCCCATTGTGAACACCGGGTCTTCACAGACATGGTAATCTAACCATGACAAGTGATCAACCCAAAATTATGATAGTTGTCAATGGAGAGGAAAAGTGGGGGATGTGTGACAGAAAGAGACAGAGATGGGAAAATAAACATCTAAACCCTTATTCTCACAATGGGTACTGCTTTGACCTGAAGAACCAAAAACAGTCAAGCATGTTGCATAGAGAGGGAGGTAAATGCTACTGCAAAGATAATTACTGCAAAGAGGCGGCACTGGTCCCCTAGCAAGGAGGATGTGGCAGAGTGCAGGCATGAGAAGTGGCAGCTGCCCTCCAACAGGCTAACACATCACAGGCGCCTCCACCCTGCTCCCCTGAGCCCTCCGTGTTCTTTCTTAGAACCCTACCTTTCACCAGGTGTTGCACCTTCTCACACAAGCTTAAGAGACTACCAACAGATTGCTTCTCTCTCTTTAGAAACCGGAGTTCAGTGAGTCTCCACTCCAGTACAGCCTCCACATCGTGCTGTCTCTCCTGGGATGAAATGCTTTTTCTCTCTGGGAAATCAAGAAACAGGTAACGCCATTGGTCAGCAAACATACTTTCCTCCCTTGCCACTCACTCTTCCCCTCACCCCTGTCCACACACCAGCTTCACTGCTAGAAGGGTGTGGACAGGGAGGGTGACCTGTGGGGCCACTTGGCCAACCCCAGATTGAAACCTCTTCCCCATGGGGTTCCTGAGAATTATAAACTATTGTCAACTTACTGACAAGCAGATATGAACATTCACACACATGTGCACACACACAGAAACACGTGAGCTTCCTCCTCCTCCGCTACCACTAGGACACTCACGTATCTGCCAAATGTCAAGAAACTGATTCTTGTGCTTCAGGATCAGCTCCATCTGTCCAACTGTAAGTCTTCCTTGTAGGAGGTCACCAACAACTTCTGTCCACACGGAGTTGGCAGTGTCCAGCAGCTGCCGGCTGTCCTCTGTGATATTGGCTAACATTTTCTCATCCATTCCTAAGCAGGGTAAGAACACAGTTAACACCATGGTTCCCACTTCTTTCCTGCTTCATTTCATTGAAGTCTATACATTTTCAATAGCTTTCTCTCCCTTCTGTCCCAGTTTTCCTACAAAATGAGCAAGTAATATTTCTAAACGTACAAGTCACTTGCAAAGCTCAAGCTTTCAGCCCTGAGATGCACTCAGAAACCACTGCCACGCTGAGTGTCTTTCTTCAATGACACACGATTGTCTTTAATGTCTATGTCACAGTTAGTACTGCGTGTAAACGTGGCCGTGATCCTCTGCACAATGTAAGTATTATATATGTAGTAAATTCTAACCTCTGTGATGTTAACACATGGATCTGTAAGGATACGATTAGCCTTAGCTGATTAAGGGGAGGTCTGCTCAGGGGCATGGCCTGTGCGGCACCTGTGTGCTTGAACTCTAGTAAAATGATAGAGACTTTCTGTCAGATTCTCATCTGGCTAACTGGTTCATAGTCTGCAGACACAGACTGATGGCCTGCTGTCTCTGACCCTGCTTCCCATCAAGAACCTGAGACACACCAGCCCCTGGAGTCAGCCTGAGACACTGCCTGTGTCTTGAGGTCTGACCTACGGACTTCAGACTTGCCTCTGTACAAACATGGGCCATTTCTCTGAGACCTCCTTTTCTCTCTCCCTCCCCCCTTCTTTAGTGTGCTTCTCTACAGAACCCAACTTAAGACATTTGGAACCAACAGTGGTTCCAGAGAAATAAAATGGTTAGAATAGATTTCTAAACTGGTTCTCAAGTATGACTGACTCTTAAAAGTGTTGACGGCTCTGCTACTAATAGTAAAAAAATCACACAAACAAAAAGTCCACAGGGTGAGGTGGTAATATTAAGATTCAAAATATCACCACTGATAGATCAGATATTAGTGAGAAGTGAGGCTCTGGGTGGGGGAGGCTTACGTTTTTAACATTTTACTACAATTTTGTGAAGATGAGAAGTTTAAGAAACAGGTGGGTTAGTCTTCCTCAAAATACAGAATGTGAATTTGGGATCAACAGAGGACAGAATTTTCAAGTATGTGTAGATGAGCTACTCGGAGTTTCCCCCAGTGAATGGTGTATCCTGTGTGCTGGTGAGTTGGAGCTGCCCTACAGCTCGGCCTCCAGCTGGTTTTCAGAGGCAGTGATGGCATGGCAGGGGGACTGCCCAAACCCCCCCAGCAGCACCCCGCAAGAAAGGACCTGGAAGCCCACGGAAGGGAGAAAAGTATGGTTACACTGTGGGTATTGGAACTGTAAAATGATATGTGTATGAATAATTATCTGGGGGGGAAAAACTCAGTCTATTTTTATTAAGTTGTTGTTTGTTGTTTCGTACCATCGAGTCAGAAGTGACCCAAAGCTGACCCTCTGTGGGTTTTCAGCGCAGTTAATTGCACGGGAGGAGATTGCCCGTCCTTCTCCCGCAGAGCAGCTGGTGGATTCAAACCGCATACCTTTGGGATTGTAGCGCAGCTTCTTGCCACTAGGCCATCAGCACTCAAATCAAAATTTAAAAAATACTTGGAGGGAAAAATATCACAGCTCGGAAAGCCTGATGGAGCCGCTCTCAGCCGCACAGAGGTGACCCCAAAGTCCACACAGAAGCAGGGACAGAGCGGCCATTCCATGGTGGCTGCCGGGACTGCTGGATACTCACTGTGCAGGACACCCTGAACCTTCCTGCACCCTCCTCCCATCTGCTCCCCCTGTATTCCAGCATGCTCTCACTCCGCCCCCCAGGCCAGGGCCTGGCCCAGTGCAGAGGCCAGACGATGGAGCCCATCCCGCCCTCACACACCATACAACTTGAAGAGCTCCTTGACGTCAGGCCCCGTGAGCAAGTGTGTTAAAACCTCGTCCAGGCCGCTCACAGGCACTCCATCACTGAGTGGCCAGGACTTGGTGACCACCGCAGACACTAAGGTGCCGAATTTCCGCTGGTCATGGACAGTCAGCCTATCAAGGATGCTGGTCTGAGCCTATCAGAAACCAAGAGAAGGAATGTAATGAGTTTTCACTGGTTTGTTCCCAAATGATTTTTGTCGTTGTTGCCGTCAAGTCAGAGCAGACCACAGCAGGTTTCCATAGGCAGTAAATCACACAGGAGGGATCGCCCAGCCTGCCCCTGTGGTGCAACATTGGTTGCAGTGCAGCTTCATATCACTGCAGCAACACCCAAGGCGATCTCTGAAATCCACTAAATCGTTTTCCCAAACCTCAAAAGAGCCTATCGACTAACGCACACCTGCATCCCACATAATGGCTCGTTCTCCTGGTAACAGAGAACAGTGTGCACTTTATAAATCCTCGCAGCATGCTGCGCACATGTCTGCAGATGAGAAAAGCAGCAAGGGTAACGGGCACCTTTTCTGAGCTGCGTGCAGAGGCATTTGATTCAAGGCTGCATGGGAGTGGGAGCGCTTCACACTGCCTGTAACAGCCAGCCTCACTTCATCTCACAGGCTCTGGGCATGTTCTCAGCTGGGGCCAGTCCTGGAGAAGGACATCATGCTTGGAACAGTAGAGGGTCCGTGAAAGGGATGAAACCCCTCAACGAGCCAGACGGAGACTACAGCAGCGGCTTCAGCACAGCAGAGGTGGTGAGGATGTGTCATACTCAAGACTATTTAAGTCAGGGCCAACAGGACAGGCTTAACAACAACGTAACAGCCAGCGGTTGTCAGCTGCCCGCTCCCTCAGTGGCCCCGAGCACAACACAGCCCTGCTTGCTCCTGCACTCTTCCTGTAACAGGTCCTGGCCACCGGGATCCAGCTGTTTCCACTGGCTGCTTTTCAGATCAGCAGACTTTCCTCCTCATCCACCCTAGAAGCTCTGCTGAAATCCATTCAGCATCACCAGCCTCCCAACCCGACCTGTGGTGGCCACACCTAGGATGCACCGGCCGGGGGCTGAGCCTGGTTCCTCATACAGAAGTTGGAAATTCTGTCCCCAGACCAACCAGTCCTGACATCAGCCACCTTGTGCATCAAACTGAGCACTGTTTTAAAGACAGGGGACAAGTACCAGGTTCCAGGACCCTCCCAGCAGGCCAGGTGCCCACTTCACAGACCCCTCTGTCCGTACAGTCTGTCTTTACTCAACAGATACAAACATTTATCAGACAGACTATCAGTTACCTGGCAGGCTGAGCTCACAGCTTCAATGAGACACTTCTCAAAGCTCTTTGTCACGCTGTCACTGTGGTCAGCGGCATCCCAGGTGGCACTGCAGTAGGCAGAGATCTGTAAGAGCGGTTTCTCCTGCAAAAGTGAAGAGAAAACATGGGATGTCCGGAGCCCTGCGCTGGGTAGGCAGACAGACAGGCCCTGGGACAGCAGCCCTAGGATGCCAGCCCTGTGTCAGGAGGGTGGACAGGCCCTGGCTGCACTGACCACCGTCCTCTCACTCGCCCATCACTGCAGCCCTCTGCTCAACCTGTAGCTGCCTGCAGATAAAGGACTCAGCATGGGAGCTTGTCAAACAGGTCACAAGAGCGACCTCCCCAAAGGGCTCCCTCACATTCGAGACAGCTCTTTGCCATTGTGTAAAAATGACTTTTCGGGTCAGAAGTGAAGAGTGCTTTTGTTCTTCCACACTTGTCACGGTGTCTAAGAACCTTCTGTCGCCAGCGGCCACTGGGAGCTCTGCAGGCCTTCCCTCAGATGGCCACAAGGATGAGACAGACGGACAGAGCTCTGGCTGACCTGAGCTGGGGTTGGACCGAGAATCCACGAAAGGACTTAGCTCCAGCCAGCACAGGGAGTCTTCCCTTCAGGTGCAGGGTTCCTGGCCTGTGCCAGCACCGGGGGTGATGCCAGCCGTCCCTTCCCCCCAGCAGAAGAGCACCCACACTTGGTACCTGCTTGATTCTTCCTTCCATGTCCTCCAACAACGCCTCCTTCCAGCTGTGCTCCTCAGGAAAAGGGATTTCCACCAGCCGCCTCCAGACCTGCAGAACCACAAGCCTAAGGCTCCCGCTGTCCAGGGCGGAGGGCAAATGGAGGGACATGGTGCAGGGGTCCCCGGTCACCCCAACAACTCGGGAGCTCAACCGGAACAAGATGCATAGTCTTCACAAAACTCTCAATGTGGGTTTTTGGTGTGAGTTTTGTTTTGTTTTGTGTGTTTTTTCTTGATGCAAAAGCTTTAAAACCAACGCAAACAAAAAAGCACAAACCCCTCCAGCCATCACTGCCTCCTGCCATCCATCCACTCATTAGCCTTCACTGCCCCCTCCCTCCCATCCACCCCATCAGCCTTCACTGCCCACTCCCGCCCGTCCACCCCATCAGCCTTCACTGCCTCCTCCTGCCCATCCACTCCGTCCTGAACTCCATCACAGCTCCCAGCCGCTGCCTCCCAGGACCCCCACCCAGCTCCCAGCCGCTGCCTCCTGGGACTCCGTCGCGCCATGTGCCAGGTCCTCCCCGGCTGTGTGCGCCCACTCAGGGCCTCCTTCTTGCCGACCTTTCCCGGTCCATGTGGCCAGCTCTGCCCAGTCTTCCTCATCTCTAGCTGCAGCTCTGTCTATGCTCTGCTCAAGCAGCACCCACCCTCATCTTTCTTTCCCTCTCCACAGTCAGACACAGAGCCTGAACACCCTAACAGACTCCCTGGTCTCTCTCTTCAAGCCACGACCCATGTCACCTGACCACGCTACCATCACAGAACCATGGGTGCGGGAGGAACAGCTAGAGGTAAGTACATGGGGAGCTCCCAGAACCTTCAGACAAGGCTGTAGGCAAACCAGCAAATTGCTGTTGTCCAGGTGAGCACCAGGCTCTAGGGAAGGCAGCATCTGGCCCAGGTGAGGGAGGACACGGCCCAGGTGAGGGGGGACCTGGCTAAAGTGAGGGAGAACCTAGCTCAGGTAAGGGGGTCCTGACCCAGATGAGGGGACCTGGCCCAGGTGAGGGGGACATGGCCCAAGTGAGGGGGGACCTGGCCGAGATGAAGGGTCACAGAGGCGGAGCTGGAGCCTCATTGGGCAGGGACTCAGGATGTCACATGACCTATCCTAGGATCCACAGCATAAACCCCTGCAGAGATCCATCTACTTTCAGCAAAGCTTACCTCAATCTCCTTCAGATAACTAAATGAGACACCCGAAAATCCACTCCGGAACATTCTGTCTGCAAAAAGCTTTCCAAGCCAGCTCTTGGTCATGGTGAGAGCTTCCTGGAACACCATTTTTACAGAATCCTTCCTTTCGGTCCCATTGTCCTGTGCTTCTGCCGACTCCTGTCATCCCGGGAGAAAGGAAACTGAGTTGTCACTTACGGTGGCCTTGGGTTTTCTCAGAGATGCAATATTGCAGGCCCCCACACTGCAGGTCCCCACACTGCAGGCCCCCACGCTGCAGGTCCCCACACTGCTGGTCCCCCCGATGCAGGTTCCCATGCTGCAGGTCCCCACACTGCAGGTCCCTACACTGCAGGTCCCCACACTGCAGGTTCCCACGCTGCAGGCCCCCACGCTGCAGGCCGCCACGCTGCAGGTCCCCAGGACTCCAGCAGTGCCCTCCCTCTGCCCTCCTCCCCTCACTCCAGCTCCCGCTGCTTTTCCAGGGTTAGCACTTCCAAACGTGTGTAGACGCCTCCCTCCTCCCACTTCCCTGAGGTCAACCGAGGGCACAAGGACTTGAGCTCCTGTCCACTGAGTGCCCTCCAAGCTGCAGCAGAACCAGCATCAGGAGAGCGTTTGATCAATACCAGGCACTCGGCTTCTGACTGGCTTCCGGGGCCACGCCATTCCAGGCAGCGTGGCTCCGTTTCTCCTTTTGCCAGTTTCCATCATCCCTGATATTATATCATCAGTATCTTTGTAAATCCTGTTCTTTGTCCTGAGAGTCAGCAAGGATTAATTACATCAGCAAATAACAAGCGGTAACACTGTGCAGGACCCGTGGCTCATGAGGAGGTGTGCAAAACCCCAAGCCAGGTACGGTCCTAAGGATGACTCAGTCCTGAGAAGACACAGTCCTAAGGACGGTCCATGCTCCGTAAGGTGGGACAAGCCCCCTCCTTCGTCACTCAAGGTACATCATCCTCCACAGATAGCCTGGGTGTAACGACAATTACGTGTCCTGCTCAACTTACCACTGGAGGCTGAAGGGAAATGATTCTGCAAACAATCTCTGCAGACAGGGCAGGAATCTCATAGAACCTGACAGCTTTTGTGGCTTTGCACATGGCTTCGTGGATCTTCAGGCAGACGGTCAAGTAGGACTGGAAGAGGGTTGCCTCGGGAGCCCTGCCCCAAACAGAGAAACCACTCGCTGAGGACCGAGATGCAGCAGCCCTCTCAGGGACGGGTTCCTGCCTTAGACACCAGCAAACGAGGCCTCAGAACCCCGGTGGGTCAGTGGTTAAGAACCTCACCTGTTACCCAGGAAGTCAGTGTCCTGTAGGAGGAAGATGGGGCCGTCAGCTGACCCCCTGGAGCTTCTGCTCCACCCCACAGAGGCATTGGCTGAGAACAGCAACAACTGCCTGGCCTGACCAACTCACACAGTGTAACATCTAGAAGACTGATTCCAGGCAGACCTGGGTTTGTGACTAGGAAAGGATATAGGGCACTTCTTAAGGAAGCAAAGAGGAAAGGGAGCTCTGGTGGCCTAGTGGCAAGCAGCTGGACTGCAATCTCGAAAATGCCTGGTTCAAATCCATCAGATGCTCCGCTGGAGAAGGAGGGGCAATCTCCTCCTGTACCAGTTGAACACACACACACACACAAATAAAAAGAATTTTAAAAAAGAAAGCAAAGGAGAGTAGAAAAGTTTCCAAGTGCATTTCTTGACTGGGACGGGGTAAGGCATATATTTACTAAAGACAAAAACACTACAAATTCTGAAAAAATAAACAAAGATACAAGAAGAGCAGAGGGAAGAGTATATGGTAAACATGGGGCTTCTGGGACCAGTGAGTCAGGGGCCCAGGCCTGCACCGGGGAGCTGAGGGGAGCCCTGTGGGCGGGGAGGTCCCTCAACATTGAAGGTGTTCTGTGCACATGAACCACCTGCTTCTGACCAGCCGAGCATCCTGGTCAAGAAAAAATGCAAGTGCTCCAAGGGCCCCAGAAAGCACCCACCACTCCTCACAGCACCCCTTCAAAACCTGCCACCACCGGTGAGTTGACACTGACACAGGAACAACAGTGCAGGACCCAGCACAACTGCCCCTTAGGGTCTCCAGGGCTGCTGACCTCTGTGGAAGCTGACCCCCGCATCCTTCCCTGCAAAGTGGCTTGGGGTTAGCCGTCAGCACCACCAGGGCTCACGGATGCCCTTTCACGGTGCCAAAAGTCACTTAAATTTGCAGAAGCCAACGGTTCCAGATCATTCTGAAGTGCTAGCTCTGATTTTCCTTCTAACCTGACCTGCCCGCGTAGAAAGCATCAGTGTTGAAGGAATGGTGGAAACAGCAGCCGTAGCAAGATGGACATTTTCAACTATGTGGACAGGCCAGAGGGAGCTGACCCAAATCCTGGCAGCGGAGACACAGTCTTTCCTCCTGGTTGTAAGATGAGACGGCTGCATCAACAACTCACAAAGAGAAGTGGGGCATATGCTGATTGACAACCAGCCAGTGTTGACAGCCTTGGTGTCATAAGTACATTCCGTGCTGGGAGCTAACTGAGATCTTGACAGTTCGAATCCGTCAATCCCTCTGAGGGAGAAGACAAGGCAGTCTGCTCCCACGCAGTGTCACAGCCTGGATGGAGCGTCACCAGAATTCAGCCAACTCGGGCTGTGCGTCTCTTGGGTTTTATTATGACAGCAAATGGGCTACCTGTGGAGACCCCAGGAGCAGAGGTGACAGATACAACGCCACGCCCCTGTACTTACGAGCTCAGGTTCGCATCCAGCAGGTGCAGGAGCACTTTCAAAATGTCCTGGATGATCTACAGTGGGGAAAGGCAAGGGAAGACGGAGTCACATCACTGGAACAAAGCTGGAAGACCCACGTGAAGAATGTGTGGACTCCTTTCTCCAAACAAATCTCCAAAGTGCTAAACTGGCCTTCTCACCACTTTCCTTAAGAAGCTGAGGGCTCACATCCTGCTTCTCATCCAAGAGTGTGTAAGGAAAGGCACCGACCTCAGACTCCCAGACACGCTTGTTCCTTTGTAAACCACACAGACCCTGGCATCCATCCTCTCACTCAAGGTGTACACATTCTGTGTGCGCACTTGTTTTTAATGTGGACACGTTATACACAGAAAGCACTGTGTGCCAGCATTCACCATAACTTCTCACCCACTACACAAATGTAACACAGGCTAACAGTTTACAGAAGTCCCTAGAGGATTCAGATGGCCAGGCACTGAGCCACTAACAAGAAGGCACCCAGCAGTGCCTGAGAAGGCCCAGCCACCTCATTTAAGAAACCAGCCTCTGAAAGGTTCCCAGCACACAGTACTCCTGCCACAGCTGGACCACCAAGAGTCACAGCCAGCTCGCTGGTCCCTGCTCACTGCTTTATGGGAACAAGCAGGTTCTCCTGTTTCCAGGCGCTTCACCCCATCAGGGTCTCAGAAAAGAGGACCACAAACTCCCCACATTCACTTTTCTGTCTGATTTTGCTACTGCAGATGACAAACCTCTTCCTTTCTGTATGAGATTTCCTGGAGGTCCCGAAGCCGGTAGTAAACCCCAAGGAAGCAGTCCAGGAAGCGTGCTGGGGACACGATCAGGTAGTCAACCGTGGTCTCCATGTAGTTAGGCAGGGCCAACAGAGGCAGCAGACTGAACCAGGACCGGAACAGACAGCTGTCCACACTCAGCAGATGCTGACTCCCCTCCATGAGCGAGAGCAATGACTTACTGGAGAAAACGGGACAGAAACGAGGCAGCCGTGAGGACGTGAACTTGCCTGAGCCTGATGAGAAAGGACACAGTGCTGGTCCAGAGTTCAGGTCTTAAAGACCAGCTCACTGCTTAGTGGAAACAAAAGGCCGACAGCCACACCTTCAGAGTTCCCACTGATGGAGTGTAAAATGGTGCAACCACTGTGGAAGGTGGTGTGGCACCTTCTCAAAAAGTTGCAAATAGAGATACCATTTGACCCAGCAATTCCACTACTGGGAATATACCCCAAAGAGACCATAACTGACATCCAAGCAGATATATGCACACCCATGTTTATTACAGCTTTGTTCACAATAGCAAGGAGTTGGAAACAACCTAAGTGCCCATCAACAAACGAATGGATAGAGAAGCTGTGGTATATTCATACATGGAATACTACGCTGCACTGAAAAAACAAGGAACTCATGCAATAGTATTAAAAATGAGTGACCCTGGAAGACATTATGCTGAGTGAAAGATCTCAGTCACAGAAGGAAAAATACTGCATGGCACCACTGTTGTAGAACGGGACTGACATCAGGGTTGTGGTAAGACTGAGAAAAACTGGATAAATTATGTATACTGCACTGTAACAGATGAGGGAGAGAATTGCTTAAAAGTGATATAAATTGAATATCATGGTTATAATAAGAGTCCAGAATGAGGGTTGCATAGTGGAGTGTACTCAGGGCAGGGGGATTGTATACCAATAAAAGAATGTTTCTTTTACTTTTCAAAGAGAAGATTGAACTGGGGGAGGGGTGGGCAGGGAGAAAAATGCAACAATGAATGAATGGAAATCCAAAATCTCTGTAAATATTCATTAAAATTATTTTTTTTAAAAAAGGGAGAGTTCCCCCTGATGAACGAGGGCACGGCCTGACTAAGCACTCTAGTGAACCCGGTGAGGGTCTTTAAACTCTACTGCTTCTGCAGCCCCAGGGACCCAAGCAGACCCCAAGCCTAGTGGGAAGGGAGCAGCCCTGCAGGGCAGAGGCTGTAAATCTTAACACAAGCAACAACGATGCCCATCCCCAGACTTCAGGTCTGCCTGGAAGTCTCTTGAAGGATTTAACAATGGGCCCCACAGCTCCTGTGATCAGACCCAGAGCATGGGCTGTAACAAGGCTCATCCAGGACCTCGGAACAGTCTTCACGGTTCATTGTTCCAGGACTGATAAGAAGTGCTTACTTACTGGTCTGCTCTTTCCTCACGGAATTGTGAGTAGGACAGGCCTTCAAGAGCTGCCCAGATGTCCTCAGGTGGTATGTCCTTCCTGGGGGGGGCTGGCCCCACACAGTGGTGCAGCACGGGCAGTGTGAGGATCCAACAGTCCATCCTTCTACGGATGCACCTCCGGCACAGGTTTACCAAGAATCCTCTCCAGCTAAAAGGGGAAGGTGTGCCACCGTGAGTAGGCATCGTGGGTCTGTGGTTGTGCCACAGTGAGTGGGCATCGTGGGTCTGTGGTCGTGCCACAGTGAATGGGCATGGTGGGTCAGAAGGCAGGTGGCTGGACCCACACAGAGTGTGGACACTGACTTTGCCACCTAAGATGGGGGCTTCTACCAGCAAGAAAGTGGGGAGCAGCACATCTCCCCACCCCTACAGTAAGAATGAACTCAAAGGGGCAGTGTGTGTGAGCTCACAGAAGCCCCACAACACACCCATCCTTGTGAGAACCGAGAAAACTGAGGCTCCAGGAGGCAACGTAATTTACCCATAGTCCTTTGTGGAGGTCTTGGGATTTGAACCCGTGCAGTTGGCAACAATGAATCTGGACATTAAGCCATATTTTTAACAAATGTTGTTGTTACGTACCTTCAAATTGTAACTGACCCATAGCTGGTCATCCAGTGGACTTTCAGAGGCAATAGACTGCACAGGAGGTGACTGCCCATCTTTCTCCTGTGGTGGATTTGAACCACATGCCTTTGGATTGGCAGTGCACTTCCTTACCTCTAGGCCACAGAGCTCTTTTATAATGTACAGGTCATACTTGTTGTTGTTGTTGTTATGTGCCATCGAGTCGTAGGGGACTCATAGCGACCCTATGAACAAAGACCTGAGCACTTGTATAACTATCATCGTTTCTCCACGCTCATAGTTTCCGGAGGAAAGCTATTTCGGAAGTAGCTGCCACTCCTGCTTGTTTCAATCGGGGAGCTCCACCAAACACTGTCCCCCACACATGCACCAGATATTTTACTTGCTTCTTCTCAGCACTTGGAAACGCTCATGCACAACTACGTCTACCATTTATCCTTAGGCGTGGGGCTCACTGCTGTGTTCACAGGGTGAGTTTACTGTCTGTCCGGCTGTGAGTAAGTCCTCACTCAGCAGCAGTAACTTTAGTTGCCTTCAAATTGGCCCCAAACTCCTGCGTGACGTGACCCACACACACAGGGGACCAAAGCACCGTGGCCCCAACGGTTTCCAGGGCTCATTTTTGGAAGTAAATCAGCGGGCTTTCATGCGAGTCCGTCTTGGTCTGGAAGCCCTGCTGAAAACTGCTCAGCATCTTGGCCACACACTCAAACCTCCAATGAGAGGTGTGTGTGGGAGGTGCCAGGAGTCGAACCTGCATCTCTTGTGTGGCGGGCAAGGATTCTACCACTGTGACACCACTGCTGCAGCTGGACTCACAAGACTGAACCAGACTCTCACCAGCTGGCAATCACCACAGATACCAGCTCAGAGGTTCTGAAGACACAGCATAAAGTGCAGCAGAACCACACTCCCCAGTCGTATGTTAAAACTGAAACAAACACATGTGGAGAAAGGCTGGGGACGAGGATTGGGATGGCAGCAGGAAATGGTGAAAGATGGGTGATTTTTTATT